TGCCTTCTCCTCGGCAGTTGCTGCCTTCTGTGAGTCGGGCATACCGCCGTTGGTCGCCATATTGGACAATGTTGTCTGTGACAATCTTGAAGAGTAAAATAATTAAGAGAAGCTGGACTTGGCTAAAAGGTAACACAGATGAATAATGACTGGTAAAGAGCACAGTCAATAGGAAATGAAGGCTGTGGGTTCTAGTGCAAAGAATCGTCTGTGGGAATGCCAGGTATTTGAGATCAACTTAAGGAACGAGATGAATGAGGGCGATACGCGTTGAAATCGTGCCAAGTAGCAACATAGTGCCAAGGTGCGGACATACGGGGGATGAACACCTGGTCCAACGGGTCAAAAAGATTTGTTATCCCAATCCCTGCGCGCCCATGTAGACACTCGGACATCCGTTTCCCCATCGGGTGAAAATTTTGTTGCTTCGCAGGCTGAAGGCAGGCTGGAGATTGTGTTGCCAAACACCAAGAGCATTGGCATGCGGGGGAAAGTCTTGGGCAATGAATGGGTCTGGGGTGAATGGAAAAGATTCGCGGGGAAGATAGAAGAAAATCCTCTATACATGTAATGATTATTCCTCCATTTATTGGTCGCAATTTCGCCAGGTCGCATGTCTGACAGCGTGGCGGCATTGCCATGCGGCTTGGCCTCAGCGGACAAGACGCGAATTGAGAACATCTCCAAATAACAACAAGAATAGGGGCGGTTCACCGGAAGACGGAATTCTTGGCCGCAAAAAACATTCACGTGGCAACAGCGTACTCGTAGACCCCTATGGTATCTCGCTTGTTTCTAGGCACAAAGCCTTGGCTGTCATTGTTGGACCAATTTGGATGTCGCTGAATCAGACTGTGAAGTCAATGCAAGGGGCCAGCATGGTCCATTTCCTTCCTTTGAAAACTCCGGCCAAACGCAAAGCTTTTCTGGTACAGTGCCTATCAGACGTGAATACCAAGAATCTAAGTGTGTAGAACCAAGCACATGCACCGAAAGTGTTTCTTATGTTTGGCAGAGAGCAAGTAAAAGCGACCAATTGGAAGATGGGTAAGAAGTGGATATGAATGAGTATCATTGAACAAATACATCGCTGCAACTCTGAATTGAGACCAATAAAGCGCTAATAAAGGTGCGAACCACTCAACTCCACATGGATGTACTGCGGCGCCTTTGGATGCATTCTTCTGAAGTTGATCCAACTCGGGCACCTGCAGCTTTGCTCTCCGTTGATGGCCTCGCATCATAGGGGATCGTCAGTAGGTTCTACATTGAGACAAGTCAACGTGGTTTAGTTATTTACTAACCAAGGTCCAAGTTGAAGTTGCTGATTCACTCATTTATATCCATAAATTACATATGGTTTTCCTATTCCTAAAAATTAGATTATTTAGTAGTGTGGAGGATTAAGCTCGCGGAGTGCTCAATGTTGGGATGTTGAATATTCCTACTATATTTTAATCTTGAAAAAGAAAACATTTGATGCTTCTCCATGAGATCCGAGTTTCTTTGATGTTAGGTGGCCCTGAGATATTTCTGCCTATTCAGTTATCTCCTTGGAGAGCAACATTGGGGATAAACCAACATCCTATGAGACAGAGAAACATTAGCGGAGCTTGCATAATAAAAACGGCTCGAACGCCTTTCATCTTTGCATCCAGAATAGCTGGCTCCCACTCCCTAAAGTCGACTTCCCCTGGATGCCAGGTTCCCCCAGTTACTCTTAATCGAAGGGTCATCGGCATGTCTTCCGACAATGCTGACTTCATGACCGCATATTGAACAGCCGTCGAGACAGCCATTCCCACAACGGAACCCAGCATTCGCATCAGGTTGCGAGTTGATGTTGCTACAGCACGGTCTTCAGGTTTGGAAAGTGCTTGCAACGCAACCAAAGCTGGCTGATGAACCAATCCAATTCCAGCTCCTTCAATTACTAGCACGATAATATGAGTGCTGACGGATGTTGTTCGTGAGAAAACAATCTTGAGTCCAGAGCCAAGCGTCCATAGGCCCATGCCTGTAAACAGTATAGGGGCGTATCTGGTAAACCGACTTGATTTAGAATGGTCACACAACAAACGCTATAAGTTTAACTCACCTGCCAAGCTTACTCATAAGAGGCCCGGATGCCACTCCGGCAGTGCTGTGCACTAACAAGAGGGGCAGAACCAATGTTGCGCTTCTCAATGGGCCATACCCTCTGACCTCTTGGAAGTAAATGGGAAGGAAATATAGATTTACCTGCCACACACTGTCATAAAGGGCGCTTTGCACATACATGACTGCAGTGGATCTTTGGCTAAAGAGACGGAGAGGGATCAATGGGATTGTGGCCACTGATTTCTCAACAATAACAAATATGACGAGAAAAAAGGCTCCGAGCACTAATAAGGCAATGACATGCGCATTATGCCACGGCCAAATGCTGCCGCCGGAGTTGAGTGGGATCTGCAAAAGAAGTTACAATGATGAATCAACCAACGAAGAGGGCATATTACCAGCAGGAGCAGGATCCCTGCCATTGCAGCGCCCAGCCCATACCAGTCAATCTTGCCTAATTTCTCTCGCCAACCTCCAAAAACTGGTTTTAGCGGAAGGCACATCCAAATTACCAGGGCACATGCCGTAGCGAGAATTGGGGGAACCCAAAAAATCCATCGCCATGCCTCGACGCCCATGGTCGCGCCCTTGTTGAGCATACTCGCTGTAATGAAGGGGCCGGTGCTGGCACCCAGGCCGATTGAGGCGCTAAGTAGGCCTTGATACTTCCCACGATCTTTCAAGCTCACAAGATCACTCACAGTGATCTGGACAAGCGAGCTGATCCCGCCACCTCCGATACCGCTCAACGCGCGGCAAACATACAGCCACAGGGCATTTTTTGCGAATCCGCAGAGAAGGTCGCCGAGTACAAGGAATCCGATACATACCATAAGGACAGGCTTTCGACCAAAGATATCTGACATTCGCCCATACAGAGCTTGGAATACGGTTTGGCCCATGAGGTAAGCTGTGCCTGTCCAGGTAATGCTGTTTCCGGCATCGAGCGACGCAGCGATAGCCGGCAAAGCGGTCGCTACAGAATTGATATCAAGGGTTTGAACAAAGTAGATGGCTGCCAGGCATAGATATGCTATTATAAGGCGACCTAGAGGAAGTCTTGAAGATTGGTCAAATATCTCATCTTTGGCCAGATGATGTGATCCAGTGCACTCGGTAGGGTGGTTGAGTTCCAAACCGAGTCGGGACGTTTCTTGCCCAGCAGGATTAACTCTCTCAAGTTCAATTTCATCTTGCTGATTCTGGAAATTCTCGCTTGTATTAGTGGCTTCAGTAAGACTGTGCCGTTTGTGTGATTTTATAGTAGGTGAGGTAATCATCTTGCGAACGTAATCGAAAGGGGACAATTGATTTTATTAGCAAAATAGTAGATTAAGAGAGAAAACACAATGGCAATTAGTCCGGAAAGAGGGAATGCCCAGTTATGTATCATTTTTCCGAGGAATGGACGCGTAAGCGGACTGTCCCTCGCTTCATCTTCCACATGTACGCTTCCCCGCAATCACGCGACCAGGAATGAGTCACATATGCCATCATGCATCACAATTTGAACTATTTAAATCATCCTCTAAGGACAGTAGTTCAAAGAAGTTGAATGCGTGCCTTGTACAGAAGTTTGGCAACGCTACTCTGTAACGCTTAACAAGGATCGCCATAGTTTGAGAGATAGTTTACCCATCAATTGAAGCTTGACGATCTTTGCAAATGAACCATGCGTTGATATTGGCAAACAGTGAGCGCTTAGTTATTGTCTTTGTTCGCACGAACCCGCAGATGACTTTTGATGTTGACTTACATTATTACAACCAGCTTGGGTCTGTCTTCACGAACGAGAAAAACGATCAAGATGAGACGGCTTACATAAGAGTCTCTTGACTTTCAGCCATATCTTGCCTTCAATTCGCAACGGCCTTTTTCCCGATGGGGTTAGCCTGAAAATAACCTGACCCAACGTACTGGGGACTTTTGTTCCTCTCAGTAAAACCAGCTTCGTAACTAAGGAAACAACACTTTTGACTTTCTGGTACTGCTGTAGTTTGAACTTTATCATGGCCTCAACTAAAGCTTTTACATTATCCCTGCCGGTAGAATCTCGCAACATTAAATCGAGCATCAACTATTACAAAGACCCCAGGGACGGCAGTGAGCATGCTCCAAGCATTGCAGGCAAGAGAAGTACATTCAACCAACCTTCTGTGGATCTGGAGACAATCATCACCGACATCTCGGGAAATGAGGACAAATATACACTAGACAGTCACGGCTTCCAACTCTGTCATCATGTCAGCAAGGAAAAGGAATTCACCGATGATCAACGCATCAAAGAACTGTACTATCCTGAAGTGGAAAGGTTGCTATACGAGGTGTAGGTTTCAGCTACATGCCCATAAGATGGCACATGCTAAGCAAAACATAGGACTGGAGCAAGTCGTCTGTTTGTTTTCGATCATACGATTCGCCGACCGAATCCAACTGCAGCTCATTCTGACGAGGAAAGGAGACCAGTCAAAAGAGCTCATATTGATCAGTCTGAATGGGCTGCAATGAATCAAGTAACTCGCCACCTGGGGTCTGATGCACAGCAGCTTTTACAGTCTCGTTTTCAGGTTATAAATGTTTGGCGACCCATCAAGACGATCTACAAAGATCCTCTTGCCGTCTGCGACTCTCACTCAGTTCCAGATGAGGACATTCTGCCTATTAAGTTAATCTATCCTGATTGGGTAGGGGAACCATGTACTATTCTCCCCAACAAAAACCATCGATGGTATTTTAAAAATCAACAGACGCCAGAAGAAGTCATGTTAATCAAATGTTACGATTGGAAGATGGACGGTCGCGCTCGAAGAGTTCCGCATGCTGCGTTTACTGATCCGGACATGGTGGATCGAGAGCCGAGGCAAAGTATTGAAGTGAGAGTACTTGTCTTCCATGAAGATGATGCTACCAGGACTTGAACCTCACACAAAAATGCTAGGACATAAATTTTCTTGTTTTTCTTTTTCCCTTTTGTCGCGTATCTCACAAGTCAACGAGCCGTCAGTCTCAGTGTTAGCATTACTGCCCCATTAGGCTAGAGGTGGGTCTCGGAGCTCGGGGCATGTCCCTTTCGAGCAAACTCCGGGGTAACGGTGAAATCAATTGCTTTCCTTCTCAACTATGCTCAAGGAACAATCAAGAAAGTTTTAATGAGTATTCAGTAAAAAGCTTGAAGAAAGATAAACTCAGTTCTGATCTCGAAACTCAGTATAGTACATCAGTTGATGATCATGGCTATCGCCGTCGATTTTTTGCACCTGGTGTACGACACCAAGTCTGTCCATCTCATCGGAGGATTCATACTGCTTTGTGTATGCCGCATTTGACTGACAATCATGTCCTGGTTGATTCTAACAACGTTGCAGGCTGCGATTCACACCACCTATTTAATAACATTTAACTTGTTCTTCCATCCGTTAGCGAACTTTCCTGGTCCTTTGGTAGGACGTGCATCATTAGTGGGTTTTGACAATTACAGCTAGATTCCTGGGGGTCTGTTAGGCTAATCCTGTCATCAAGCTGTGGAGAATTCGGCAGTCTATGACTGGCCATTTTCATTTAGCAATTCAAGAACAACATAGGAGATATGGTGATAACATGATTGTTTTTTTTTTTTTTTCCTTCCAACACTCACACTCAATAGGCCCTGTTGTTAGAGTCTCGCCTAATGAGCTGTCATTCGCGTCTGTCATGTCATGGAAGGATATATATGGTCATGGCTCGGGAAGAAATCGCACCATGCCAAAGAGTGAGTTCTACGATATGTACGGTTCTGGCTTTGACTCCATGTGCGTAGGCAGTGAGAGAGATCCAAAAAAACATGCTCAGATGAGAAAGTCTCTCTCGGCTGCCTTTTCAACTAAAGCACTGGTGCAACAAGAGAGAATTGTGCACACGTGTGTGGACAATTTCATACAACGACTAAGATCTGAGGGCAATTCTCAAGAGGGCTTGAACATGACAAAATGGTTCGAAATGATTGCCTTCGATATTTTGGGAGAAATGGCATTTGGTGAAAGCTTTCACTGCATTGAAACAGGTACTTCAACATACAACCTTGTTAATTGGAATGTGCTCAATATAGGAACAGGGAAACCACATTTCTGGTCAGATATGATTGTGGAACACCTCTTTTTCGTCACCGTTTTGGATAATTTACGCCGGTTCCCGTTGCTAGCAGCAATAGGTAAAGTTCTACTTCCGAAATTGACAGTCTCCGTTCGTGATCGACATTCTGGCTACAGCCGAGACAAGGTACAAAGGTATGTTGGCAGGATTACACCGCTATAGGCCATGATTGACAATTTGTGTAGAAGGCTTAGAAGGAGATCTAGTCGCCAAGACTTTTTGACAAATATCTCAGAAAAGGTTAAGGCAGGTGAAATATCTCAAGAGGAAATGACTGCTCATGCTTCAACGCTAGTGTAAGTGTCGAGCAGATTGTCTTAATAGACAATATTTTACTGACAATGAACAAAGAATTGCTGGAGGCGAAACGGTGGCAACCTTTTTGGCCGCAGTGACCTATTTTCTATTATCGAATCCAACCGTGTACCGCAGGCTTCAAATGGAAATAAGAGGTCGTTATACGAGTCTGAGCGAGATAACAGCTACATCTGCTCAACAACTTCCATACTTGCAGGCCGTAATTTCTGAGGGCCTGAGATTATACCCCCCAGGCTCTCAAGGTTTCCCCCGAACTTGTCCTGGGACCACAATCGACGGCCACTGGGTTCCTAAAGGGGTAAGCCCACCATGGATGTAGATTCCAATCAGACGTTACAGGACTTTTTAACAATTTCAAAGGCAGAAGTTTACACCAGTGCATGGACTGTTACACACGACGAAAATAACTTCCACGAACCATACGCATTCAAACCTGAGAGATGGCTCGGCTCACACGGCCAAGACATCCTAGAAGCCAGTCAGCCGTTCTCCCTCGGACCACGCGGCTGTCTTGGTAAAAAGTAAGTGTCTTTGACTTTAAACCAAACTATTACCAAGCTAATCAATGGACGTTTTTATTTGGTGATTCAGCTTTGCATTCGTCGAGATTAATCTCATACTAGCGAAGATGCATTTCGCATACGACCTTGAACTCATTGATAAGGACTTGGACTGGCTAAATCAGAGCCACATGCATGTGATGTGGTGGAAACCAGCAGTGAACATAAGGTTTCATTCTGTTATGACGTCTCCATAGCTTTTTCTAGATTTTGTTCTTCATATGTGCGCAGCCATAAGTGCGCAGCCTATGTGTCCTTGTAAATCCAAGAGCTGCACTTGAGGACTGACGCTCACCAAAGCCAAGGTTGGCCCAGTCTGCATGTAGTTATGTATCTAGTGAGTAATGCGTAATAAAGCCACCAATAACTGTTCATGGTAGTAGCAGCCTATCTTGGTTTGTCTGTTTGGGCCCGCTATGGTTTTGATCGGACAAGTGTGGATAAGGTAAGGTAACACAGGGTGTGGGTGGCAGGCCTCGCCGGCCCGTCACGTGGGCTGACGGCCGCCACCACTGGTCTTAGCCAGCCTCCACAGCCCTCTAGCCAGTTAGTTAGTTCTTCCAACCAACAACACCACTTTTCCCATTCTGAGCGTTCTGTGCTGGTTTCGCCCACAGGTTATGAGCCCAGCGTTATTCTTTCGGAATAACGTCGTTTTACCCATTATTCTACTCGTCTGTCAATTTTCTATTGATTCACGAATTTTTGCGATTTTATTCGCTTTATTTACCCTTCTGTGCGATTTTCTCGCTTTCTTTCCTTCCTCTTCGCTGACGAATTTCACTTTCTGACGCGACATTGGCTGCCTGGCGCGCACGAATATCACGTGGCACGCGACCGACCACCACAACCCACTGGTTTTCACGAACACCACGGTCAACAACAGACTTTTCAGTCACAACTACAACTTTTACTTCGATTCCTCGTTTTTCACGAGAATTCAACCATTTCAGCTTCGGTTTTTCGAACCAGCCCATCAGTTTCTCGTATCTTCTACGAGTATTCATTCTTCCCTTCGATTCACCGTATTTCTACGGTCGGATCTCACAATTCCACCCATTTCTCGTGTTCTTACGCAAGATTCTCCCTCCTACACAATCCAACAGCACGCGTAGGTGGCAGCGAAAGTAAGCCATCTAACGTACAGACACGCCTCCAAAGCTGCGGCCTCGGAGAAACGCCTGTGATCGAGGTGCGACTATAAGTCTGTCCCGCACTGTTGTGATACCCTCACTTTCACTTCAAGATGTCTCAAAACGACTTCAAGACCGTCTTCACGCCTCTTCCTCGCCTGAAAGGTGAATCCAACTGGAACACATGGCGCATGCTTGTTACAGCGACCCTGCGAGGATACGACTTCGAGATATTCCTCGAGACTGACGTCCCTCGCCCTGCTGACCCTATCGCTGCAGAGGAATGGAGAAAGAACCGTAACGTCACGAATGGTCTCCTCATGAACGCCAGCGAATCGGTTCTTGACAGACTCTGCACAGCGGGTTGGGTTGACGATGGAAACCCTTACGAATTGTGGCAGGCGCTCGAGAAGCACATTCCGAGAATCTCACAAGACGCCACAGCTGCCCTTGTTGACGAGTTTGCCAAGACCACCGCCAACGATCACAAGACTCTTCACGATGCCCTCAATCGCTGTCACCACCTCAGAAAGCGTATTGAGACCATTCACGGTCGTCTGCCAGACTCCTTCCTCGCTGTTTTCCTCCTTAACTTCTTTAAGGACCGACTTCCCGATACGTACAAGCATTTCACATCGAAGGGCGCCACCCATCCCACGTGGAATGAGGTGGCTGATACGATTTACACGCTTGCCCAAGACGAGGATCAAAAGCGCAGTTATGCCACTATTCGCAACACACCTGGAGGCAAGTCTGCTGGCAGTGGGGGTCCTGCCTCTCCAGCCGTCACCACCACCGTCACCTCCACTGTCACTGCCTCCAAGGAAAAGAAGAAGTGCGACCACTGCAACTGTGATCACGAGACCACAAAGTGCTATGTCGCCCACCCCAATCTCATCCCTCTACACTACGTCAACCGGGATAAGTTGATTGAAAAAGCGAGAAAGCACGTGTGTGGCGATCGCTGCCGCTGGGATCAGCCTACTTCTGTTGATGGCACCCGCCAGACTGTTGTCAGAGCGTCACCTGCCATCTTGGGTCAGTCTGCCCTTGCCTCCATCGCCAGCCCAGCAGTTTTCACTGCTGCCCGCGATGACCTCATCACCCGAGACGATATCGTTCTCGATTCTGGTTGTACTACTTCAACCTTCAACAACTTGCGATATTTCGTCAAGTACGCTGAAAAGAGCGATTTGACACCTTCCACTTCTGCCTCCGGCGCCCCAGTCCGGTCACTTGGCGTGGGCACCGTCTTCTTCCAGACCCAAGACCCCACCAACCCTGACGTTATTCACGATTGGACACTTCACAACGTTGAGTACAACCCTTCCAGCCCAGCCAACTTACTGAGCCCTGGAAAACTTCGTCGTGATCACGTGGAATATGATTGGCAGACCTCAAGCCTCATACACGTGACACAGCGCACTTCCCTTGCCAAAGTTCATTGGGTTTCTGACGTCTGCGTCGTTGAGACTCATGATACTGGAAATCACGTGCCTCGAGATATTGCTGTCAGCCTCGCCGCCTTCCGGGCTACCCAGCGACCGTCTCTTGAACTGATGCACCGCCGGCTGGTTCACGCCCACCCATCACGTGTTGTGGAGGCTTGCCGCCGTGTTGGCATTCGGTTCACAACGTCAGAAATTGACGCTTTCTTCTGTGAGTCTTGCCATCTCAGCAAATCCACTGAACGGATTAGTCGAGACCACCCACTTCCACTTACGAGTATTGGCGATGAAATTCACCTTGATCTCGTTGGTGTTCTTCCCCTATCAACAAAAGGGAACCGTCAGGTTCTACACCTCATGGATAAGTATAGTGGTTACCACTGGGTTGTTTTTCTGCCCAACCACAAGTTTGCCACCATCCTGGCAGCTATCAAGAAATGGGATACTGAATTCTACAGTCTCACCGGCCTCAAGCCCAAGGTTTGGGTTTCTGACAATGCTCCCGAGCTAATCAAGGTTTTCAACGACCCCTACTTCGAGGGTACTCGCCACAACACGACTATTGCCTACACGCCTTCCATGAACGGTACTATTGAGCGTGCTGGTCGTACCATCGTCGAAGGCGCCCGGACACAGCTGATTGACATGTCCCTTCCAGAGGAACTGTGGGATTACAGCATCGATTCGGTGACTCAGATTCTCAACCTCTTGCCCACACCCTCCAAGGGTAACTTGAGCCCTCACGAGATCATGGCGAGAGAGCTGAACTTGGCTGCTGAACGTGAGGCCCCCCACATTGAACATCTCCGAACGTTTGGCTGTGCTGCCTACGTACACAAGAAGGGCCCTCGACGCCCTATGCGCTCTGCCAAGATGGAACCACGAGCAATCAAGGGATTCCTCGTCGGTTACGGTTCTCTTCGTGGCCACATTTACTACGTTTACCTGCCTGATCGAAAGGAGGTTATTCGCTGCAGAGATGTTCGATTTCGTGAGGAACCGCACAAGACAGTGTTGCCTCCAACTACTGGCACACCCAACATTGATGAAATTGAACATGATGCTGCGTTTGTCGAACCAGATATCATCATCCAGTACACCATCCGTCAGAAGCCTATTGAAGGTGAAAAACCCGTGACTGGTGATCCCAAACCAGATGAGACCATCGTTGAAAAAGCGATGGCACCCACTGATACACATCTCATGTCTCCGCCACCAGAGAACCTGTTGGAGACCACTGCTACACCTCGTGACAGCATTACTAACGAATTGAATGATGACGAATTCGTCGCTTCCGTGGAAACAATGGAAACTGATCACCAGGACCCTGATTCCCTCTCCACGATTGTTGAGGAAGCAACGAGTCAACCGGCAGAGTCCTCTCGACCTCGCCGCGCCTCAGCCCAGCGACCACCTGGTCACTACCGAGCCGCCAGTGGCGTACGCTCCTATGCTAAAAAGACTTTTCTATCTGCTGACATTCCAGCTTCACTAACTTCTCGTCAATTCTCTCTCAGCGTGCTTTCTGCTACTGCCCTTTCGAAAGTCCTACCCGACGGCGTGGTGATCCCGAAGTCCTACCGTGAGGCGCAGAAGAGCCCACAGTGGCCCCAGTGGGAACAAGCCTTCGAACGAGAGATGACTCAATTCACGGAAAAGGGGGTTTACGAAGTCGTTTACCCACCACGTGACGCTAAAGTCCTGCCCGGCAAGTGGGTATGTGACATCAAAACCAACAAAAACAACGAAATCGTGCGCTACAAGGCCCGATATGTGGTTTGTGGAAACCACGAGAAAGGTGACTGGTCATCGCAAGAGGTTTACGCTGCAGTTGCCTCTGCCACCGCAACCCGCCTTTTCTTCGCAGTTGTCGCACTTCTCGATCTTGAATACGAAGTATATGATTTCGACACTGCTTTCCTAGCCGCCTCGATTCCAGAGGGGGTTAAGGTGTACGTCCGGCCCCCCGCTGGCTACGCCACTGCAGACAACAAGGTTTGGCTGCTCCACAAGGCACTCTATGGATTGAGAAAATCACCACTTTGGTGGTTTCGACTTATCAAGGGTGAAATGGAACGAATTGGCTTCACTGCTGTTGATGGGGAGGTTTGTCTCTTCGTCAATCACAAGATTAAAGCGTACGTTCTTATGTACGTCGACGACAACGCCATCGCCGCTCCCAACAAGCAAGTCATGATGGAAGTTCGTCGTCTCCTCGAGAAGGTCTGTTCTCTTAAAGACCTCGGCGAGGCTACCGATTTTCTCGGTTTCCAGATTGAACGCGACAGAGCTGCCGGTAAGATTTTCGTTTCCAAAGCCAAGTACGCAAAAGCAGTGCTTCAACGATTCGACTTTGATGGTTTGAGTGCTGTCAAGACGCCTATGGCGACCACTGACGATCTGCCCGTCACCTGGGACAAGAACGAGTGCTCGCTTGACGAACAACAACTTTACATCGAACAAACCGGCTGCCTTAACTTCCTGGTGGCTGGAACTCGCGTTGACATGGCCTACACCGTCAGTAAATTGTCACAGGCGAATTCAGGGCCTTCTAAGGCCCATCTTCGTGCTATTAAGCACTTATTCCGATACCTCAAGGGCACCGTTTATCTCGGTATTGTACTTGGAGGCATCCCCACGATCAACGAGTTGGGGCTCTACGCTGCTGCAGATGCCTCTTTCGCTGACAACAAGCCATCACGAGTCTCGACAGGTGGTTACGTCGTCTTCCTCGCTGGTGCGCCGATTGCTTGGAAGTCAAAGAAACAGACTTTCGTGACTTTGAGCACCACGGAGGCTGAATTCATCAATCTCACACCTACGGCAATTGCTGTGAAGTGGATCAGACGTTGCCTCTCCCAACTGCTCGGCAAACCCATCACCACGCCTACTATCATGTTCACTGACAGTGCCAACGGCTACGACAACGTCATGAACCCACTCAACGAGGCACGAACCCGCCACATCGACGTCCGATACAAATGGATCATACAGGAGGTTCACACTGCGAAAAGCATCGAACTCCGACTCATCAAGGGCGCTGATATGGCCGCCGATGGACTCACGAAGCCACTGGTTGCGGTCAAACACAAGGAATTCGTTCGTTTGTTGGGCATGGCGGAGGGATTGGATTGAGAGGGGGATTTTGAGACTGTGGGACTATTGATATTGAGACTTCGGGATTCGGAGGATTTCACGGCCTCCTATTGGCCAGGTTTAACCGGTAATTGACCGAGTTTTCTAATAGTTGAGAACTCCTCGGATTTGGAGGATTTGGGACTTTTCCTGTATTTCCTATTATTCTACTGCTTTTTCGCTAAGGAGTCTGAGAGGGGGTGTAGGTGGCAGGCCTCGCCGGCCCGTCACGTGGGCTGACGGCCGCCACCACTGGTCTTAGCCAGCCTCCACAGCCCTCTAGCCAGTTAGTTAGTTCTTCCAACCAACAACACCACTTTTCCCATTCTGAGCGTTCTGTGCCGGTTCTCGCCCACAATAACTGTGGGTATCTAAAGCCCAGATCGGTAAATACGCCGTGCCGGTGATACCGAGCTAAACAAATGAAACTACCCAACTGAGCATTGTCATTTATTGCAATGGCTCTCACCGCCATTTATCAAACTTTAATTTCTGGTTGCACTGAATGCAGATGTGATCGAAGTCAGTGACAGGCTGGCGGTGTGATTGCTTGGAGCAGCAAAACAAGGGGCGCATCGATGATAGCAAAACGCCGAAAACTACTCCGTACAGCCGCCTGGCCGCAATGGTTACCATGCTTTCAGCACCGGTATCCCATCGGGGCCTAGTGGGCTACAGGTACTTCCTCATGAGGAGGACTAGCCACTCAGAGACTAGTTAAGGCTTTTTCTAACCAAACAAATCATCTGATTAAAGATATTTATTTCATCTATAGTGTCTGGCTATTATATATGTACTTGCAATCATCAGAATTACAAAGTGGCTGGTGAGCACACCTAGGAAATTCACGTCTGAAGAGCGTACCGTCATGTATCTCTTTCGTGGGGGTAAAAGGTGGGTGCAAAATCGGGCACTGTACCTGTGGCCTACCAGGCCCCGATGGGATATAAACAACCTCGGCAGGCTAACTAGACTAAATGAAGACTTCCTGTTTAGGTCATGCGATGCCCAACCTCCTTTCAGGCGAGTCTTTCATAAATCTTATTGAGATGTTTCAACCGGAGATTGAATCAACAACTTCTTTCTGAAGTAAGAAGAAAGGCGGAGGAAGTAGAGTGCATTTCCATTGCTGGCTGTGCACAGCGAATCATGTTGCTGATAGAGATCATATTAGCCACCAACTTACATATTGTCTCCAATAACGGGGCTATATAAGATGCACATACGGTGAATTGGTATTAGTGGTCATGAATTGATGTTTGTAGTGAGTATCGGTAATGCGTCCCTTACACACCTCTCACCTTTCTAGGTAGTGGCGTACGCATTGCTCCAAAGAACTCTTCAAAACATGGCACTGTGAGTCTTATAAGATCACATGTCTTCCATTTCAAAGTCTGATATCACATTTGTACTTAACGTAAGCATAGTATATTCAGAACATAGTTTAAATTACTTAATCTATTGTTTTCTTAGCTACTCGTTGCCCAGCAGGTGCTCAGCAAGACTTTCCCTAGAAGTCATCCTCAATCTTTTTCAGCGAAGACTCGATAAAATATGAATACTAACACTCTTGAGTTTCGGTATGCCCTGTAAACAAAGCTTCTAGAGGGTTCAGCGCAAAGTATCAACAAAGGCCTTCGCGAGGGCTAGCTTGGACCCAGCTCCATGTTCGTGGTATTACTGGACCATGGGCAAACTTGGTTTGCCTTACTGGCTCAAATGTGTCCACTTTATTCGACCTCACCTTACCAAGCACGGCATTCTTCAAGTATCGAGGAAGTCCATGACGTTTTTGAAACATGGAAAAATAATGTTCACCACCTCAGTTTGTGAATCTAGAAGTCAATGAAAAGGAAATTTCTTTCAGAACATGCCAAAGCACAATAACCACCGGCCTCCCATCGCTTGTAACTCTATGCAACAACCCTGCCTTCGATAATTGTTGACTGTTAATTCTTGTTTGTTTTGTTGGGCGGAAATTTATTTGGGGCATTTGAATCCGGTCCCCAGCCCCCATACCCCGATGCCGCCATCATTCCACCAAGTCCAGTCGTGTTTCCAACGTCTATCTTCCCAGCTGCCTGATTCCCGCCCACACCGGGACGGTCCTTGGCCCACTCCTTCAATCCAGCCTTGGTAAGGCCCGTGTATTTGACGAGATCTTCCTCTGAGATTTCGCCCCTCTTAGAATCTTTATATCGCTGATACAGCGACTTCTTCTGCGGCGCAGAAGGCTTTTGTGCCGTTTCTGCGTTCAACTGCATCTGGGCGTCATTGGTGACGGTTTTAGTGGCCATGTTGACCAATATCGAAGGACCAATATCGAAGGTCAGGGGAATTGTGAGTTTGCAAGATCTGAACAGCTTTGCAAGTGGGTGTGTTTGAAACTCAGGATTTTCGTCGTATCAATCGTGGCTTTGTTGAATTTTATGTGAAGACTTCAAAAGTTGTGTCTTGCTCAGGGATTTGGGAACTTCTGGTTTTAATAAGAACTTGTACGTACGCACCTGGGATCGCCTCATGTGGCGGGCGACTTTGTGGATCGTTTACTTGTGTTGGCGCGTAACACCTTCCTAAAAGGAGCACGCCACTCCATCATCGTGAACGTAACAGGGCGAAGCAGCCACTGCGGCTCACAAAATTCAGGCAACAGGTGATTTATTTGTTGTCTAAACTACTTACGGACTGTTGTTGGTTGGCTTCGTTCGACGATCTCTCCACCACCATTGGTTGAATTGGCAACCAACATGCGGGACTGACGACACGTGAGCCTCTCGGGCAAAAGTCCCCGCAGACAGTACCCCAGCGGAGCACATTTACTGCGACTTGTAACAGCCAATGTGAGATGTTGGAACCGAATTTCAGGTTTAGCAACCCGAGGTAGAGTCCCAATGGATAAAACTGGTCATATGATGCTGCACGACTTCCCACTCCACCAAGATGTTCATGCAAACGGAGAATTCGTTATTGATTATTACACATAATGCGATTCCTGACAGACATTGCAAAGGAGTTTGGTATCTACAGCAGAATTCGTTCGTTGAACTCGCGTCGCTCACTCTCAAGCACCAAGGGACCACCACTAGGACCGCTGGCATCTAAACTCAACGTCACCTTCTGCAAGTCGGTCACTACTCGGACCGTTTCCCCAATATTCTGATAGTCAATCTCGTGATGGCCATGTGCTTGAGTAGTCTCCTCTTTCTCCTCCTTGACTTCACGAATTTCAACGTTGGGGTAAGGTAGTCGTCCCTCGCGCAGGGGAACTAGGAGGACTGGAACTTGCAATTCTGACTCGCCGAACTTGGTATCAGACTGATCGATGCCTAAGCTCCTAAAATGACCCCGTTTTCGACCGCCAACGAGCCAGCTATCAGGCAAACCCGTAACCTCGTAGCTGAACTCATAGTTCTTATTGATGCTCTTGCCATCACTGACGGCCGTATCCCATATGCGCGTCCATCGCAACCGGAGGTTGGCGGGAAGGAGTTGGTTGACTGCCACAGTTGAGCTAAAAGTCTGCTCCTTGGGTGAGGGCAGCTGGATATCGACTGAATGGAAAACCGGAATTGATGGGACATCAACAGGGATAAGGATAGAGCGTCTCGCTGACTCCATCTCCCTAATGGTGAGTTTTGGGTGGGCTTTCTGCCAGTCCTTAAGGAAGGCCTTCAGCATAGTTGAGGCATCTTCTCCGGTCCCTGGAACCGCGCCTAGGCCAGGCATTGCTGTTTCTGAGAGTAAAGGTGTTATGAAGCTAGTTGGCACTTCACCACGCAGAGCAGCGCGCTCCAGCTCATAAGCAGAAAGACTAGAGTGCACTTCTGCAAGAATACTTCCAATGAGGAAGCCCGAAAAGGTTGATAACGGTAACTCTTTGGTGGCTTCAGCAAATACTTCCTCCACAAGGTTAATAATCTCATCTAACAGGACGCTGTACTGTAGCTTGAGATATAGAGTTCGTGGGGTTTTAGCAGTGATCACGTCTGCAGACTTGCGAGTAATCTTGTAAAGCAAGCTTGCAGGCTGCCTGGGGAAAACTGTCACAATCCTATTTGCCGCAGGTGCAGAGTGTGACTTGAAAACCTCGGAATCAAGAAGCTCTGACGCAAAAAGTTTAAGTGGGCTAAAGGATGCTGTCGAGACACTAAAGCGCGAGAAAAGTGCTTTATCCTTGAAAACATCCTGGACATTAACACCCAAGGCAAGTGCTATAGGAATTGAGACGACACTCGAATAGTGATAAGTGCCATCGTCCGTCGAGTAATTGACCTCAACTCGAACAGATATGTTGCCGACGTCTTGCTCAATGGTGTAGGGGAAGCGCATCTTGATCGTTGTTGCTTGAGGAACAGCTCCGAAGTGAAAAAGACCTGCTTCAGGCGGTTTCTCGTATTCAAAAGAGGGACCGATGAAGTCGGCTTCAGTCGAATTGATCCGGAGGCCGCCAGTTGCAGGCTTCACTGATAGCTCACAAGACGAGATGGCGTTCCATCCCGTTGAAACCTCCAGATCGACCGAGTTATTCTTGTCAAGCTGGATGTCCTTTGCAGCCGTCAGGCGACATCTCAAGCCTCCTGCTGGTCGATACAGTTGCACATCAGGCACACGGAAAACATGTGCAGTTTTGCTTGGTGTTTGGTTGATGTCGCGATCCCAGTGAAGGTGGACATTGGCACAAACAATGTCTATACGATCGATTCTGTAAGGACCTGACACATTGGTCTATATTGAGTTAGTGAAGCCACGTGGTCTCAATTGAGGAGACTACTCACTGTGCTGATGAAATGCAGCTTGTTAACGCCTGGCTTGAGGATGCTCGTCTCTGTTGTATGTAATCGAACCTCTTTGGTTCCTCCAGGAATAGTCCGAGTTAGACGAAGCGTGGCCTTTTCCACACTCAATTCATCAACCAAAAGGCTCCTCAATGTAATTGTCAGAGAAAACCGATCCTTCCCCTCGTGATAATCTGGAGTCCCCACCACTTCAACCTGTGTGAAAAGCTGCTGCAAGGGAACCTTAACTTCGTTTGACAGTGTTGCGGCGACGCTTAGAAGCTCGTTCAAAAAGCCAGAAATTGCGCTCTTCTCAGGGTATGCGACTTCTTGATGAGGTCCAACAGCCAGTGATGTCTTTCGGATCAGCCTCTCGTTTTCAGCGGCTGCCGCTTTGGTTAACAGTTTTAGTCCCACGCGAACAAACTCATCCTTGCGTTGCAGTTCTCGGAGGCAGTGAGAATACATGACAAGCATGGACAGCTCTAATAAGCTCCAATTATTCTCTCCAAAAAAGGGGGTCGTCATGTAAAAGAAAGAGGCAGCGGGGCCGTACTCGCCGAGGTGGTACTTGAGAACAGCGAGATCAGCCATGCTGGTTTTGACTGCATGAGTATGGTTCGCGACAGTATAATGTCGTAAAGCTTTGTCTGTGAGCGTTTCATAGAGGCGGTAGAAGTCCTCGTGGTTGTCAAGAGCAGCACGTAGCAGTCCATTCTCAATACCAGCCAGTCCAATGCAAGCCGATACCGAATCATCTGGCTTGGATTCCTTTTCGTCGGCATCGCCATCGAGATTCACGTCTTCAAACTCGTTGCTCTCCGACTCTCCAAGCACAGGCGCTGAGGTCCATCCACTGTCCCAACCTCGCTTCTTGCCGCTTCCTTGCAGAACATTGCGGGAAAGAGCATAGAGCTCTGCACGCCTTGCGGCTAGTTCTTCCAAACCAGCTTTCAGAAACTGAGAGCTGGGGCCAGTAGTATCTTCTGCACTGGGTCGTCGAGCACCGGGGAATATGCCAGGACTGGGTGGTTGTATCGTGTTCGTTCTCACTACGAGAGATGAGTTTCGAGCAGGGTGCATCATAGTTTTGAGCTCAGGGATGGAAGACTTGGGTTCGTGGCTATCCGCATTCGTGAGCGTCGATGGTGGAATAGGGAGTGCCTTGGTAGAAGTCTGCGCAAGGATTTGCTGCGCGACAGAGAAAGCAAAAGAAGCGACTAAGTTGTCAATAGCCTCAGCCAGAACCGGGTCGATAATAGCCGTGTCTTCTTGTGAGTATTTCGTCTTCAAAGCTGACAGGATATCTGTCCTCATGACCTGCGAAACGGCGGGAACAAATTCAAGTGTTCTTCGGCAAATCTCAGCCAGCATTGACAAGTTCTCAGCTTCTTCCGTTTGCTTGGGCGGCGGCGCTCGAGGGGCAACGCCATGAAGAACTGACTCTTGCTGTTCCTTGAGTTTTGCTAGAAGTTCCTCGCGAGTAGACCAAGCATTCCCAAGGCGGAGAAGCAACGAAATCTGCCTGGCAAATATGTAACAGCGGAAGTCGAAGACCGACACATTGTTGGCCACAATCATCTCACGATACGGTTTCTTTGTAGAACCGATAGGAATCTCGTCAAACGTGTCGGTGTTGGGGGCGTCGCTGGCCTGTAAGTCCACCGGTTGTTCATCTTCGCCGTCACCATCATTGGCCCCCAGTGCCTGTATAGCTGCTTCAGCGCGCTTCACCAGGTCCTCCGTATTGCTCAAAAGTGAACCGCCATGTCTTTCCGGATCCCCAGATGTTGCTTGTTCTTGAATCACAGTATCCAGCCCAACGCTAAGCTCATCGTATCCGACTAAAGCGTCCTCAACGAGGCCCACACTTTCGAAGCCGCGAGCTAAGCCTTCTTTCAAGATGAAGAAGGTGCAGAAATTCCAACCAGGAAGAGCACGCTGGGAGTCCTTTTCTTTAATATCCTCTTCGTATTGGGTCACCCGCATGTCGAAAGACGAAAGGATCAACTCTTTGAACTTGCCAATGAGATCTTCCCAGGCATTCTCCGCATCTTCACGAGATTCAGAGTAGCCAGTTGGCGTCGCAGGAACCACTCTCGGAAGAATGTCGTATGGCACATCGTTGATGCCAATCCGAATCTGAGTCACGCGATCGAGGGAGCTCTTGCTGGAGCTGTTGAAATCCGATCGAAGCTTCTCCAAAAGCGTGGAGGAACCGGATCCCCATCTAGACGTCCTTGACTTCTCGGCAGCATCGAGACCCTTGCCGCTAAGTCGTGGCTGGTTGGCAGCAAACGTGTTGGGTATCACCACATGAACAATCAGCCACTCAAAGGCGTCGTGGTTCTCTTGTGTACTCGCTTTTCGCGTAGACTGCGATGGAGGCGTATGTTCCTTGACCCACTCCCGGATCTCTGCTCGCGTCTGGGACTTGTACGTGTCACTATCGTCGCATCGGACAAGCAAAACTTTGAGATATGGTGTCCGCCTCAGCCCTGGTATCTGGTGTCGGCGTTGGGTGCCAGGCTGACGCGCTGCAGCAGTAGGTGTATCGGCAGTATCTGTGGAAGTGGTCTTCCCTCCGATTTGTTGCGTCTGGAAGCCATCATCCTTGGTACTAGCGCTGGCCGACCTTCGGAGCGACGGAGAAATGGTAGGTGAAGTTGGAGGGGCTGGTTCTCCACTGGCGGATATGAGTTCGACATGAAGAGTATCGATCGATCGTAAGGGGCCAGCGTGGGATTGCCAGTGCAGGTTTCGAAGAGGAAGACGAGGAACTAGACCAGGGGCTACAAGCTTGTAGACATCGTGGGGGTCGAAGTACTCGACTACAATGCGCACACGACCAATTAGTTGGAGAAGCTCTTGAAGACGTGCGACGAACGACACGTTGCATTGGAAGCAACATACCTGTAACTTTGGAGGTTGAAAAAGGCCGCTCCATCTTGAATGGCTCCTCCAACAGAGGCTTCAATCACATTGTCATCCGCGACAACACTGCAAAGCTTTTGCGGGTGCTGAGCCGTTATACAAGGTGAATTTCAATTGTTGGAGGCGCTTGAGGAGGAAGGTTGAAGCTTTGGTGGAGACGCAAACCGGCGCTTTAACAGTACGTAGTTAAGGTACTACTAGCAACTGGCGGAAGCTGCGCTGCGGTGAGAAATGCGCCGGCCGGCAGCAGCCGAAACGGCAAGACCCCTGTGGCGGGGCTCAGGGGCAGCTTTCTCTGAAGACTGAGCCCCGATGATTCGCCGAGAGCGGTGAAGGAACACCTGCCCAATTGATTGGCCAACAATGACGCTGGTAGTGCGCGCCAATGGAGGGGCACGGCAGAACGTTTGTTTCCCCTCGAAAGTTGCCCCTCGCCAGCCTAAAAAAAGTCAAGTGGTTTGTACAAGTGAGTTTAATTTTGCGCCTGCTTCCATCAGCATATTTTTTTCCGTGATACCCTCTTTATTTTTCACTATATACTTATCATATTGAAGCCTACCACCATGTCTGGATTGCAAGCCGTCAAGTATACTCGAGGCCGCCTCGAGGTTCTCGACCAGTTGAGACTTCCCCACGAGTTCCACTACGATGAGGTCTCGACGAGCGAAGAGGCATTTGACTGCATCAAGTCAATGAGAGTCCGTGGTGCCCCAGCCATTGCCATTGTCGCCGCCCTCGCGCACGCTGTCGAACTCCACAACGGAAGCTGCACCGCCTCTTCTGCGCAAGATACCGTCTCCTATATCGATTCGCGGCTGGATTATCTCAAAGAAAGCAGACCTACCGCCGTCGACCTGACCAACGCCATCAACCAGCTCAAGGCTCGTATTCGCACTGCGCCCCAAGACGACGCCAAGAGTATTATTGCTGCGTACATTGAAGAGGCTGAGAAAATCCTGCAGAAGGATCTCCAGACCAACCTCTCCATTGGTGACCATGGAGCCCAGTGGCTGAAGGAGACGGCCAACGCATCCCCCGAGTCCAAGATCTCCGTTCTTACTCACTGCAACACCGGTTCCCTGGCAACATCGGGTCATGGAACCGCCCTCGGCATCATCAGAACTCTCTACTCCAACAACCTGCTGCAGCACGCATACTGCACCGAGACGAGACCTTACAACCAGGGCAGCAGACTGACTGCCTTTGAACTCGTTTACGAGAAGATCCCCAGCACCCTTGTCACGGACTCAATGGCCGCCGCGCTGTTCGCTCTGCAGAGGGAGAAGATGAACATTGCTGCTGTCATCGTAGGCGCTGATCGTGTTGTCCGCAACGGCGACACCGCCAACAAGATCGGCACGTACCAGCTGGCTGTTCTGGCCAAGCACCACGGCGTCAAGTTCATTGTCGCGGCCCCCACCACCAGTATCGATCTGGAGACGGAGACTGGCGCCGGCATCAAGATCGAAGAGCGCAAGAGTGAGGAACTGACGCAGATTTCGGGTGCTGTCGTCCAGGCCGACGGCAGTGTTGATGTTTCGCAGACTGCCCGCGTGGCTACGGCCGACCAGCGCATCAACGTCTGGAACCCTGCCTTTGACGTGACTCCTCACGACTTGATTGATGCTGTTGTCACGGAGAAGGGTGCTGTAGTTAAGAACGCCGAGGGCAAGTTTGATTTCCGTCACGTCATGCCAGAGAGATGGGCGCAGGTTGTTGGCCAGTAAGCAGGCTCATAATTTGACATGTATTTTCATATTATGAAGAAGTAGTTTAGTATTATTTTCTCTATGATTAGATTCTAGAGAGCATGGAGGCATGATGATTACATGAAATCCAATCCAGGAGATGGGAACCAGCAAACTACTTGAGAGCATGCAGAATCAACTTCTGGAAGCCCGTCACAGCCTCCTCGAGGTCTGCGACCGTAAGATTCTCGTTACGGCCATGAGCAACCAAAATTGTACCAGGTCCGTAGAGGTAGCGCGTGTACGAACCCTTCAAGTTGGGAATATCAGTGCCGTAGTTAGCAACCAGTGTTTCGAAGCCTAGCGTCGATCAGTTTTGTTTTATTTTCGGATGGCAACAGGGCGGGAAGGGGGAAGCTTGTTACTTACCATCAACATCACAGTTGGCCTCGACAACACCGTACCCATGAGTGCAAGTCAGCTCTAGATCCTCGGCGTCCGTCTCATCAAGAATCTTCTGGATTCTGGCCTTGACAATGTTGCCACCGTCTGCTTCAGGGCCGATAGCGACACGAACAGCAATACGAGCGACAGATGACTCAGGAATAACATTCTGAGCAACGCCACCAGTAATCTGGCCGACGTTCACAGTGGTGTTTCCCCACTTCTCATTGCTTCCGAGGTCTGTGGAAATGATTTTGGCCAGTGCCTTGATCATGATTTCGTTGGCTGACTTGCCCAGCCAAGGATAGCCAGAGTGGCCAGCAACACCCCTAGCCTTGATGTCGCAATAGAGACCGCCCTTGTGGCCACAAGCAAGTTTGTTCTCCGTAGGTTCTCCGAAAATAACCGACTCGAACTGCACGGGCGGGTCGACTTCATGCAGCGAGTCGGAGAAGAAGCGCATGCCATCACCGCGGTCCTCCTCTCCTACAACGAACACAAGTAGCACATCCTCCTCATTTACCTTGTCCTGAGCGAGCAGGTCTTCAAGCGCGATGATCTGAGCAGCTACGCTGGCTTTGGCGTCCACACTGCCTCGGCCGCTAATACGGGTGTCGGGGGTGATTTTCTCGTCTGAGATACTGTAAGGAATATGAGGCGGCACGACATCATAATGAGAGGTGACGACAATGCGAGGCTTAGGTTGACGTTGGTTCGTCTTCCAAGCCAGGACATTGAATCGTGGAGTTTCGTTGGTGTTGTTATCACGCGGAGGCAGAAACTGCAGATGAGAGACGTAACCTCGGCCGGTCAAATAATCAACGAGGAACTTGCCGGCCTCACTCTCATTGCCCGAAATGGAGGGAATCTCAATGAGAGAGCGGTGCAGCGAAATAAGATCGTTGCGCCAAGAAGGTGCAGAGGAGGTGGTGGAGGCGGAGGTGGCTGCGACAACCGGGCCATGAGGCGTCTGCGGGGAAGCATCGGCGCCGAGGGGTTGCTGAATGCGGGATGTCGCGGCCAGCCGCAGCAGGGCGGCAACGGCCAAGAATTGAGAAATGTGCATCTTCTTTGGCGGAGGGACGACTGCAGGTGTCGACGGTGGCCTTCAGCTGGCGAACAAAGTGGTTGTGCGCCTTCAATGGCTAGCGGAGTGTTGACACCAACAATAGCCCAAGTCCGACAAGTAGAGGTTGCAAACGGAGCGGTGTCGGATGGAGGGGGACGGAAACGAAGCGAGCGTTGTCTCCAATGTTTGGACCCGAACAGGGGACATGGAGCTACAGGTGGTCAATGAGGTCATTCCAATCCAAGCTCCCGCCATTGGCTCTAGCCACAGGCAGTACGTAGTGCTCTGTGCTCGGTACCCCGTGTGGCACATTCCTGTTCTAGGTACCTTCTCCCTACGTCGTAGCGTAGTGGGAGCATCAGCCACTAGCCACCCCCATACTCCCGCATGCTCATGTTCATAAGGTGACATGAGCTTCTCTTTCGTCGCCCAGTTTCAGTGCTTCCCTCCTTGCACATAGTGTAGTGTATCCCCTGGCGTGTCCACTTTTCTCGCCACTGATAAAGGTAGTGAGAGCTGCAGTGGGGGGAAACTGGATAGATTTTATCTAATGATCCAATTTCACAACCACTATATCCCTAATATTGAGTGTCTCTTTTGAGAAACATGCCGTTGCCTTACGCAAAAAATGGCATATCTCGATGCCCGATTTATAACATGTGAGACTGGATCATAAGAAACATTACTTTCATTTGTATCCAGTGTGGAGGAATTGTTGGAGCAGCATTTAATAACCTCAGGCTGGCTAGGCTAGCCATTGTGATGGACAACGCAACAGGGTATCGAGCTACCTTAGCTGATTAATGAGCTGGCTCCATGGCCCCAAACTTAAAAATCGCAGTGTAGACAGCAGAGCCCGGTCACCTGCGAGACGGCCCGAGGCTGCGCAGGGCCAGGTCGGTGCATTTGCAGTTTTGCAGGTAAGGTCAATGATGCGAGAATCACGGTTGGTATGCACAAGCACAAGAGGAAAAGAAGAAAAAAAAAAGGTTAACATTTTAAATGTTCCAGGCGGCTTCAGTGGGCTCATCTGCCCGCCCTTTCCCCAGATAGACCTGCTGATCTCTGGTACTGGAATTCTGATGGGTCCATCACCATCCACTAAAATCCCACAGACACCGTCGCGAACGGCCCACTCTGCGTTTCTGGCTGTCGTTTCGTCTGCAGGCGGGAAGTGGCGGTTCACCCTACTGTACCTTTTCCCTTTTCCTCTCTCTTTTCTTGCCTTGCATCCTTGCTCCTATGCTACTAGTACTGCGCTCCTACGCTGCCACGCTACTTCCATAGTGAGTGGCCAAGCAGCCAAGGTACATACCGTCGCACCTGGTCCTTGCTTCGCCTTGCCTCGCCTTACTTGACTGACAGACCTGGCTGGGTCTGTTCGTGGATGCAGCACAAGCACAGCACTAAACCTTCCCCCCCAAAGCCACCCACTACATCCTACGACCAAAGACCCTGAACCAGACTCGACGACGACAAGCTTCAATTGCAAACTCTCAACCCCTGCGATCGCCTCCAACAACACCCAGCCCGTCTCTTATCCTCCTACGTTCTGCTTCGCCAGAGTCCTAGATGCACCTGATGCTCGTTGTGCGCCGCTCTTGGCTCCAGAGACGCCGCTCCTGAACCTCCTCACGCACCCCGGACCCGATCCCGACCCCGAGTTGTCGCGTGTCTTGCTTGAGCCCGCCTCCGAAGCCGAGCTTCGCTTCGGTCGGCCTCGACGTGCTGGTCACCGCCTTGTGAAGGGATGCAGGCGAATCGAGGGAATGCCGAGGCCCTGGGTCGAAAGGCCAAGGTGCGTTGTCTCCTTTCAATCTTGTTGCATCGCGACCATCGAGCAAGCCCCATTACTGGCCCCTGGCTAGGACTGGCAAATCGCTCGCAGTCCTTCTTAACACTCACGATGACTTCTTGTTAACACTGCGGCAGCTTGCTCGATCATATCAAGAGCTCCTCGAGTAAGTCTCGACTCTCGCCCTCTGTTACCGCCCTCACGGCCATGACTGACTTTACTCCCTTCACCCCAGCGAATTCTCGAGCAAGGATCTCGGCTCCGTCGGCAACTACACCCTCGGTCGTTTGATAGGAAAAGGCTCATTTGGCAAGGTCTACTTGGCCACCCACAAGCTCACCAATGGCTCCAAGGTAAGCCACTTCGAGTGGTCGATGATATGGCAAATTCCTGGCGGCTCGGCTGACGTTGGGACGTACAGGTCGTTCTCAAGTCTGCGAACAAAGGCGACTCGAACCTCGCTCGAGAAATCCACCACCATCGACAGTTCGTCCACCCTCACATTGCCAGATTATACGAGGTCATAGTCACGGAAAATTTGGTCTGGTTAGTTCTGGAATACTGTGCTGGTAAGCCTGCGTGTTGCGCAATTGTCACGGCCGGTACGGTAATGCTAATAGCAACACTGCAGGTGATGAATTGTACAACTACCTGCTAGAACACGGCCCTCTTCCCGTCCACAAAGTCCAGAAAATCTTTGCCCAGCTCGTTGGCGCTGTCGCCTACGTACATCAGCAATCATGCGTCCACCGCGATCTGAAGCTAGAGAACATTCTGTTTGACAAGCATGAAAATGTTAAGCTTGTTGATTTTGGTTTCACGAGAGAGTACGAGGGCAAGTCGAACCACCTACAGACCTTTTGTGGTACTATATGCTACTCGGCACCCGAGATGCTCAAGGGCGAGAAATACGCAGGAGAGAAGGTCGATGTTTGGAGCTTGGGCGTCATCCTCTACGCTTTGTTGTGCGGAGAACTCCCTTTTGACGATGACGACGACAACGTTACACGGACGCGAATTCTGAGCGAAGAACCGAAATACCCCGACCACTTGCCCTTGGCTGCCATACCGTTGATCAAGTCTCTCCTCTCCAAACGGCCCTTGCTCAGGCCTTCGCTTCCGGAAATTCTGTCGCACCCGTTCCTCGCCGAGCATGCCCCAACGCAGCACGCGATTCTTAAGCTGCAACGACCACCACCATTTGCGACGTCGTTGGAGAAGGAGACCTTGCAGCGCATGCGAAGCGCGGGCGTCGACATTGACTCTGTAATCGAGAGTGTTCTCTCCCAACGGTGCGACGCTTTGGCTGGCTGGTGGACCTTACTCCTTGAGAAGGAGGCGCGGAAAGTGCGCAGAAGAGAGAGGAAACGTCGCGAGCGAGAGGCCGAGAACAGGAGTCTGCGGCGTCTGTCTGCCGCATCAAGCAGGCTGGAGCGAGTTGCGCCAGTGCTCCAAGAGGTCGATGAGGATGGTGGACTGACAAACCGATTCATCAGACTCGAGGACGCACCGATAACACCAAAAGCAAGAGGTCGTTCGGAAAGAAGAAGCGCACACTGTTCTGATTTTGGAGATCTGCCCGGTCTCCCAGAACATAGCAAAGAGAATGGGAGCCCAAATATGGAGGAACCCCCACCCCCGATTGATAAGGATTCGATCCGGTCTGCTAGTACGTCCAGAAATCGGCGCCCAGTACCGCCCCCTAAGGAAGGGTTCATTCGAAGCGCGAGATCTCGGGGTTCGACCCTTCACCTGGTGACAACTTCGGAAGCCTTGGCTGCTAACGGGACGCCAGAGCGACCCCCTGAACAGCAACAAAAAGTCCGAAAGAAGCCTTCGCAGGCTCTTATCGCCCATTGGAAGAACTGGACGCACTGGTTCTTCGAGAACACTCGCCGGGGAAGGAATGCGAACAAGAGAGGAAGCCACTCGACACCGAACCTCGTCGATAAGAACGGCAGCACAGGGGGTGGCAGCAAGCATTCAAAAGACACTAGTCCGCGACCGCAGACGAGTAGACACCCGACAACCGACGGTACGGTAACCCAAGCGAAAGCCGGGCTTCCCCGTGGAGTTACGTCTAATGGCCGTGTAAACAAGCCACTTCCTGGTCACGGGGGCTCTGGCGGCTTCGGCACCAGTCCAGCATCGACTGGAACATCGACACCCGGGCACATGCCCTCCCGGATAACTACGAATTACAAACGACAGTCACTGTCCCCATCTCCTATGACACCCCGATCTACTATGCGACGCTCTTCAGCAGGACTGCGGGGCCGCAAGTCTACTTCTTCATCGGTATCTTCTATTCGTTCAATGCCTCACCATCACCATTCCCACTCCAAGGCTTCTTCAACAAGCTCCAATGGGTCTGTGTCCACATCAATGTCTAAAAACACGCTACAACGGGGCCATTCACCTCATCATTCTTCTGTCAAGGTTCTACCTGCCACCCCGACATCCTCGGCATTTCCGTCCAACATTCGTCTTGTGCGTGGCCCTGGCCCTCCGGCTCCTCTCGCTTTGTTCAACGAGGGCATGCCATCCAGACCAGGAGCAGCGCAAACACCAGGCTCACCAAATCCTTTCGCACAGGGCGGGGGAATCTTGTTCGCCAGGCGCAAGCGGAACATCTTTAAAGGCCCCATGCTGGCCTTTGGTGGGAATAATGCGGGCAGCGCCACGAGGAGCACTAGCTCCAGCCATTCACGCAGCGCCAGCGCATCGGGGATGGGACGCCGATCTGGTGAAGTCACTATCCAAGAGGAGGAGGAAGACGACGAGGCAGAGGAAGAGGTCGAAGAGGTGGACGCCTTCAGCCCCGTCGTTGGGGGGCCTGGAGAGCGCATTGAAGAACAAATCTACGAGGACGGCGAGGCGCCGGTCAAGAAGACCAAGTCTGCCGACAAAAAGACCGATGGCCCTCCTGTTACACCAAAGGCAACCTCCCCGCCAGTCCCAACGTGAGCGAAGAATCGATTACACAATAACCTTCTCAATCGCACTATTCTTCTTATTTTTTTTTTTCTTTTTTTTTTTGAAAAAAAAATACCAGTTTGGAATGTTGTTTGTTGCGACTCCTGCTATACAGGCTCGAATGGAACGAGCCGAGACAAAAGCTCTCTTATTGTTATATTCTGTATATTTCCCCTTTCGGCGCCATGTACCATACTTAGAGGATACCTTGTACTAAACAGAGGGTGCTGATACTTTTGCGATGGAAAATAAAAATGTTCAAGTCGACGCCGCATGTCTCTTCAGTGTTGTCCGGTCACTTGTGTCGCGATGAAAGCTTCTCAAGCCCAAAAGATTTTAATTGAGTTAAGCTACTCCTTTATTGTTCTGGCAGACGCCTCCAAGGCCTTTCTTGCAATCTCAATCTTGCTGATGGTTTCTTGGGTCACACAGAGAGAGGAATCGAATGGTTTCAGAGCAGAGTCGCCCATGGTCGCTAGCGCAGCGAGGCCGAGATATGCGTGGTAAATATCAGGCGGGCCACCGGGGTACTTGGAAAATCCGCCAATGAGGTGCTGCGTTTTGCTCATGAGAAAACGACGCGAGGGCTCCTCGTCAATGAGGTCGACTTGGCCCAACATCTGCGCTTGCCATCAGCCACGGTTCCCCGATTTCACGCAAAAAAAGTCATTGCTGGCTCACCTGCAACGTCCCTCCCACCCACCAGCAGTAGCACGTATCCGCAACCTTGTTACATCTCCCATTGAAGCCAACAAGGCGGGAGTTGTCGTCCAGTGAGAGCTGGTCTAGCGTCTCTGGCAAGGCAAAGTTGGCCGTGTCGGGGTCATCCGAGTCCTCGTCCGGCTCGAGGTACTGGAACTGGCGATAGGCCAGGAATTTTACAAGTAGCGGCACGTTGACGAGGCCTTTCTCGATAGTCGCGCTGCGATGCGGGGTCGTTCCCTGCTCGTTCGGTCGGTCGAGAAGATAGAGCGCGCTTACGGCGCAGTAAGCGTAACCAGCTGCAAGATCCGAGTCAGCTAGCTTTCTTGCCATACACATGGAGTTTGGAAGGGGCAATTATAGTGAGAGGAAGCGGCATACCATGGGACTCGTGCTGTGAGCTCCCTGCGAGTCCACCGTCGTACGTCTGGCCGCGGCGGATATGTCCAATCAACGCCTCGACGTCAATGTCCTCCACCCAGTCCTCATCTCCTTCTTTCATATCTCCCCTCAGAGTCCACCGTATCATGGCAGCAAGGTAGCAAAGCCGCATGTCTGTACCGCCCTGGATCTGCCCATCGTCCAGCACGAGCTCCCCGAAGCTGCCATCAGACCGCTGTAAACGCTTCAACCACCGCAGCGTCTTGACCCTGTCGACTCCCACAAACGCAGTCTTGGCTCCTTCGGGACCGTCGGCGACTATAGCCAAGACCAAGAGTGAAAAATACGTCGCTGCAACATTGGCAGAGCTCGAATGGCGCGCTTTCGGGGCATTCTTCTCAAAATCCCACCCAGCGTACAGCTCCGTCGGCAGGGCGTGGTTCGGTGAGCCGCAGAAGCCGCCGTCGGGGTGTTGGAGCCCTAGGACGAACCTGCGCGCATTGGCTCTGTCGGCGGCGGTGAGGAGGTGTTCTGCGGGGGAATCGGAGGGCGAGAGGATATCGAGGGCGGCAAGGATGAAGAAGGTCAGAGCCATGCGCGTGCTGTCATGGCTCGTGTACTGGTGCGGGAGGAAAGTCTTGTGGCAGCGCTGCCAGTACTTGATGTGGCGCCCCTTCTCGAGCGGAATTTTAGAATCGGCTGCCATGGCTAACAGCTCAATTTGGTCAGGTCGAACAGAGTAGACTCAAGACTGGTGATGTTGGGTAACAGGGAAAATCACTACACCCAAGTCCTCATCACCTTAGGACAGAGCATGCCGAGACCAGGTGTAGGACCCCACCCCCACTCAACGGTAGGGACTTAGCACAGTACTATGTACATGCTCCCTCAGCTAAGCTAAGCTCCAACCGCGCTAGCAAGGAAGCGGGGCACCACTGAAAGGTCGCTGAAGCCTCGCCTTGTGTCAACAAAACAGGCGAATGAGAAGCTGCGCTTCGATAAGACTTGAAGCTGCAGGATTAGCTCACACGCTACCTCTGATAAGACATGTGACGGATCTTCGGGTTGTACAGTTTGACCAAATATTCATTTCTGTCCAACGCAACCCCCCGTCTGGCTACGTTCGAAACTCCGTCTTCTCCTCACAACCGCAGGACAACTCTGGTGTCCATAGTACGCACGCACAAGATGGCGCTTATTTCAGCAAAGACGATCATCACCTCGCTCTCTCTCTTCCATGTCACCCTCGCCTTCTTCTTTCTCACAGACCCGGTCACCATCGCCGACCAGACTTTGGTCTACGTGCTAGGCGAGGCCATGGGCATGGTAAGTCTCGGAGTTGCGCCCCGCTGCCCGCTGCCGTGATAGCGATATTTCATGCCGTTTTTTTGGTATGCTAACCGGTGTAACTCATCCAGCCACACGCACGAAGCTTCGAAAACAAATCCCCTGCCCTTGCCTTCCTCGCTGCCGTCCTCGGCATGATGGGCATCAGTGACCTCGTGACCCTCAGCATGCCCCAGGATATCTGGGTTGACCACCACTGGGGAACGCAGGGTACGTCCGATAGAATTCTGAGAAACCTCGTGAAGAACCTCCTTTCTAACTAAGGCAATAGCACCTGCTCGCCTCTTCATTTGCCTCGTCTTCGTCATCTACACATTCGCCTTCGGCCCTTCCTCCCCCATCTACGGCGGCTCTCGCGGCGGCCGCTTCTCCCACCCTTCGGCTCACACTCACAACCCCAACTACACGCCCTCCACCTGGGGAGGCGATGGCCTCAAGAACCGCGTCTTTCTCACCTTTGCCTTCCTCGAGATGCTGACTTGGTTTTGGGTCTGGATCACTCTGCGCGAGGAGCAGGAGGAGATTGCGCGACAACGTGTCAAGAAGCGGGGTGCCCAGTCGCATGAGTACTAGATGAGATATCAAGACACTTTGCCCGGCGTGGCACCAGTGAATGACAAGGTTGTCGGTGTAAAATGCTGGGAGGAAGCTCGGGGACACGAGGGCCGTCAGTGCATCTGTGGGGGGATTATCAAAATGGCACCATGGGAGGGATATACCCGGCGAGCGTATCATTATGAGGAAAGAGACGGGGTAGCATGATAATTCTTCTTCTTCTTTCTTTCTTTTTTGAACTCCTTGCTTTCCAGTGACACCCCAGCACGCTTCATCTACAAAGAAGAGGCCGATGCGTCTCTGCGTTTTTTGCGTCCAAAGGGTGAGTACAAAAATATCCTCGCCAGGCTGCCTCCAGCTTGGTTGTTGCAAGGTTTTCATTCCCAGCGTACCATGTCCCATCCCTTCACGTTGGTCCGCCAGCTGTCGGTGACCTTCTGCGTCCATACGCCGACGTGTGATCCGGCCACGTCGCGAATCTGCTGTGCCAACTTGTCTTCTCCTGCCTCCGCCTCGAACGTCCACTTGTTCAACCGAATGTTCAGGGTGTCACTCTCCTTCTTGAGCAACGACACGTGGGACTTGCCCTCCGCCAAGGCTGTGGCCGCAGCGGTTTCCAAAGACTTCACCTGCGCCATTACGTCCTTGGGGATGTTGCTCTGTCCAGAGCGGTCTCGTTCCTTGAGGCGTTCGCTGAACGCAGTAATGTAGTTTGTAGCCAGCTTCACCGCTACAGCGGCGTCGCGGAGAACCCAGATGCCATGCAGCGAGCCGAGCATCGACAACGTCTTGGTTTCTGCGGCCCCGGGGGGCGTCGACAGGGAGAGGGCGCGAAGGACGTCGAGGCCGGATTTGGCGGCCGACACTATGCTGGAAAAGAGCTCCGGGGGCGGCGGGCTTTGGCCGGCGGCCATGGCAAGCGGGATCAGGGCTGTAAGCAGGGAGATGATTTCGTAGTATATCTCTTCCTGCTGGGTAAGGTTGTTTCCTCGGGCGTGGAGGAACCTACTCATGGAGGTGTGCAGGTGCTGGAGAGATTCCAGAATAAACGTCTGTTCGGCTGCCGCCGTTTGCGCGACGTTGGCAACCTTGTAGGAGGGCGGCGCCTTGTATGACAGGGTTTCGAAAAACCTCTCGGCGCCGAGTGACAGATGCGAGCGTATGTTCTGATTTCAATTGTCAGCATTTGCTTTGGGGCGGTCAAAGGATTCACATACCGATGGGTCGGGACCCAGACGCAAGACGTCGTAGATGGGCCGGCTTGTCGCCGCGTCGAGGTTTGGTACAGATCCATAGTCGATGTTTGCGTTCAGCACTGTTTCGTCGACAATCTCCTCTGAAAGTTGACGTTAGTAGATGAAAAGCATTTGAAATCTAGGGCTTCTCTTACCAACAGCGGGCTCATCGAACACGGAGTCGCCCCGGATGCCGAGCGCACGAGCAGCTCTTGCTTCCTCCACGTGGCCCATCACGAGCGTGGAGCTCTTCCGCAAGCGCTCAATGTACTTGGGCATCTCGAGAATGGAAGTGTAACTCTCGGAATCGAATGCATCAGCTAGTCGCCTGGGCATTCTCAGCTTGAGAGAGGCTTGATAGTGGGCCTTCAGGCCCTGCAGCAGACCTCTCTCTGGTCTGTTGGGCGGCAAGACCAGTGTGGGAGCGATCGTTGATAATCGGTCAAAGAAGAATGGGCCGAGAGCATCGATAATCGTCCGCTTCACATCAACCGTATCCCACAGCTCCTTGGCACGGGATGCGCATCCGAGCACAAGGTAGATGCGCACCACGACCAGTGTTAGTCTAACGTGCTTTGGGGTTCTTGTGAGTTGGTCTTCGATAATGAGGGCTGCCTGGAGGAGGCGATCTCGCCGGCCATTCTTCGAAAGCGAAGTAGTGTTATCGATGCTGCGCTCGTGCCAGCCACTCAGCCTGACGAGGCATGTTGCTGCGAGGACGGCGAGTTCGGGTATGCAGTCGAGTGAAGAGCTAATGTCGGAAGAGTTGATGAGGGTGGAGTACAAAGCAAGGGACGATTCCAGGATGTTGTGCAAGCAGGCAGTGCAGGTAGATGACTTGTTGACAGCGGCGCAGACTATACACTTCCAGTTGTTAGGTTTTGTGGGCTCCTCGTTCGGCACGCGAACAATCGTCTTTGTTGATGAGAGGCCGAGGTATTGCAACTTGAAAGCCAGTGTCTTTACAGACGCAGACTTGGAAACATCATCGATTTCTTTGGCCAGTGTGATGAGGTGCTCATAGGCAAGCTCTTTGATCTCATGCGGTGGGAGGCGTTCTACAAAACCTTTAACGTCGTCGAAGCAAGCAGGGGAGGCGCATTCAATGTCGATATAGCGGCAGATCTCCTGGAATTGGTTCGATTTTCCCTCGGAGGCTTGCCTTTCCAGCGAAGCAAACTGAAAAGCGGCTTCAACTCTGGCCAGGCGGATGTTGCGCTTGAAGATGGACAGGATTCCCTCTTGAGAAAGGAAGCGGTCGATAAGCGACGAGACCTCAGCAGGGACTCTGCGAGTGATATTGTTAGCGACCGTTTCAACAAGAAGGATTTTCGACGTACTCTTGATCAGATTCTGCTATCCGGCCAGCAGCATTGAGGAACTTCTTCCATGCAATCCAATCGCATGCGAGAATACTCAGCTGGCCCTTGTCGTCCGTTACCGAGAAACACTCCTTGCAGAGGTCGTAGACCACCTTCCACTGACCCTTCCGCTCAAAAACCTCAATAGTAAGTAAAAACAAGTCCTTGCGGCCAGCCTTAAGCTGGTATACAGGGTTTAACGTAGGGCCCTTGAGGGCAGCCTCCCACTCTGCATCGGAAGCATGGGCCTCCAAAATTCGGTAGAAGAGCAGGATCTCTTCCTCGGTCTTGATCGCTCGGTCAGGAACGTCACCGTTCTTCTCAGCACCGCTGTGCTGTGTAAAATGTCAGTAAAACACTTTTGAGTATTGGCAGGGGTCATTACCTGTTCGGTGAATTGCGCTGCACGTTGCATTTGCTTCAATGCTAACATGCCGTAAAGCTGCTTCTTCCCGGCAGGACATTGGTCGCTAGTCTGGGTTATGATCAGCGGTGCCTCCAGTTCACCAAGAGCTGATGGAAACTCACTGCAAGCAAGTGTGTAATAGCAATGTTCCAGAACAGAAAGCTCCGTTCCTGGGGAAAGGACTTATCAAGAACAGCAGCGATCTGTTTGCACACGTTAGGGGGGTCTACCGAGCTCTCAGAAACCGATGCCGCTCACCTGTTGTGCGCTAACCAAGTCCCAGTGCAGCAAGCAGGACTCAAGACACCTTGTGCCCCCGTTCTTGTCTTTTGGGTTCGCCTTGACATAACGCAACTTCAGGGGTCCGAACGTCTCAGAAAACTCCTGATCGTCAAGGAAACCCTCCGACGCCCATTCCAACAGCTCAAGGGAGTCGGCATCTCTCACGGCGGATGCATCCTTGACAAGCTTCTGCACGGCTATCAGAGGTGATGCCTTGTCCAAGGGAGATTCCAGATGGCTCTCGGCCACGATTTTCACGACCTGCATGTATGATTAGCTGTGATTTCGGCCAAGTGAGCGGTGAGGGTGAGTGAGAAACCTCATAATAGGGATCATTAAAGGTCCGAAATCTCTTTTCGGCGAGGCGAATAACATTGGCCCACTGTCCGTCGTTGAAGGCAGACTGCAGCTGCAGATCGACGCCGCTCTTTAGCTGAGGCCGATTCCAGGACATCGTGATGCTTCTGATCGGATGGCGGGGCAGAATTGGCGTTGGAGGGGCACTATGCACTGAGGTACACGGAAGCTAAGGTGTGCGCAGAGACAGGATGCGATTGGGTCTTCGGATAAATGTTGTCCCATGTATCCCGACAGAACCCGATCATGCCCGGGGTACGGAGCAGGAATCGTCAAAGGACGGACTCGGCAGGCATGCCGCTCCGGCTCCGGGTATTGATGATGACGCCGGAGATTCACTATACTGCCCTAAGAGCATTCTCAAACCTTCTGCATTCCCCCCTCATGTCTGCCACTAAGCTGCTCAATAGTCTCAGAGAACCCCAAGTCGATGTAAACCACGCTCCTACGCCCATTGTCCGTCGCTTCCGCAACGAATTACATCTTTTTGGGGGTTCTTGAGTAAGTAGAATTCTTTTCCGGCATGACCATATTACTCGTACAACATGATTTCTCCGTTCCATGCATGCAAATATGTTACAAAATGTACAACATCCTTCGTTCCTTCTCGAATCCCTCGACTAGAGTTTTTCTCGGCTATAGAGGACATTCCTGTCGTCGTAATGCTTGCAGGTCGTATTATTGAGGATTTGAATCACCACCAGGCGCCATTCTTCTTACGTTCCTCCCTCTTTTTCTCGAACTTGAATTGTGTCAGTATCGTTCTGGGTAAGACGGCGAAGGTGGTTGGATGGCACAAACCCATGCTTTCTTGCAATCCCTATAGGCTCTGGGACATGGTCAGTACTCTGCAGTGCTCAATGCCAAACTTGGGGAAACGCCAATATCGACTTGGGGTAAGGGATTAGTCATACTGGAAATAGTCGCTGCACATGGTTCTATCTCCTCCGTTGCGGTGCAGACACTTGATGCTCCTCTGGGCAAATTCCTGACAAGGGTCATAATATTCGCTCCTGTCCTTTCTATTCCACATCGGTAAGCCGACTGATATGATCTTGCAGGGGATGTCGCAGCCGGCTTACGAATCGAACTTGCGACTGCTCTCCTTGAAGGACTCGTCCACCTTCTCGACAACGGCTTTCGGGGGCTCTTCTGAGGACGACATGGTGTGTTTTCGGGGTATTATAGACGGCAGTTGAGTTTCTGAGGACGATGAGAGAGGGAAAAATGGAATTAATTGAGTCAATTGAACGATGGCGGGGTGGCAGTTGTCGCTACACAGGAGCTATTGCGGCTTCAATTGTGACAGTAGACGTTGATCAAGTGACGCGACGATCGAGCAACTGTGCACGGACATTGATTGTGGCGATAAGATAAGAGCTTTCCAAAGAGCTTTCGGCCTCAGGTTCGTCAGAATCCTCAGGTGTTCAAATTCACAAAAAAAAAAAAAAAAAGGAAAAAAAAAAAAAAAAGGAGTTCCCCGCATAGGCTGTTTAGCGAGCGAACCTTACAGGCGGTACAAAGACATGATACGGCGGGCTTTTCCTTCCTTAAGATCCGCTGTTATGATTGACCAACTGGCTGCCGCAGCGTTGCAGCGCAAAATAAACAGGTGCTGTGACGGTGGAAAGGCCGGTTAAAAGTGCCGACCAGGCCGATATAGCCGACAGTCGCACTCTACACGCAATAGAGTTTCTGAGAAACTATAACTTTATAATTAAAGTAAAGATAAAAAATATGGATTGGTGGTCTTTTTTGTTTGATCCTCTCTTTTGCATATCGATATAGTGTTTAATCCGATCGTGTCCAACTTTTTTTCAACGTCCACCTTGGCCCTGTCAAGTCCTGCCAACGCCTTTTTCCAATCAACAGGGTTTCTCTGCTAAAATACGGAGTACTTAGGGGGCACATTCACCATTACTGAGATAATCCAGTGGAAACTCCAGACTCCAGTACATCCTGCTTGGCACGGCACCTAGGCCCGAACAGTGGAGAGCATCTACGGGAAAGGTACCGAGGGCGTGAGAGAGAGACAAAGTTGCTTTTTTTTTTTCTTTTTTTTCCAAGGGCCGAGCCATCGCTTATCTAGCACAGTTTCAAATCGAGCAGCGCTGTCAGGCCCCCAGTTGTCTCACACCCAAACCTCAACCTCGGGCGCCTATGTCTCGCCATGATGTAGTCTGTAGCGTGCTTCAACGACTCATGATGGAAATGTGCACATCGCTCACTTCCAACACATTCATCATTCTAATGCAATGCGCGGGAGAGCGGTTACGAAGCGGCAGCGCTTCCGGATACAAAGTAGCGGTTTTCCACCTCCCTTAACGAATTTCGTATTCGTCTATCACTATCCGGTACTGGCCTGCGGAAAACTCGGGCGCCAGCACTCGTCCACCCAGTCCACTAAGATTAGAGATGCGAAACCCTAGCAGCTACGGTTGCCTCTGCTAGCTATTCTCACCGCCGCCTGCAGAGCGGTGGACGGGACGCTGAAATTGCACCCCCAAAATATGCCCTGATTCCTTGATTCACTCAGCAACAATAGGACCCCCCTTCAGCGCCTAAGCAAGCATCTTCACATCGGATCTGCGGATGGATGCTGGGTCTGCCAGGTTCTTGCGAAATGAGCTTTCCAAATGGACCCCCCCAGAAGCCCCCGAAGCCAAGCTGATTTTTACGTGGTCCACCGCTTTAGCGAGCAAAGTGCTTGCTTGTTTATTTTATTTTGTATTTTACTGGTTTTTGCTCGCTTGTCTAAGGTAGTTCATCCTTCCGTGAGCCTAGGCCTAACTTATTCCTTCTTCGAGATTCCGTCCCCTATTCTAGCGCCTGGTTCAGAAGAACACTCATACATCCACCCTTTGTTTCCCCACACCACATCTCCTCGCCTGCATTCCGATGAGAGCGAAGGATTCGGCTCACTGACTCTGCTTGGCCGGTCAGGCCGTCGCCAGCCATTGTCGCAGACATACAGACTGCTACCGTACCGCTCTTCGCTTCTGTGGTAGCGAGCAAATGAGATGCGATCCAGAATGGGTGGTGTAATCTGGATGCGACTAAGATGAAGATCATGCAACACGCGATCGTGGGACGACCACCACCATCACAACGCGTTGTTATTACGGATACCGTGAGGCTGTCGAGGAACTTTTTTTTTTCCCTTACCACTCTGAGCCCCATCCTCTTTTGAGGGGGGCTCAACCTCTTTGAGGAATATTCTCATTTCGGCCGAGCCCCCTGAGTCAACCTGTGAGTGCAGGCCAGAAGCCGGACACGGCATGAATGGTGAACGGGCAGCCGGGACCGTCTGAACCACGGGAAGACTCATCAATCTCATCTGTAGGCTCACGGGTCAGATCGTTCATCCCAGGCCAGTAAATGGCCCCGCCAGCTTCCCAGGACCGATCGTTGATGATTAACGTTTGCCCGCACACAGCCCGGGTCCCGGCCCCGACGCAATTTTCGCGCATCAATTTCGCCTCGTTCATTTGCCTTCCCCTTTTTACCCCTCCCCTGTCTACGTAGTACACGACAAGGAAAGGAGAAGAAGAAGGAAAAGGACGAAAGCTCGTCATCACGGTTCGCCGCCACTGCAGGCAGCCAGAAGACACCCGATTCGAGGAGAGAATTCGGATACGCCAACAGACGGGCGAAACGCGCCATTACATACAGACGTTGCACTTGAGTGAGGAGTCAGTCGACATCAGTTGGCGATAAAGATAGACTCTTGGGGCCCTAAGAGTAAGCTTGTCAACCCATTACCGACCCCATCACCAAGGCCATGATCTGACCTGGACCCTGGTCTGGCTGACTGGTGACGACCGATGTTAGCGTTGCACCGTGCATTGACAACCTGAAACTGGGCGATTATATGCTTCCTTCTCTTGTATTTTCCCCCAAAGAATGCCACCAACTTGACAGGTTTGTTGACGGGGTGGCCACCAACCAGCGTAGTGCTTTTTCTTCACTCCCTGGTGCCAACATGTTTCCCTCAAATGCAAAGTTGCCCTTGGGATTCCCCTCAAGGTTCTATCCTGGTTGGCAACAAGGGGGCGGTGGGTCACCGTCCATCATATCCTTGAGCAATCTTTCAACTCTGACTTGCTGGAACCCCAGGGAACCCGAGGCCCAAGAAGGTTGTTTGGGTTAGCCGCGCCGCTGCAGGGGGCTTCGCCGCACTCCACTATCCCCTTGTTTGCATGTTTCATATCCGCACCCTCACTCTAGTCGCAACGGCTTCATTAATGACCACCTCTCGGTTGCCGCCGATTGACAGGGATATGACAGACGTCAAAGGCTGTTAGCCCACCACATGGCTCCATCAGCCTCATCTCCTTCCCTACGTTTTGCAGCTTCTTGCAGCCTTGGCAGGGGAAGCAGATGAGACGAAAGTCTCCATCACCGCCCTCACGGCCTTCCTATACAGGGGGGACCCCCATGCCCCTCCGCGAGTCCATCTTGGCACTTTACTGCGAACTGGAGTCGCTGGATATGCTGTTCAACCCTCAGGGATATCAGTTGCCCCAGTTGCCCCCCCTGGTATCCTAGCTACTGACGGAATCGCCAGCTCTAGCCGCGCGATGAGGACTCCAGATGGGCCTTCCAGATTGGTTGCTCATGGCTGTTTAGTGCGGTGAGATGGGGCTACCACCGGAGATGGGCATAGATGATTCGAGATTGGGCGCACGATAGATGGGAGAGACGGGTGCTGAGATGGGAAATGGGCTTTAGGAGATGTACCCAAGATTGGAAAGAGGATCCATTCACACGCACACATACGCAACCTGCAAAACTGCAGATATGCCTTTGTTATAAAGTTGCTCCATCCCACACACGTCTACGCATTTCCCCTTCTCTCTCTTTTTTCCCCATCATCACAACTGGTGTCATTCTCTCATTCCTTGTACTCAGGTCTCTCTCTTGTTGGCTGTGCCATACACTCATTTCGAACTAGACGTTCATCCACGCTCACTAAGCACAACCTTGCAAAACGCACTTTCACTTCTTCAAACTCCCAAACTACTCTTATCCTCTTTTTTGAGACTTATCCAAAAAACCGCCAAAATGCGCTTCTCTTACACTGCTGCTGCTCTTGCTGTCCTGACCGGCCAGGTCGCTGCCCACGCCCGTGTCTACGGTGTCTGGGTTGACGGCAAGGAGGTCAAGGGCTCCGGTGACAAGGCCGGCAAGGACTCTTACATCCGTAGCCCCCCCAGCAACAGCCCCGTCAAGGACATCACCAAGTCCGACATTGTCTGCAACACCGCCGGTGCCACCGCCAAGGACGAGTTCGCCACCATCGCCGCCGGCAAGGACCTCGTCTTCGAGTGGTACCACGACAACCGCAACGACGACATCATCGACGGCTCCCACAAGGGTCCTCTCGTCACCTACATTGCCCCCTACACTGAGGGTGATGGCTCCGGCGCCATCTGGACCAAGATCGGTGAGGAGAAGTACGCCAACGGCAAGTGGCCCGTCGATGTTCTCAAGACCACCGGCAAGTCCCAGGGTGTCACCATCCCCTCCTCCCTGAAGGAGGGCAAGTACCTCGTCCGCCACGAGATCATCGCCCACCACGAGTCCGACACCACCTACGATGTCAACCCTGCCCGCGGTGCCCAGTTCTACCCCTCTTGCATCCAGATCGAGGTCACCGGCGGTGGCTCCGACGTTCCCCCCCAGAACTTCGACTTCATCGGTGGCTACAAGTACTCCGACAAGGGCATCCACTTCAACCTCTACAACGACGACGCCACCGCCTACAAGGCCCCCGGCCCTGAGGTCTGGACCGGCGGTGCTGGCTCCGGCAGCGGCTCTTCCCCCGCTCCCCCCACCACCACCAAGGCTCCCGCCGCCTCCTCTGCTGCTGCCGCCCCTACCACCCTCGCCACCCAGGTCAGCTCTGCTGCCCCCGTCGTCAGCTCTCCCGCTGCCGCCCCCTCTGCTCCCGCTGCCGCCAGCTCCAGCGCTGCTGCCGCTCCCATTGCCACCCCTACCAAGACCCCCGGCTCTACCTGCAAGCGCCGCCGCGCTGCCCGCAAGGCTCGCCGCTCTGCTCACTAAGCGTCTTTTCTTGACGCTCAGAGCGGTGCGATGGGAGGGAGACGAGTTAGTCAAAAGACACACATTAGAGTACACGGTTTCTGAAGTCCTTATGATGGTCTCATGAGAGCTGTGTGTGGATGGGAGTTGTTCATATTTTTTTACACCAAAGACACCAGATGTGCGAATCCAGGCTTCCTGCTTCCTGCCCGGTGCACGGTTCCCGAGGCTCGAGTTCGCACTTCTTTTGGACTCGGCCTCAAAATTCTGCATTCCTGTACATAGTACCTTGTATAGCATTAAGCCTGCATATACCATGATTTTTCAGCGTTCCAATCATTTGTGTGTGATCATCAAACGTGTGTGATTATCAAACGTGACTTGCCGCCCTCAAGTGTGATTTGGATGTCCTCCTGAACTTCTAGTTTTAGAAAGTCGAAACGTTTCCATATTGTTGGAGCAAGCATCGCATATACGTTTATCCCAGTAAGTGGTATTGATAGGCGGAATCTACTTCCCAAAAAGGGCGCATATAAAATCCAGTCAATTGAAAAAAAGCTTTGCGTTGCTCTGAGATGGTTACCTGGGTCGTCATGCTCCTTGTTCGTCAGCAGATATTAAAGTAGCAACTCCCGTCACAGGTTGATGCTTGTCGTCGAATCGGGCTAGGTTGATGTCGCAATGAGGATCCGCACTAAGTAATATGGAAAGGATATTGAGTCAACACGCATGTATTAGCTGTGGTGAGTGGATCGGGCTGGCGCGTGCGATATATTGAATCGCCAAGACCGTTTCCGCTCAGTCAATATATTGCGCTTATAGGGACCTCCTAACATGTGGTTATCTATCCTCGACATTGCAAAAAACAATACCAAGCCGGAAAAGAGGGCCTTTTCGGCACAATGATTGGAACCGACGAACAGAATTTATCAATACCAAGAGAAATGAGAATACCCATAGCTTGATTCTATCACCTGAGTGTACCCTGAACATCCTGGCTCTTTCGCTGGTTAAAGTTTTGAGTTTCCTGCCACCTGGTCTCCTCAGTGGAAGCATTGGTCAGGGAGCGCTCATCCTTCGTCTCCATCATTTCGTTCGGTAACAGCGCCGTACTGATAACACAACCCAGCATGACGCCGCCAGCGAGATACAGCACACTGTTGACGTCTCCGTCTCCTGAGCCATCTGTCCGGCCGTATAAGTGCTGCGCAATGAGAGGACTGACGATGCCGAACAATCGGCCCCAGAAACCCGCAACGCCGCACGCCGTGCCGCGGACTGGTGCCGGGAACGCTTCGGGAGTCCATCCATAGAGAACGGCGTTGAACATGGACTGGAAAAAGTACTCCATCGCGAACAACCCTTCGTTCTTGGCCCTCGTATCTACTGTCGAGAAGAGAATAATCGACGTGCCCATGAGCGCGGCGGACAACACCATCGTCCACTTCCGTCCAATTGCCGGGATGTGATACATCAGTGCGCCGAGCAGCACACCGATGACGCCTGGCGCATACGTGTAAATGTACGCGGCATAGGTGGCCGAAAGGCTCACCGACTGGGAGCCGTTCTTGAGAGCTAAAATTCGCGGCAAGTAATGGCCTAAACGAAGTGATCAGTAACCAGTTCTCTTTTTTGGTGAGTGCAAAACACTTACCCGCGACGGTGAATCCCCAAAAGTCCATAATGTACGTCAGCCAGACCAGGATCGTTAGACGAGTCATCTGAAAGCCGTCAAAGAGCATCTTGTACCGGCCGAGCTCCATTTTCGCCTTTGCTGTCCACTTCATGTTCTGCTGCCTTGCTCCGCCGCCAAGCGCAGGCGTCGCGCTGAGTGCGCTGCTCACGGAGCCTTCATGCTCGTCACTTGTTAGAGACTCGAACATCTCTAGAGTGAGGCCACAATGCTTCTTGTTGACCTTGGCCATGTGCTGAAGGGTCTCGATGGCTCTGGCGTCATGTCCACGGTAAATGAGATACTTTGGCGTTTCTTGGAATTTGAAGACGAAGAAGCGGAGGATAAAGACGAAAAGTGTGATTGCGCCGAGTGTGAAGAGTAGGTATCTCCATCCCATGTTGTCAGCGCGCGCACAACACTCCACTCCAGGTTCGGCGGTGTTGCATGATGGCAGCGGCTCATCCTCGGAAAAGTTTGGCGAGCATGAGTAAACAGGAATGAAGCCAAAGGCGATGGCACTGCATACGACTACGCCGATAGGTTGAAAGATGGACAGGCAAGCAAGAAGGAAGCGTCTGTTCTGCTTAGGAGTCAGGATTATCAAGAACAGTAAAGACAAATCAGGCCTGCTTACTTGTGGGATAAACTCCAGAGTAATCGTAGTGTCGATAGGGATGTTGCCGCCCACACCGACACCCACAAAGGCCGTGAGCACGAGGAAGGTGTTGTAATTATTCGAGGCACCGAGACAAAGTCCGAATATTGAGGCGATAAGGCAAGTCAAGTTGAAAGCCCAGGTACGACCTGATTGACGTCAATTACGCCAACCACAGGAATGATATTCAAAACAAGGACCTAGCGCTGAAAATGAACATCACTTACCAATGATGTCTGCTAAAAAGCCCCAAACAAACGCCCCGGCCGTCAATCCGGCATTGAAGCTAGTCGCGATGTTGCCCGATGCACCGTCACCAAAGCCCATCTCCTGCTGCAGAGGGCTGAGGACGAGGCCGAATGCCTGCGCCCAAAGAAGATCGAGCATGTATCCGAAGCCGCACAAAGCCCATATGTACCATTGGTACTTTCCCATGCCTTGAGTATCGATCTCGCGGTTGATGAGGACGCATTTCTTTTCATACAACGTCAGTCCGTCTAGACCATGGAGCATGGGACTTTCCGCGCCACTTCTCTCTGCATGACCTAATCCGTATGCCGGCCCACTGTCGAGGGGCAACTTTGTTGTATCAGAGCCAGACATTGTGCCTGTTGATCCCGGATATCTCAAGCAAGGGGGATTTAGACCAGAGTCAAGATAGCTGTCAGAATATTGAAACAGCACGTAGATCAATATTAATATGTATGTGACAGGGCAGCCCTAGCTGTGAGATAAAAGTTTCTCTGCTCGGCTGAGGCGTTTAAAGCGGCTCTCAATGACGAACAGGTACTTTTGGAGTCGTTGATGTCATGAATGAGGGGACCAATGGATGAGATACAGTGTCATGTCATTACCTGGCCACAATTGGCCCAACCTTTTTTATGTTGCATCATGCATGTGAGAAAATACCATTGCGGACATGATCATGCGAAAATTAAAAGTTCGGTGTTGGGATGAACCACATGGTTGGCTCTGTGTCATTGGCAGCCACGTGTGAGGGTGTTGGCTGATAGCTTGGTTCGACGAAGCGGTCAGATTACAGCCGAAAACAAACTCAAAACACGTGAGATTTAGGTAGAGAAGTAACAGGCCACTGCTGATCTACAAGTGTGTGGGAGCATTCGAAGCGGATTCGGCTCCTGGCTCTCACTGAAGAGTTGAGTAAGTATTCCGTCATTGACTTAGTCTCTCAGCCTAGCGACCCCATACTCGACAAGAAATTCGTTCTAGGCCATGGTGAGGAAGTGGGAATTTGACAGTAGATGGGGAATAAGCTTCGAAAGTCACTTCTTGCAGCAGTATTTGATAATATCGAAGTTACACTGGAACTGTTGACGTCATCAACGCCCAAGTCAATGAGTGCAGCACCTAAGCCTTCTACAATTGAGAGTCTCACCTAGAGATAAATACAATACGACTCGTTTGATTTGCTCCCATTAAAAAAACGCAGGGTCCTGCTTAAGAGTGAGCTGCAATATATTCAGGCGACAGATATAACCTTCAACTTTGGAACCTAAAGGTCACCAAAGTATCTGGAAAGTGAGGCCTTCATCAATGGCACTTGTATTCGAGCGACAAAAAGTCAAGGAGAGATATCATGCTCTTAAATTTATACCGGAGAATTCACAATTGAGACTATCTTTAATGAACCCAGTTGTGAAGAAAGCGTTGTAACAACCGCGTTTTAACTCTTTACCCCATACTTGGCACGTAACTTGAGTGGCCCTATTTCAGGCAGGCATTCGGACATGCCGCCTCCTTAATTGAAGGGCTGCGTCTTGGATTTCTTGTTTACTAGGTACCGAGAGTTCGGTACGCGATAGACATTAACTGAGTTTTCTCGCGCCAAATTCCAGTAATGCAAAGCATATGAATCTCCTTGTCACGGGATGAAGGGAAATCGTTACTGCCTTGGACAGAAGTGGTGTTAGGATCATCGATACTCTTTCCCACCATAGTTCTGGGCCCTGGGAATCATTGGCAGCCGTTATGGTTTGTGGCTTTTGGTGGCGCATGTTTGTTGACTTCTTGCCCGGATCATTATCAACTGGCATGTTTCCCACGAGGCTAGAAGTGGCGGCGGAGAAAGCTCTCCTTTACAGATGAGCTCTTAGCCCGCATCTTGTTCGCCCAGACAATCAGTCGCAGCCTGATACACGCTATACTCAGTTTCGAGATGGGTAAACCCCCATTTGAGCAAATTCGGTATTCAAGGTTGCACACATAAGCCGCTGACGGAAAAGTTTCATAGTTCAAGGGACGGCAAACGGGAAATCCATCGCCAGTCTCCACGTGCGGTCTGTGCTTCGTGATCATAGCTTAACTTCGAGGAATACGCGCCCGAGAAATGTAGGTTCCCAGGACGGGAGACGAGAACGCCTCCTGTTTGATCTTGGGCAATTGGTGCGGCAAACCGAGCTAGAAACGAAGGCCTAAACTATCGCTAGGGTTCAAGACAGCTCCAAGACGAGGCTCTTTGTTCAGGTGTAAGACTGCTTGCAATGTCGAGATAAGCCGCGGAATGCGCGCAACTGTTCCCTCGGCTTTTTTTGCATTGGCACGCGTTGCTGGGCATTTTTGTGTATTTAGAGTTGGTCTCGCATTCCCAACCCGCGGATACTCTACCGAACAAAAACGCCCCCCAGGCCCAATGCAGATGTCTTTCGAATTCCGATCCACCTATCCTCGACATTCGCCTGGCGCGTATTGAGTTCTCTTCTTCCCACGTTTTTCCATCCTACCCTCCACTGGACGGGCGAAATGCGCTGATCTGGAGCCGCACAAGATCTCACGGCCCCTAAGGGAGGTCGGACTGGTGCTTCTACAAAAATGTGCTCCCATGCAGAGGAAAGGACGCGAGCACGGACAAGGATACGTCAGAGCTTCACATGCAAAGATCCCCCCCGCACAAACTTTGGACGAAAATACCACCAGATCTAGCGTAATTCTAGGTCTTGAAAGAGGCGCTGGCCACTCTGCGGCTTCTCACAAAGAACTGGACCAATGTGAGAAAAGAACCAGAATTCTGCCCAGATGCGCATCAACATTTAGGGCTGTTGTTGCTTGGGGGGCCCGTCCCAAGATGCGCAGGCAGCAAAAGTCCAACTTAGCTGCAGCGGAATCAACTCGGGTCCAGGACCGGCGGAGCCGGGATGGTCAATGCCATTCATGCCATCCGGTCTTTCCTCGCTCCCAAAGGTTGGGGTCATGAGCAAACCAATGGTTCGCTGCAGGGTCGTTGCCGGCTGCAAGGTACGGTAAGACTAGCTCAATGGGTTGCGGGTTGCAGCTCTCTTATTTGAGCACTAGGGGTATCTTGTTAAGACATTGGCATTGAGCGTCACTCGCGGAGGCGGGAAACGACTGACGAGAACTTCCTCAACACAATGATGATGGAGCCTTGCCTCCAGAGCAACGGGGGCGTTGAGAAAATAAACAAACCGAATAAATGCCAAAACAAACTTCCTAAACCAATTTCTCACTCCTCACTACGTTTCCCAATAGGTCGCACTCAAGACGGTCAAGGCACGGGGCGGATTTGGGTGTGGAATGCGCCACCACACAAGCGCTCCGCGCCGGTGTCTGCAACAAGATTGCCCGAGCGGCAGGAATGATAAGGGAGGGCGAGAACGACGAGAAATCAATAACAACAACGCAACTGAGGTTTAAAGAACCCAGCTGCACACCAAGTCTTTAACGAACGTTACCTATCTGCTCTGGCTGAACCCCTTGCTCTCCGCTTTCCGAATACTCGGCCTATTTACCCCGTGGTTAGCTAGGTAGCTACATCTGAGCTTCGTTCTGCTCTCCAGAATACCCTAACCCTACATTATTTTCACCAACAGCAAATCCTCCTTCGGGAGGTCTTGGTCTCGATGCCGTCCATCGCAGCAAAAAGGTCACCGACAGCCTCGCCTAGCATGCCTTGGCTCGCGAGGTCGCCATCTCACCAGTCGCCCATCACATCTCCTCGTTCCTCCCAGTCCCCTCGAAGCTCACCACGAAGTTCGCCGAGATCAAGTTTGTGTGGTCCGATAAAGAACTATGGCCCATCAGTCACATACATCCCGCCGTTGATCGACGGAGCTTGCGGTACGGTACCACTGGCTCAGAAGCCGATGCTTTCGCTGCTCCATGATGACTTGCGGGAGATGTGGCGGATGATGCCGGGACTGATGTCCTCACTAAGGACACACATCACCAACCACCGCACACATTTGTCGAAAAACCACCTGAAGGATATTATCGTTCAGCTCAGTCTTGCAATTGTCGAAGTGGCTGTGATCACTCTTGCCCTACCTTTATTCATCGTCTTGCCTGGCATCCTATTTGTAGCATGGCTGGGAACGTCAATGAGCTTGGTCCTGGGTCTGAGCTGGTTGATGAACGGGAGTGATATCATGGCAAGCTGCGACGAGTTTGGCAATAACACCCCACAGCCAGAGGAAAACGAGGAGAAATGGATCTTCATCGGTGGCATGGGAACCAGGTGAGTGTTTCTCCAGTTTGCTCCGAGACCCGGACATTGCTAACAACAGTGTTTATAGTTCCACCCACCTCACACAATGCACCCTCCCCCGACTCGCAAGGCTCTTTGGAAAGTCCTTCAGCGGAATCCAAATGGCCACGTACGGCCTCCCCTTCGACATGCTCCTCCTCGCGATCCAACGCTGCTTCCCCTTCCAAACCCAAGCCTCGCGTACCCTCTACTCCGAGCTCCGCACCGCCCTCCTCGACACCGCCGTGATCCGGGTCGCCGTTCTAGCCCACAACAACGGCACCATCCCCATGGCACAGGTTCTCGCCCGTCTCTGCGCCGATATTCACCCCGAGAAACTCAACAAGCTCGAGATATACACCTTTGGCGCAGCCGCGCCGGAATTTGTCGTCCCGCTGGGTGAGAGCCGCAAATCCCGCTTCGAAGAAGCCGTCGTCGACGAGCGCGGGCCGCACATCGAGCACTTCGCGTACGCCAACGACCCCTTTGCGCAGATGGGCGTCCTGCGTGCGGTGAACAAGAAGTTCGACGGTCGTTTCTGCGGCGGCGTCTACATCATCCACAACCAGATCCCCCAACCTTCAGGCCACTGGATTCCCGACCCGCGCCCGGTCATGTTGCTGACGGACTACCTCTCTGCACTGTTCCCGGACCCATCATCGCCCTCGGCGCCCAGTAGCCTTCTCGACTACGTCATGGTCATTGACCGTGATGTTGCCGAGAGGCGCGAGCTGGCCGCCATGGCCAACCACGCACAAACAAAACGAACTCGAAAGGACAACCGCCGCCTCAGCTGGACGGGCCTGGGAGCCACCGTCGGCGGCAAAAACGGCGTAATGGATGGCGTCATGGGCCTCGAAATGGTGCGGAAGGGCTGCCGCGACTGCGACGGCCACCGCGGACGTGAAGTCAGCTGGCTCACCAAATACGTGCAAACCGGCTGGGTCGTGAAAGACTCGCACGTCGTCAACGCCATGGGCATTGGAGGCTACCAATGACCACTTTATTTTCCCCCCTATTCCGAATGTTTTAACAGATTAATGTGACACGCCAGCTTTGTATTTTCTTTTTTGCGTTTTCAAAATGAGGCTATGAAAGATGCGCTTTTTTTTTTTTTGTGAGGATATTCGGCGATTGATGGGTTTGGAGAACTGGATTTCCCATCAGCATTCGGCGTCGGTGTTCTCATAATTTTTTTGGACACATGGAGAATCATGATGCGATGATACGAATCGATGTATTACGAGTACGAGATACGGGGCGCACGCAAGGGTATGATCTCTCTGTATTGTCTCCTACTGGGAAAGAAAAAAATTAAAACTGGAAAAATGTGTAATCCCGCTTGAAATGAGTGCGGACAGGAGCCGGCGCTTAGGAAAGGACATTATATAGACGAGCTTCGGGGGCTACTAGTTAGATTAATCAAACACGTACATCTCCCCAGTAGTAGGTGTTGATGTCGAGACCCAGGAAATCGTCCTTGTAGACCCTGGCAACCTCGTCGTTGGCAGCGCCGGCGCACACTAACAGCGGCATAAAGTGCTCGCCGCCGCCACGCGGGTGCATGTCATAGCTGTGGCTGAATTTCCTCCAGCCTGACAGCGCCGCTTTCCTGTCCTCCCACTTCTCCTTGACGGTGGCGTCTGTGAGCTCCTTGTTCCACTCGTTGACCTGCTTGCCCAGCTTTGCAGCGGCGCTAGGGTCGCCCATGAAGAGGAAGCGCATCTTGGACAGGTTGTGAAGGGAAGCAAAGCCGGACCCCAAGATGGCGACATTGGAGTCCCGTAGTGCCGAGAGGGCACGGCCCATACGGATGTGCTCTTCAGGGTCCTCGGAAACAAGGACGGAGAGCTGGATGATAGGGACGTTGGCAGCGGGGTTGACGAGGAGCATGGGAATGAACACGCCGTGGTCCCAACCTTTTGTCTCGTGTTAGTCTTTGACCTGGTTCTCGGGTAGGGAGAGGCCATCATAAGGCATTAAGACATACCTCGTTGTGAGTCGAGGACTGGTGAGAGACCCTCCTTCTCAAGAGCCGTCTTCACCTCCTCTGCGATACTTGGCGATCCGGGGGCGGGGTACTTGAGTGAGTATGCCTCCCGCGGGAAGCCGCCATAGTCATAGTAAAGGTTATGGCTAGCGCCTGACGAGATGGTTGGTCTGACTTCGGACCAGTGTGCCGTTACGACGACAATAGCCCTGGGGGCCTCTGGGGTGTTTAGTTTGAGAATCTTTGGCACGCGGTTCTTCAATGAAGCTGTGATGGACGCATGGCCGGGGTCTCCAAGGACGGGCATGGGACCTGTGTGTCTGTTAGTGAGAAGAAATCCAGGGGCCTGATTGGTGCCGGCTTACCACCACCGTGTGAAACGCAAACAACTGCAGCACGCGTCATGGTAGATGATGATGATGATGTATTCTGTCTAGTTGAGTTTCTGCCAAAAGCCAGGATAGTTCCGGGGAATCGTAAACTTCTAAAGCGAGTTGTTAAGGTTGGTGTCATTCGAATTTTGTTGGTTGTCATTGGGCCCATACTTCCAAGATCACTGGAGAGCGAGGCAGGGGGACTTCAAATACCAACCGCATCCGTTCAGTAGGCTTCGCATCGGCTCTTCTCATTGGTCAGTTTGAAATACCCCCGGATCTGTGACAACCGGGATCAGATTGGTAATAACCGCGCGGGACCACAGAAAAGATACCGCCGCACCGGCACTGTCAGCGGCAAATGGGGCTGCCGTTTCTACGCATTGTATCCGTATGGTCAATAATTCTATGGGTCTCGTGAAGGAGCCTACTTAGAATACATCAAAGAGGCGTTCCGAACGTGCGCGCGCGCGCGGAAGCCCACTTCCGAACAACGGAATCTCGGTTCTTAATACAGTTGCCTTTCCAACATCTGATTATTATCATTTCCACCTTGTTCGCTTACACGAAAACTGACACCGTCTCGCGGCCGTTGCCGACAGCACGCACTCTTCCGCCAATTTCGAGCGGGCTGCCCTCGTGCACAACAAAGTGGCGAGAGCCCTTGGCCTGCGGCTCTTCGACACCAAGAATCTTGTAGATGTTGCTGGAAACCAAATCCAAGGCCTTCTTGCCATTCAGCCGGCTGCCTCCGTTTTGGTACGCAATACCCGCAAGCAATCCCAGGTCGCGAATCAGCCAATCCTCCTCCAATCCAATCGCCGTTACAACTCCCGCATCGAGCAGAGTGTCGATCGCAGTGCCATTCGTCAAAGGTGCACCAGTGAGAGAACGCCTCTGATCCCAGGTGTTCGAGTACGACTGGAAAGGTGCAAGAACGACACCAACACCAGCGGACGCCAGCTCGGTCGCAACGAGATGCGATTCCGCGCCTCCGATGATGCCAACTCGGAGCTTGGGGGATTCTGAAGACTGACTCTTGGCAGCCAGAGCCTCCTCCACGGCCGACTTGAGTCTCAGAATCGCAATGATAGTGTCAGCGCTATGCACTGTGAGAATCAACGGCAGCTCTCCGTTGACGACCTTCTTGAGATAGACGGCCTCCGAGAAGGGATCCGAGCCAGTATCGTTGGACGCAACTGCTTCCAAAAGGGTGTGGCGGAGTGCGCCAATGGCTCCAGAGATGGATGGGTTATCACCTCTCTTGGCAGCCAGTGTCAAGGTGCGATGGAGCGCAACATCTTCACCCCAGACGGCATCTTTTTCAAAAGCGTGCAGGGCACCAGTGTTGAAGCCAACACTGGTTCCAGAGTGAGTTGCTTGGCCGGAGAACTTGGGGGCTGAGATGGCCTTGGTGACACCGTAACGGAGTGCAACGTGCAGCTTCTTGTTGTCCAGTGCAAGTCCGTCAATGCCCCTGCTGAATCCAGAGCTGCGGCCGTTGTCCGTATCAGCTTCGCCGTCAATCTCGTTGAGGCCAATGCTAGAGCCGAAGGCAGTGAAAGATTCGGTAATATGGCCATTCTTGAGGTTAATGATCTTCTTTGAGGAGGATTTAGCGGCAGCGACTTCTTCGGTGCAAGTGCCGATGCACTTGATGGCACCATCAGAAACCACGACGTTGACTGGCTCAGCGCTCGAGGACTTCTCCTCGCCGGACAGCCAAACGTTGGCAACTCCAGTGAAAACTACATCCTTTAAGTCGGTCGCCTCCTCAGTGATGTTTGCCAGCTCCGGCTCAGGAGAGATGGGCCCGGTCAATGGCTTATCAAGCTCGAAGGGGTCAGAGAACTGAGCGGCTCCGTCAATCCAAACTTGAACTGGCGCAGCGCCAACGCTGAGGGGATCACTGTCCCACACAGCGATATCTGCATCAAAACCAGGCTTGATCTTTCCGATTCTCTGTCCCAAGCCCAGAAGCTCCGCAGGGGCGGATGTGACACTGGCCAAAGCTGCGTGGTAAGGGAGGCCGTACTTGTACGCCTTCGCAGCCTCGAAGAGAACGTGCTGGGCGTTCAGGACAGGGTTGTCACTGACATAGACAGGGGTAAGGCCATTCTCCCAAAGAATCTTGCCGGCGTATTCAGAAGCGACGTACGACTCTGACTTGTAGTACATGTTGTCGGCAAATAGAGCAGAGGCAGGCGGGCGGCCTCCCCAGGTTCGCTTCAAGATCTGTGGTTCTCGTTAGTGGTTACTCCCATAGCACGAACTTGAGAGTCATTTAGGCGTACCTCGGGAACAAGATATGTTTGGTGAGCATGGTGGAATGCTCGCACGGGGAATTTGAACTCGTTGGTGTGGTCAACAAATGCCTCCAAGTCAGGAATAGTGTAGCAATGTGTGTTAATGTGCACTTGGCCTCGCAAGGCGGCGCTAAGGCTCTCCCACTTCAGGTCTTGAGGCAAGTATTGGGTCTGGCTCTCAACACCGAACTTGTCGGCAGCATCGCACCAGTCATCCTGCTCCCGTACAAGCTTTGCGGCCTGCTCGAAGGCGTGACGGAACTCCCAGCTTTCGCCGAGGCGAGAGAAGGGGCTGTGGCCAACCTTTCCGTAGACGCGCTTCGCATTCTCTCCGCATGCCATCTTCATGTAGCGCCAGTTACGGTCAGGGTCGGCCAGCATATCCTCAGCAGAGAACTCAGTACGACCATCGGGCTTACCGACGGCATGCTTGATAACGTAGGCTTCGCCACCAATGTTGTTGCCAGAGCCCGGCAGAACCAGCGAGGTGGTGACACCGCCGGACTTGATAACCTGAATCTGGGGATCAAGAGGGTTCAGGCCGTCGATCGAGCGCACGTAGGGAGTAATATCGTTGGACATCTCATTGACGTCCTGGTTGCCGTTGAGCTCGGGCAGAGCGCCGACACCGGCGTGGGAGTGCATGTCGATGACACCACTGGTGAGCTGGCGGCCCTTTGCATCATAGACCTGAGTGTCCTTGGGAAGGGAGTCGAGCGAAATGTCAGCCTCAACCTTTTGAATGAGACCGTAATCGATCAGGACATCGGCAGTGATCCATGAGTATCCCTTGCCGGCGCGATCATCTGCAGGAGAGGTACCCTCTGCGGGTTCGCCGACCCAGACGGTGGCATTTCGAATCAGAGTCGGACGCTGGCCCTCGACGTATCGTGCATTCTTCTTGCGGCCGAGGCCAATGGGGTCCTGAGGCTTGCGTCGCAGGGCGGCACAAGTCTCCAGATCCTGCTGCAAGCGGGCAGCCGATAGGTTGCTGGACGGCTTGCTGGAAGGCAAGAATGAGAGCTGCTTCCATTGAGCGAAGGCAATAAAGCCAAGGCACAATACGATCAGCTTCATGCTACGACTAGGTCGTAGCCAGCGCTTCGAATGCGTGTGGTGGTGATGGTGGTGCGACGAGCGCCGCGAGCCCGAGGGCAGTGGGGCATCGCTGTAAGGCGGAAGACCGCTCTTCTCCGGGTCCATGTTGGCGACCATCAGTTGGTGGTCAATTGTGTTGAAAACGAGGGGGAGGAATTGAAGGTCTGGAAAGAAATAGGATTCGACTCAGACTAAGTATCGAGCCCACATCTCTCAAAGGATGCGGTCGGTTGGCCGAGTCCTTTGCCCGAAAGAGAAGGTGACTGGCGGGCCGGCTGGATAATCGGCCGGCGTTTCAACCCAAGAACGCAAACATCGTCGCCGAGACAGAGCTTTGGGGTAGCTATCGGTGCTCCTCGGTCGCGATTTCGGCCACTGTGAGTGGTCAACGACATGGATGATGGTGAGCGCGTGGAGTCGAATGAGGAGCTCACCCCAGTTGTCTCAGTCAAGGAGCTTTGCGTGATTACGTAGCTGGAGTGATAAGCTTTTGATTATATAATGTTTCTCTTTTTTTTCTTTTTTTTCTTCTCTTCTTAGTGTAATTTCCACCGAGAATAGTGGGTCTCAGGTCTGGAAGCTCCGGGTGAAGACTCTTATCTTATCAGCCATGGCGGGGCATTTCACTATCTGTTACTGTGACTGATTCCCTGTTATCGACAGCAACGTCATTCGGGGTGCGATATCGCAAGCTTGTCGCCGTCCAATATGGGAGCCCAAAATGAAAGTAATCGGCTCTGGATGATGCTTCCTTTTTTCTTTTTCTTTTTTTTTTTTATCAAGTATCTCTTAAGATTACTCCGCTCGTCATCGTCAGAATGCCACTCTTCGAATTGCCTCAGTTACTATGATGTCTCCTCACATCAACATCCCTCAAGATGCCGCTTCTGCAATGACTGGTAGGCTCAAGAACCTTATTATATTGTATGCCTAAGCAGTTAGATCGATGTCTCCTTAATCATTTCTTCCTCTGAATAACCACCCAGTGTATCATCTTCCTAACAAGTGCAACGGCCTTTACATGCTGTCTATCCCCACCAGAGGCATGACTACGTGACAGGCGACAGCAAGCTTTCATTACGTATTAGCCTCTCGTTAGTTTCAAGACAGCTGTTCAGCAGGAGGCACATCCAGACTCAAAATAGGTCACCACTGGTGTTTGGCAGCGTGGCGTGCGGGGAATCATAGGCGCCATGACCAACTACCCCGCGGATTAGATCTACCGTGGGGGGTGAAGAAGGACGCCCTCTCCAGTTTTGAAACCGTTACAGGTATCGTTAGCGAATACAAGCCTGCTGTGCTGTGCCTTTGAATTGTTCGGGGTTTGCACTTGACCAATGCCTATCTTCCCAAGTTTTTCCAGCCATTCAGCTGTTGGTGGTCTCATTTGACCATCCACATTTGGCAAGTTGACCCCAGGTCGCATCCTCCCAAATGGCATGACTTGATAAGGAAACTAGTATCTTGCGGAGCTGCGGCATGTAGTATAACTGGCTGGGCCGATAACGCTCTATTTTGACCGCGATCAAGATATATATTTATATATGGGATACTTACCTTAGTCTCGCTCCCGTTTCGACAACATGAGTCACGTCGGCAACAACTTCATTCTACCATACTTCTTTATCAGAACGACACGATTTCCCAGATTAAATATTCGTCCCGCATTTGTTTATGGTCTTTTGCTTTCATCATGTCCATTTTTATAGTCGTGGCTTTGACATTTGCCATGGCCGTGTTCCTCACATGGCGATGGAGAGGTCACAACGATGCCAAGGTATTCAAGTAATCTCTATCCTAGGCTTCCGAACTCTCTAACAGAAAGTAAGTAGCGGCCTTACAAGACGGATCTCCTTGAAAAGCCTGATCACAAGTCTGCCATTGAGCCTGTGAAGGACTTCAACTGGCAAGAAAACATGCCAACCAAATACCGACCATTTAAGCCGGTCTATCACATTACCATGGGTAAGTTTGGTCATAGAGTATATCAATGATGCACGGCAGGGTACTAACCTACGTCTTCCGTAGCCATTCAAGCAAGCTCACCAGAGGAACTGATTATAATGGACAGCAACTACCTGGATCGTGTAACCGAACGTCGCGAGACAATTAAACAACACACATCTACAGTACTGGGTGCCGTACCTGAAGGTATCCCCGCCATCCATGAAGTATGGACGTATCTTCTTGCAGAATACCTGCCAGCGCGGTACCCAACCATGTTTTCCGTGATCGATGAGGGTTGTACTTTCCATAACAAGGTTACCAATGTTTCACTACCTTTGACGCCACCAGAGGATCCAAACGTTGCGCTGCAACTCCTCGGAGAGACTGTGGAAGACGACATCTTTCTCCTGGTTGAGACTCCGGATGGTCATCGCTCAGTGGCATTCGTCTGCTGCCATCCGGCGGGTTTCGATCCTTCTGAAAAGTTAGGGAAGCTGCTGAAGGAAATCCACACGGAAGTGCCTTCATACGACAAGATTGGTGCGAGCATGGAACGTTTCTTCAGCCGGCTACAAGTTGGCAAGAGCGCAAAGAGAATGAACGTAAGTCGTCAGTTCGGCGAGCTTCCGATGTCCTTTACTAACGAGCAAGCATAGTGGTCAATTTCGACAAATGAGCGTCTATTCAGCCCTAGCGGGTTACATATCTACGACGGCGACAAGCCGAAGGAGGACGAGGACATTGACATCAGCAAGGTTGGCTGCCATGTACCACATTCACGACGTGCAAGAACTGACCTTTTCCAAGACGCGACTCAGACAAGAGCTTCAAACTTTGACGAGACTTCCCAAGACTGGCGCTATAATGTTCTCCTTCAAAACTTACCTTACCCCATTGGAAGAGATCAAGGAGGAGGGTCTCGGACCTCAGGTTGCTGATGCCATTGAGGGATTGAAGACGGGGAACGCGCCGGGCATGTGGGTGTATAAGGGAGCAACCCGTTGGGGTAAGAGTGCGTGCGAGTTTCTCCGTTCATAGAATCGGTACGTTTATGAGTGCTGGAAGGACTCGTACGGATACAATTACTTCAAGCATGCAAGACAGGAACAAGTACATCGACTCACACATAACTTGCAAAGGTTGGCATTGTCATGCCACCTCGTTGCACCCCAGGGAAATCACAACTATGTTCCCAGTGTTTCCAATGTTCCTCAGAGCAGATGTAACTTGCAAAAACGCAAAAATACAAAAAGAAATCTTCAACCGAAAGTGGATTTTAACCACTGAATCTCCCCGAGGTGGGCTCGAACCACCAACCTCCAGATTAACAGTCTGACGCGCTAGCCAATTGTGCCATCGGGGATGTTGAGATGAATTGATTGTGACGTGTCAGCGCCGGAGCCGACTCAAGGCCCGCTCTCAACGGGGGGGGGGGGGGGGGGGACGAGCAGTAGAAATTTCGGAACGGCGGCCCCGAACATGCTTACTACTACGGAGTATCGTACTATCGCTATTAGGCGATCTCCCGTTTCATGGTTACTACGGAGTACTACACTAAGATCGATAACCGAGATACGAACCTTTCGCCTATAACACGTCATTTAATATGTAAGATTCCACCGCCATCTGTTCCGTGCGTCAGCTTAGACGCCCGTTAGAAGCTTCATTAGCGGTGGCTGTTCAGTGGCATTTTTTTCTTCTTCTTTTCTTTTCTTTTTTCCTTTGATCGCTTACTAGCATGGCAAAAGGGCGATCAAAGTGCGATTGACTCGCTTTGGGATGAACTGCATCAATGAGCACAGCGTAGCGCTCAGTAGGGAGCTCCCGGTTGTGCCGAATAGGGGCGCACCCACCGGGTTTGCATGTCTGGAGATGCCCCCTGATCGGGCCTAGTGGCCCCGCACCGAGCCCCGTGGAAATTTCCCAGAGAAGCTTTTGCCAGGGCATCATTCCATCACCTTTTGGTGAACCCCCTGGCTTGACTTGCCGCTTTTTCTCCCAAACAAGATGTAAACGAGATGTGGGCTCTTGTTCATTAACACAAAGCACCCACAAACAACCCCTTGATTATAATTTTCCCACCCTGTTGGAGCCCGTGTCCGCTTCTTTGTACCCCCGTCCTCCCGTCTGTCGAGTCCAGGCCCCGGTCTGTTGGTCGTGTTCCTGACTCCTTCGCAGGGTCATTACTCTTCTGTAGACGCTGCCCTTGCCGCCGCACCTGGGAGCTGCATGCATATTGCTGTGGTTGTATGGCGTGGCCTCCATGAGCCCATGGCCTCACCTGAAGTCAGGGGATACCTCCGTAATCTAATTTGTGCTTTCATCACCCCTCCCAGGCATAGAAACCACTTACAATCAATGACATTTGCTGCGCCAGCACCCGCTCAACCGGGTAGCCTTGCCGTGAAACAGAACGCATCTGCATCTGCCCGTAGGTAACCATTCTACTCTATTCCTCGCAGCTAGGCCTGCGGGGGCTTCTCCGTTATAGGAATCATGCAGCGAAATGGGCTCGACATCGGTTCGTCCCATTGAGTCGGGGAGAAAACCCAGGAGGCATACATAAGGAAGCATGGCCTCCAAACGTGTGCTAGACCCCCTTCTTCCCCTTGGCTTTTGAGCTTAGCTACATTCTCTCTCGTCCATTGAACTTCCTGAAGCAAGGCCAAGGCATCGATTGCTGCGACCTGCGTCCTCTCTTTCTTAACCTTTCATTCGTTCAACCCTTGATTCAAGCTTTCTCCAAGCCGACAGGGTCGGTTTAGGCACATACGCACACACACACTCACTTACACACATCATAACCTCCACACCGAAACAAGTCTCTTCAGACAAACCCTTGCAAAAATGAAGTTCACCGCTTGGAACGTCGCCAGCGCGGCTCTGCTGGCCACCCGCGCCCAGTGCGCCATCCTCTGGGATGGTCGTTTCAACGACATGACCTCGTCCACCGACCTCGACAAGTGGTCCTGGAGCAACCAGGTCGGCGCCTACCAGTACTACATCCACGGCTCCGGCAAGACGACCGAGTACGTCAACCTCTCCGAGGACTTCAAGAACCCCGCCGACACGGGCTCCAAGCAGGGTGCCAAGATCTCCCTGACCAGCACCTCCTTCTGGAACGGCCAGACCATGCGCCGTACCGAGCTCATCCCCCAGACCAAGGAGGCCATCGCCAAGGGCAAGAAGTACTACCACTTCAGCATCAAGCGCAGCGACACCAACGCTCCTTCCCTCAACAAGGAGCACCAGATCGCCTTCTTCGAGAGCCACTTCGTCGAGCTCAAGTCCGGCTGGCAGAGCGGCGCCTCCGGCACCGAGGACCCCCTCCTCCGCTGGGTCGTCGGCGGCAAGACCGAGTGGAGCGTCAACTGGGACGCTGACGTCTGGCACAACGTTGCCTACGAGATCGACTTTGACGGTGGCTCCGTCGGTTTCTGGCACTCTACCGGCTCCGAGGCCCTGAAGCAGGTCGTCGCCCCCGTCACCGCCTCTGCCCAGAGCAACGGTGCCGACTGGCACGTCGGTGTCCTCGAGCTGCCCCGCGACGGCTACCCCGATGAGACCGAGGACTTCTACTTCTCCGGCGTCTACATCGAGGACGGCGAGATCACCACTGCTGTTGGCTCCGGCTCTGGCTCCGGCACCGGCTCCGGCTCTGCCCCTGCCTCCTCCGCTGCCCCTGCCGCCACCTCTGCCCCTGCCGCCGCCGCCTCTTCCTCTGCTCCCGCTGCTGCTGCTCCTACCACCCCCGCCGCTGTCCCTACCTCCAGCGCCGCCCCCGTCTCCTCTGCTGCTCCCGTCCAGTCTGAGGCCCCCGTCGAGTCCGAGGCTCCTGTCGCCACCCCCGTCTCCTCCGCTGCCCCCGTTGTCTCCGAGGAGCCCTCCGCTCCCGCTGCTACCACCACCTCTGCTCCCGTCGCTTCGGCCACCGCCAAGCCCGGAAAGCCCTGCCGTCGCCGCCGCCGCCGCAGCAACCAGCAGCGCAAGTAAATGGACGGGTCGTTAAATGACCCTGGACCACTCTTAGCATGAACCCCGAGGTTTCTCTGGACGTGATGAGCCAGAGACCCTGAGGAGCGGTGCGCATTCTCATGTACATATCTTTTTTGCACATAAAGACTTGACACTGTGCCTATTGGATTTAGTTTTGAATACATTTTTCAGTGTACGATCAAGATGCTCCCAACTCACCTTTGGCAATGTGAATATGTCTTTTAAAACTGTGATGGTAGAGATCAATGCCGATGAAAGAAAAATTAGTTGGAAATCAGGCTGCAAGTCATGGTTGAATTCTATATCTCGCGGGAATGCGATGAAAAATGGTATCTGCCAGAATGCTATCTATCTACGCTGTCTCTAGTATGGTCGCTTCTTAAAGATACTTCTTCACCTGATCTTCTGTCCATTTCCAAAAGTCTTCAGCAAGCCCAGTGCCGCCTTCTTCGCGGGACTTGGAACCCTGGACTAAATCATCCCTGATCGAGTAGAGACGGCCCCAAGGAACGACTAGAGCCCGACAGAGTTAGCAATGTCTCAATACAGTTTGGGGGTGAACTTTACCCCAAGCTCCAGTGTTTTCGATGGTCACCTCGGGTGAGAGAGCGGCAAAAAGTTCAGTGTAAGCACCGTTGATGGCCGGGTATGTTGTCGCCTTTCTGAATAGCTGGGGGATCAAGGCAGTAAGATGCCGGTCCAACTCCGACGACAGGTTTCCGGGGTTCAGCGCCTATCCAAGTGTCAACTTTGCTTGTTTAACGCACGTTCAATGGTCTGCTCATACTACGCTAATGACGCCATCATCTTTGTGTCGCTTGGCGAACTCTGTCGAGTGGAAGTAGTTTCCTGCTTTGCTGATTCCGTACTTGAACTCCTTCATTCTGTCTCTCTTGGAGTAATCGAGGTTATCAATGTCAATAACGGGGTAAGGTGAAAGGACTTCGGCAGCGGAACTGGAAACCCAGACGACGCGGACGCTATCCTTGGGCGCTGTCTTGGCCGTCTTCACAAGGGTAGGCGTGAGAAGTTTGGTGAAGAGGAAGGGGCCGATGCAGTTTGTGCCCAGCTGCAACTCGTAGCCTTGAACGGTCTTGCTGCCCTGCGGCGGCATCATGACGCCGGCATTGTTAATGAGAAGGTGAAGCTGGGTTTCCTTGGCGAGAAAGGCTTCAACGGCAGGCTTGACGGTGGTGAGGTCTGCCAAATCGAGGGTAAGAAGGTCCAGTTTCCCCGAGGATTCGGGAACCGCCTCCTTGATGGCAGCGATGGCAGCACGCCCTTTTTCTTCAGATCGCGATGTGGCATAGACGGTAGCGTTCTTGGAGTAGAGAATCTGCGCGACTTCTTTGCCCACTCCTGTGTTGGCTCCCGTTACGATGCATACCTACACAGCGTAAGATTTTTGCAGAAAATTATGGGAATGTTTCCGGGTTGACGAACCCTTCCGGTGAGATCAGGAACATCCTTCTCTGTGAATTGCGGCCGGGGCGGGAAGGCCTGTGTGAAGATACTGAAAGGGTTGAGCATTGTGGCAACCCAGAACATATCTCCCTGTGGTTGATAACAGGCGTAGCGAGGCGTACTGGTTGTGTTCAGACCGATGTGGCTGAGAGACAATGCACGGATAAAAACAGTCGATGATATATCAGTAGTATGTTGGCAAAATGCGGAAAAACAGCGACGTCATTAACACACAGTCCAAGACTATCTGCGGAGGGAGAAAAGGTCTTGAAGATCACGCCTCCCTGGTCGCCGGAGGCTTCATTGACCCGGAGCTAAGCCAAAAGTAGTGGAGTACCTTTTTGGCAGGACGACCTTTGAGATAGAGTTGGTGCACTGCCAATTCTGGACGGGAAAGAGCTCTTCACCGAGAAAGGCGAGATGTGATTGGACGTATTTCGGGACCGCAAACCCTGCTGAATGGACAAGGTGCTGACAGCAAGGGCAACCGATGTATGTCTGAGATTCAGGGAAAATAAGAATGTTTTAGTTATGATTCTTGTCGAATTTTGTATTATCGCTTATGGCCATGCTGTGCGTATCATCATCATAACAGTTTTGTTGATTTCTTGCATATCAAGTCAACGTTAGCAATACGGCACTAGTAGCTTTATCACGGATACTGGGCAAATAGACGGATTATATAATACAACTCATCGTCGGCAGGTGAAACTCCACCGGCCGTGCAAGCCGGGCCACGTGATGAATGTCAGTCGACTTGTGTGGGGACGGTTGACGGGACATCCGCCGGGAGTCAATTCGGAACTGTGATTGGCGCTGCCAGATGGTCTGGACTGCCAAAGCACGAGCCAACGTCTAATGCAAGACCAATGACCACTTTTTGTGTGTGCGTGTGTTATGTTGGGCCTTTTCTGCCAGCCACGCCATTTGCTTGTACCCGCGTCCAGTTGGTTGGAAGGAACAGACCACTAAAGGCTGAGTAGGAGTCAGAGTCCCCTGTTGCAGCCAAACAACGGAAGGAGAGCCTCACCCCAGGTCACTGACAACCACCGTTGTGCATCACAACACCACTACAAAACAACCTTATCCAACGCCCTCCTTTTTTTTTTTTCCCCCGTCGCATCTGGCCCCAATCCGCCATCCAAGTCGCCCTTTCATTCCCAGCCCGACATCAGTCGCCCATTCGAAGCAGCCTTCATCATCGAACCTGAGCCTTTGCCCGCCTTGGCATCCACGCCCCACCAGAGATCGTCCTTCGCTTCCTTTTCAGCCTTGTGTGCGGCGTCCACTTCTTGCGGGTTGATGCACGCTGCCGCGATACGACCAGAGGCGTGGATTGCGCTTTCCGGCTCCGCACCTTTCGCTTGACAACACCCGCTCATCGCGAAATCCAACATCCGTTATTGCGAGAGATGCTTTGACCCGAGGTCGCAAGCTTACCTACCCAACTCCATCTCGCCTCTCCCCCTTCTCTCTCTCTGCCATCTATCTGCGAGCTCTGCCTGTATTTCAGTATCAATTTATTCAAAATATCACAACCGGCCGTGCACCGCGATATCGAGTCGAACCGGGTCAGCGAACGAAATACGTATAACATAATCCTTGGTGCAGGAATATTTTGGTCAAACTGGCGGCATCATGTCTCTTCCACGTGCGTCCTTGTTGCCCGGGGTGCCATTCACGTTGCTGCCGCTAACATCGCATCCACAGTAAGCGCAGAGGAGGAATCTCGGTACACCTCCATTATTGATGGTATTCTCGGGACTGCGGACTTGACTACCGTCACCCGGAAGAAGATCCGCCTGGGCTTGGAGAAGGCACTTGGCGGCAAGGATTTGAGCGACCAAAAGGTAACTTTTCCCCCATGCTCCGACCCTCCCGCACCAGTAGCAGGAAACGCACGAAGTCATGACCAGCCATCAGCTAAACGTTCCCTTCTCCAGGATGCTATCAAGGCCCTGATCGAGGAGCGCTTCGACGCCATCTCCGGCCAAGACGCCCCCGAAACACAATCTGCGAGCCCTGCCCCAAAGAGGGAAGCCAACGGCTATGACGACGATGGAGACGGTGAGATTCAAGTTTCTACCTCTCCCGTCCGAAAGAAGCAAAAGCGTGAAGACTCTTCGGAAGATGCCGATGCCAAGCTCGCGGCTGAGCTGCAGGCTCAGGAGAATCGCATGGCCAGGGGACGTACAACTCGCGGCGGTAACGGCGCAACCACCAAGGCGACCAAGAAGAAGAAGGCCGCTCCTCGAAAGAAGAGCGATAAGAAGGTTCGCGACGGTGACGATAGTGATGTCGATGGAAGCGAAGAGGCGCCAAAGCGAAAGGCTGGTGGAGGTTTCCAGAAGCCCTTCAACCTGAGCGACCCTCTAGCGGAGCTGGTCGGCGAAACACAGGTACTTTACCCATCTCTATCCCTTTAGCCTATCTGTGCTTTGGCACATGCCTGTGAGCATGCACTAACCTTCTTACCAGCTCTCCCGTCCGCAGGTGGTCAAGAAGCTCTGGGAGCATATCAAGGGAAATCAATTGCAGGACCCCGAAAACAAGCGACAAATTCTATGCGACGACAGAATGCAAGCTATTTTCAAGCAGCCCAAGGTGGACATGTTTCAAATGAACAAGATGATTGGCAGCCATCTCTACCCCGTTGAAGAGCAGTAAAAAAGAAGGGTCACAAAGGTGCGGGCAAGAGGCGGAAGATGTAGGTATAGGCGTCTTTCTGGTTTGGTGTAAGCAAACTTTACGGGTTCTTTGGTTGGGCATCCGGGGAAGGAGAGTAAACGGACGGATAGTTCGCAGCATTACTTGATGGGTGGTTCCAGTAGACGTGAGTGAGTGAGCTCGGCAACGTCACCGAAGGTGGCCGACGATACAGGCAATGGCTGCAATTTGTGTCTGCAGCTGTTAGCCATGGAGAGACTGGTCCAGCTCGACCTTGGGAATAGGTCGACACTAGTCTCCATATTATTTAAACAAGCTTCATTAGCATCAACCGCGGTCCAGTGACGTAATCCAAGGCGGTATTTGTGTGATTTCTGATGATTGGAGAGACACAGCTAGGCCATCTAGTAACATGTATTGATTGTATCAGAGGCACAATCGGCTTGCTATCGTTCTGGCAACAATGCTCAGTTTGTAAATGCAGTCACACAGCATAAGTCTACGCCACTGAGACACTCCGAATTATCAGACGACTACAAGAGAGGCAGCGTTTTCGGTATATGGTTGGTTACATTTACGAGCCACCAAGCTAGTTTACGACACAATGCTAGGGGCTACAGGTTTTGGCCGGTGACTCTTGAAGCTTTCAGGTCACCTTTCTGCAAGGATTATCTAAGCAACTGGGCCCCACTAGAAGCTTCACTAGCTGTCAAGGGTGAATGACGCACACCGAGAAACGGAGAAACCCCGGCTGCCTCTTTTTTTTTTCTTTCCTTTTGGGTCGAACAACAGGGGACCTTTTGCTAGACCCCGCCATCCTCGCTGTCGTGCATCCACCAATACCAGTGCCAATCCAACCCACTCGAGGTTCCCTGGGGAGCCACACATAATCATAATTTCGACGTCCCTCGTCTTGCGGCGCCCGAATAAAACCGCCCTCCAGCCTGCCTCTCTCCCAGCCTTAACTCTGCCTCACCCATACTACAACTTTGCTGTCGCTTATCCGCTTGAATACTCTCTCCACGCAACACTAAACTACTGTTTTCCCGCAGGGAAGAAACTGTGTTAGCCAGTGACGCAATTTCACGCAAAGAGCAACATTGGGAACAAAACCGCCCGCCTCAGCCTGCTGACGAAACGATCTCGAACACTCACCTATACACCAAACACTAATCTCGACGGCAACTGCTCCCATGGCTGACGCGCAACCTGCTGCCGATTCGTCGAACCCCTCCCGGGGCAATCGCAACCGTGGAAGAGGCCGTGGAGGTGGAGGTGGAGGTGGAGGCGGAGGAAACAACGCTGGGTCTCGCGGTAGAGGGCAGAGGAGCGGACGCGGCAGAGGCGGTAACAATGCTGGCGCCGGAGCTCATACAAACACCCCGAGCGCACCGCAAGTCGCCCCCAAGGCCGAATCCAAGCCGCTTGCTCGCGCCGCGACGGAGGGTGACGATACCGCAAGCACCGACGGCGAGGTGTGCTTTATTTGCGCAGAGCCTATCAAGTTCCACTCGATTGCGCCATGCAACCACAAAACATGCCACATTTGTGGTCTGCGTATGAGAGCTCTGTACAAAACTAAGGACTGCCCTCATTGCAGAGTAAGAGCTCCTCCCCCTATACTTCATACTCCCTATGCGCCGAAGCTGACATGTACAATTAGACACCCTCGCCTTTCGTAATCTTCACCGAGGATGCAAACAAGCGATACGAAGAGTACACAGACGCCGACATTACAAGTTTCGACAACAATATCGGCATCCGTTATACAAATGAAGAAATCGTGGGTGATACAGTCGTCCTTCTCCGCTACAATTGTCCGGCGGACGACTGTGTCTTTGCCGGTTTAGGCTGGCCAGACTTACACAGGCACGTCCGGTCCGCCCATCAAAGGAAGATGTGTGATCTGTGTACCCGTAATAAGAAGGTGTTCACCCACGAGCATGAACTGTTCGCCGATAAGGAGCTTGAGAGGCACATGAGACACGGAGATGATAAGCCTGGCGCTATTGACCAGACTGGCTTCAAGGGTCACCCGCTTTGCGGCTTCTGCGGATCGCGATTCTACGACGACGATAAGCTCTTCGACCATTGCCGTGAGAAGCACGAGAGATGTTTCATCTGTGACCGGAGAGATTCTAGGCACCCCCACTACTTTGTTAATTACAATGCGCTGGAAAAGCACTTTGAAAAGGACCACTTCCCCTGTCTTGACAAGGAGTGTCTGGAGAAGAAGTTTGTGGTGTTCGAGTCGGAGATGGATCTGAAGGCGCACCAGCTGGCGGAGCACGCCAATTCACTTTCCAAAGACGTCCGTAGGGACGCTCGTGTGGTTAACATGTCAGGCTTCGACTTCAGGCCAAGCTATGAGAACGAGAGAAGAGGCGGAGGCGGCGGAGGAGGATCAGGTAGCGGGCGGCAAGGACGTGGACGTGGCCGAGACCCCAATGCGGAGCCGATACCTCAGAGCTCTGCTCAACCTCTTCGCCGCGACGAGCTTGCTTTCCAGAGACAGATGGCCATCCACTCGGCGCAATCAGTATCCAACCGCACTTTTGGTGGTCAGCTCTCCGGCTCCTCTGCTCCAGCACAACCTACCTCATCCCGTCAAGGCAATGCTGCTGCTGCTTCCTCCGCTGCTCGTCCCGCAGCACCTGCTCCAACACTCCCTACCTCTGCAATGGAGCAGTTGAACGTAACCGACGTCGCATCCTTGCCGCCTCAAGAGCGCGCAACGATGCTTCGCCACCAATCGGTCATTGAGCGCGCCTCAAACCTACTAGGAAAGGACGAGTCTAAGATGAACACCTTCCGTGAGCACATCTCGTCTTTTAGAAAAGGAAAGCTTACTGCGCCGCAACTTGTCGACGCATTCTTCTCTCTTTTCGCCGACGCTTCGTCCAATGCGCTCGGAACACTGGTCCGTGAGGTTGCCGATCTGTTCGAGGACAAGACCAAGGCCCAGGCTCTACAAAAGGCATGGCAGGACTGGCGAGCCATCAACGAGGACTATCCGTCCCTGCCTGGTTTGGGTGGTATGCAAGGCGCCACCACGGCCTCAAGCGGCTGGGCCAGTGCCGCCACTGCTTCTCCCGTGGCGCCTGCCGCGGCTCCTACCCAGAAGCACTCTAACCGCGTTCTGCGGCTCAAGAACAGCACGCGTGCGGGTGCTGCAGGCCCAAAGCCCGTCACACCGTCCGCCTCGTCAAGTAACTGGGTATCGTCATCGCCGGCCGTCCGCCCGCCACCATCATCCGCCTTCCCCGCCCTCCCCGCCGCGTCATCATCATCTTCGTCATCTTCGGCAGCTCCCCGGCCATCCTGGATCGGCCCGAACAACCCTTCATCCGGCGGCGGAAGCAGATCATCTGGTCCTGCAGCGCGACCTGCAGGGCGACCAGCTGCTGGTGGCGACGCCTTTCCGGCGCTGCCTCCGGCACAGAAGCCGCTCACGACAATCTTTGGTTACGGCGGCGGTAGAGGTGTCCGGCGAGATCTCGGAGGCGCCTCAAGCAATTTCAGCTGGGGCTCGGCTCCCGGAAGCGGCGCGGCAAGCGAGAACGCTTCGGAGAGGGAAGATGAGGAAGGCGCTTCTTCAGGCGGCAAGAAGAAGAAGGGCAAGAAGGTGCTTGTCCAGTGGGGATAAGTTCTCCTGTATCGATTAGTTCTCACTGATAAAACGTCTTGGCGGGGAAAAGATGAGGAGGAGTAACATGTCGACAGAGGCGTCGATTACGCTAAAAGTGGAGGAGGAAACTTGACAGGAGTCGTGTGTGCCATTCGTGGCCCGGGGGTAGCAAGTGAAAAGGGAAAAGTATATGGCACCTGAGAAAAAACAAATGTTGTAGATTCAGAGATGAGAGGAAAGAAGACAAAAGGTAGCAACGCGAGAAATGTTGCATCTGGCGGATTGTCCACTTCGAGAACCTTGATAGCCCCTTGATTTACGTGATACTAGCAAGTGACAGTAGGTTCCCTCTTAACTTTAACAATGTGACCCGCATGAACCCCCAAGCCTATACAATTCTACGGGAACGCGAAACGGCATACGTCTACTAACCGTTGCAGAGGTACATACGGACAGGGACGGCTTCTGTATTGGCGTACGGTGGTTCTCGTGCTGGATATGTGGGGTCCTTCACAAGTGCGAACAAGTGAGCTGAGTAGGTACCTTATCAGTAGCAATCCCTTGGGGAAAGCGAGGAGGCCAAAATGGTAGGGGTTCGGGTTATCTACGGAGAGTTCCATAACCTGGGAGTTGAAGAGCTTATTCTCTACCTATCCTACCTCACACCATAACTCACTCGAAACCACACCCAGTTAAGTCCCAACGATTCAATGAAACTCACAAACAAGGTATGAAGATGTAACTAAGTGTACACACTATAGTAAACAGAAACATCTCAAAATTCATTTGACGACGTGACAAACACATCAGTCAACGCCTGGCATCTAGCCTTTCGTAGTGCACACAAACAAACAGATATCGACTGTCGGATCGTTCTCATAAACACCGTCTTTTCAGAGCTCCAATTTCTTGATACTTAAATCTAGGTACCACCGCAAAACACACCCTATTTCCAGCCTCTTCTTCTCAGTCAAAGCATAGACAACCGCCACTATAAGACTTCAACCTTCCCACGAGTACCTGAAGACACGAAGACTGGCCGTGGCTGCTGAACAGACTATCATCAGTCACCATTCGATACCCGGCTGTAGCGCTGATAAGCGTAGAAAGCGTCCTACCTCAAACCAGCAAATTATCGATGCGGAACTCGATTGGTTTGGGATAAAACTGATCTAGACTAGTCATGTATTACGTGTAAATTGTAGAAAAAAAAACCTTGCTCGATTGGCTCATAAATGTAGCTAATGGTCGTCTTACTCGACCTCTTGAGTAATCACATGTAGCTGACGCTGACTGCAGGGTTAGGAGCAGCTCTGATTAGGCTATCTCGATCCGTGGTCGGAACACCCGGCGAGCGGCTGGCCCTCTTACACCAAATGCCGAACGAGGATGGAACTATCAGCTGACGTTTCCTCCCGAGCCAATACAATCGGTCCACGCCTTTCGCCTTTGGGCGTGTAGTCAAATATGACGTCTCATCCGATATTGACGTGCAGAGATGAGCTTAGTTCACAGAATATGATTTGGCACCATCAAGAACTCAAAATCTGGCACCAGACGAAGTTTTCAAAAGCAAAAAGTCAATTTTAGAAACCCTGTGGTTCATAGTACTCCTTGAATCGATCAAGCGTGTCCCACCGCACGGCCCAAATGACCTCCCAACAGTCTATCAATAATCTTGGAAACCTAACCGCCCAGAACGACAGATAACCCTCTGGTAACGGGCCTACAGCCCTCTTCAAGGTGTCGGGCATGTCTTCATAGTGGTTCTTCTTGTTACGTAACGCCCTCAACAAATCAAGCATCTTCGTTCCAGTGTACTTGCGCTGCTTGCCCAGGGAGTCGACAAACTCGCGGGGCAATTGACGCAAGAAGTCACCCTTGGTGATATCTGGGGCATATGTCTCCAAGTGCGACAGCGGTCCGCTGGGCGGATCTCTGGGCTCCTTCTCAAAAGAGTCAGACACATCGCACAAGAAAGCGAGACGCTTCTTGGCAGGCCAGAAGAAAGGGTGTGCCAAGACCTCGCGGGCTGTAGGCCGCTCCTTGGGATCCGGGCTAAGCATCTGTGTGATGAGATGCTTGGCCTCGGGAGCGGCGTCACCGAGCGAATCAAGCGGCGACAGATTGAAGTTGCCCTTGCGGATGTTCACCTCCCTCATGTAACGGTCACCACAGTCAAATGGGTGGAGGCCATTGGTGAGAACGTAGAAGAAGACAAGGCCCAAACTGAAGATATCGATCGAACGGGTGGCGCGACGACCCGAGACCATATCAGAACCCACAAGGATCGAGCCGGATCCACTGTTGATGCTGTCGACCATGGCAGTGTCTCTAGCATCATCGTCGAGTAAAAGCTCGGGGGCGCGCCAGCCTGACGTTCCGGCTGCGCGACCAGTGGTTGCTCCGAAAGATGACTGACCACCTTCCAACTTCTTGCAAAGGCCGAAGTCGGAAACCAGGAGGCGTGGCTTGCCGTGCTTGTCCACGTTGACCAGGATATTCTGGGGCTTCAGGTCGCGATGGACGATACGCAACTGGTGCAAATGGTTGATACCATTGGTGATCTGGTACAAAACACCAGGGATATCAGCCTTGCCTGCTTGGGCCAGCTTTGAAAAGTGGTGCGGTTTCTCAACGACGTCGGCAAGAGAGGCAGCACAACGCTCGAGGGCAATATAGAGGAAGCCGTCTCTAACTTGCTGGGCGTAGTAACGAATGACGTTGGGATGGTCGTCACTCTCTCTGAGCAGTCTGGTCTCTTGAGACGCGATGTCATAGAACTGGATAAGCATGCGCTTGACAGCGACCTCTCTACCGTCAAACTTGCCGGCAAAGACAAGAGTACCGTTACTGCCAGTGCCAAGTTGATTATCGGTGTCAACCTCAATATTTCCCATTCGAATAATCGGCCCTGACACAGCTTGCATATCGTTCGTCACTGTGACAACGTCAGGCTCAAGTTGTGTGACTTGTCCGCCTAACTTCTTAGCCTTGTTGACCGCATCTTCGACAGAAGCGGGTGCTTCGTCCTCTCTTGACTGCGATACCTCTTCCCTCTTCTTGCCCTTGCGATGTTTGGTACCCCCACGACGGCCGCGATGAGCCGGCTTCTTCTTCTTAACCTCGGGTGTGCCGGGTTCGGGAGGAGTCAAAGAGGCCTGGCTGTTAGCAGCGGCCGACTGAGGAACAACATCTGGCTGTCCCTCGTCTTTGTCAGTAGCAATCGCAGCTTCAGGGGTTGCAGAGCCGGGTGCGGCTGCCTCGGCCGCCTCGGGCTTCGAGTCAGGAGCAGGCTCCTCAATCTTGGGTACAGCGTTGGGCGGCGCAGCGTCTCGTGCGCTTGCGGATGACGGGATCTGGTCGTGGACAGTGTGTTCAGGGGTCACATCAGCACCGTTGTCCTCGCTGTCCGAAGCAGCTTCGTAGCGCATGTACCACTTTGTCGTCTTCGTCTTGTACCAACGGCGTAGATCCTTATGATATAAGAATAAAAGGGAACCGACGAGGAGAAACAAAACTGGGTTAGAAAAGAAATCGATGAAGCTATTGGAAACCTGTTGCGGGATCGCCTTGACCTTGTTCACAATGGTCGTCTCGACCGGCTCCTCAGGCACCGCATTGGGCAGGGGCAGAGCCGAATCGTTTTCAGGGTCCACGACGACATCATCTTGTACCTCTGCCCGGCCGGGCAGACTAGGAGTTTGGTAGATCTTTCCCTTGTGAACAGCGTCCATGTTGTGAGTGCCAACCATGGCCCTGATGCGCTGTGTCTCGTTCATCTTCTCCCACGGATGGCCAAGCTGGAGCCAGTCTGGTTCAGAAGTCTTTGCAGTAGGGGCAAGAACCATGAGAGGATACGAACGTCCGGAGAGAGCGTACCAGTTACCCGTCTCGGTCTGGTTGACAAAAATGCGCTGGCTTCTGACGCGAGCAATGCTCTCATCTTTGGCCGGCGGAACAGGCTGTGGGAGAACGATGAGATCCGGGTTGCTCTCTGGAAGAACCCCCCAAGGTCTGCAGACATCGAAAACCTTGACCACCGGCGAAGGGAATTTCTCGCTGCAGAATAATCCTTCTTCAGGCCGTTCAGAGTCAAAGTTCTCCCGGCCATAGTCAAGACCGTAGACTCGGCCGTCGTGTCTTGTAGTATGGTATCGATTGTCGATGGACTGGTGGTATTGGTTTAAAAGATCCCAATCGTTGGTGTTGGGAGTCCAGTCAAAGTATTTGAGTGAAGCGATTGGACGACCGTCTTTACGAGCGATGCCAACCTCGTATTCTGTGCGACCTAGAGTGATGGTACCAGTAGAGCTGCACTCTTCATTGTTTTGGTCGTATAGGGCGTTCGGACGCAGGCAGCTCTCGGCCTCGTTGACGTGGGACCCACCAGAACCGAACCATCTCAACACGCGGCCGGTGGCAGCATCGAGGGTGATCATGGTCGTCTTCTTGGTGCCGGTATATACAATGGGAGGGTTCTCCAAAGCCGAAGCTCCTTCGTCGACCATCTGCTTCATGGTCAGGCCGGTAGACAGGAGCCTGGGCTCGCTAGCACCAGGCACCCAGTAGTAGATATCTCCGTCGCGATTAGGCTCTATAGCCCAGACGTAGTGGTCGATGAAGTTGTAATCGTCGTCCAAGTCGGACGCGTTTAGGCGGAAGTGTTTTGTCTCCACCATTGACTGGTCTACCTCGAGATGCCAGCGTTCGCGTGCGGTAGCACGATCGCTGGCGTAGAGGTGTCCATCGACGGTCGCCAAGAGGACAAAGTCTTCTACTTCCCAGTCCTTCAGACTCCGCGCATGGTGCTGCGTAGAGATCCCAGAGGCCCCGCCAACACGGGACACAATGGGTCGATGTCCAGAAGGAGATGGTGCTCGCACGGACTGAGCCGGAGCCAAAGTTGCGACGGCGCTCGCATCGTTAGGAATAAGTATGTTGTCGGGGTCATTCCGACGGTTAAGTGGCTTCGAGGACGTCACGGTGCTGCGACGTCTAGGAGACTCGACAGCATTGTCGGCCTCGAGGGTAGCGGCCCAGTTGCGGGCGGCTTCGGCGTGAATATCATGGATTCCCTCATGTTGACTGCTTCCAGCGACGGGTTGCTGTTATTCTTGGGTCAGCATAGGAACAAAAAGAGAGCAAGACGACGAGGGCAATAGCGGGGATGTAGATGATGACTCGGAGGCCGAGGCCGAGGCGGACGAGAGAGGAAGAACAGGAAAAGCGGTTTCCGTCTCGACAAGTGGATGAAGAGAGTTCTTACCTGAACTCGCTGGACACGAGGGATAGAATCGATAGGTTGTTGGGCATCGGCAAGAGGGATGCAAGAGATGACGAGTACGGCGAGGGCGAGGAGGTAAGTCCTCTGAGTCGCGCCGCGCCTCCCTTCCCCTGGGGGACGTCGCAGCATGGTTCAGAGAAGTGTTTTGTTTGTTCGGGACGGATTTACATCAACGGTTCCCAGTCGTTGTCGAGATGCAGGCGAGACATAGGAGCAGCTGTAGTCGTGGAGAAAGAGGATGTCGTGATAGTTGAGGTGGTGCGACAGAGCAAGTGGAAATGCACCATGTGAAGGTGGGTTGGGCTAGCGAACTAAATCGGAGCCCAGAAGGTACAGACAGCAACGGACAAATGGGCCGGCTGTGGGTATCGTATGTATATGTCCGAAGATGGATGCGAAGAAAAGAGGATGACGATGGGAGGAGAGAACCTCTTTTGGTCTGGAGGGTAAGATGAAGGTTTGACGGTTTGAGGAAAGGAAGATGTGGGAAGGATGCACGGGAGATGTGGTGGTTCGTTCGGAAGGAGGGAGCGGGAGCGGGATGAGAGGGTTTGATGCTCTGCCTCTTTCTTTTTTTTGTTTTTATTTTATTTTTTGACCTTGTCAGCTCGGGGGAGGCACACACACACACACACACACACACACACACACACACACACACAGCCCAGCCCACTACTATGTACAGACAGTGCTTTGGTTGTACCTTTTTTTTTTTTTCCTTTCCTTTTTTTCCCCCGTTTCCTACAGGGAATGGGGGGGGTGGGAAGGGAAGCACCCAGCAATTTTTCCCAAGTACAAACCAAGACAAGAGCAGCAACATAGCACAGCAGCAGTAACAAGCGAATCAGCCTGGCCCTGAGCCTGCCTTCAGTTGGAGCGCTGTGGTGGTAGTTGGGTGGGGTCTAGAGGTATTGGGGGAGGTGGAAGACCAGGGAAGCAAATAGGCGGGACTCGTACCACGGACGACTAGGATTAGGTCTGGAAGGGGGGGCCGAAGGGAAGCTCAGGGGAAGAGGAAACACTGAAAGCGCAGGGGGACGACGTGGGCAGACAGTGGCCGCAGCGCCAGTAGCTGTACTTGGTAGTGGGCAGCGACGCAGAAAGCGCACTGTCGCGAGTAGAGTATCCACACTGTGTGCCCCACCATTCCCGTCAAGCGAGATCCACCGGCTGTCTCTGAATGGACCAGTCATGGCACGATTTGCCTCCCCCAGTTTCGAAAGGGAGGAGAAAGGCCACTGGCACGGCTTGTCATGTACATCTCAGGCTAGGGCGCCCCTTGGGAACCTCAAACCGTGGCGAACTAAAATCGCGGGGAGGGGGTTTTTACTCTTGCCTTCTGGTATTTTTGGGAGCTATCCGCATGTAAGAAAAGCGGGAAAACAGTTTCGAGGTGAGGGGGCGGCAACGATGGGCGGTGGATAATGGCGATGAGCTGTCAATCATCATCATGCAATTTTTTGGTATACTATTTGGCTACACCGACCGTCACTTACAAAGACGGTACTTGCAAACACAAACAAACAAAACAGGCAACAGGCATACAAGCACTGCCTGCTCATCGCCTCTCAAATTATTATCATCGGGATTCAGGGTCCAGCTGTTAGGGTTCTCACTTGCTAAACCCTGACGCCAGCAGCCCCCTAGCCGCGCGCCCGTCACAACCTGGGCGTTCCCAGGCTCGACGTCCCAGGTGCCTAGCGGCCGGTGTCGCAAGGTTGCATTCGTTGATGAGGTCAGCACAGTGCAACAAGGGAGCGACAAGCATCCACGGCTGTCTTACCAGTAGACCTTCGGGGAGCTTTGCGAATGTGGCTGGCAAGCTGGTCCTGTTTCCTGGTATCCATAATAAAGCTAGAGCACCAAGGTTTGCAGAGAGAGAGACATAGAGAGAAAGAAAGAAAAAAAAGAAAAAAAAAGGAAAAAAACCCCCAATCCACTCGATCCATCCTGGAGTTCAGTCCGAAATTGATCTCGACCTTGACGGCCGACTACCTCAACATTGTTCTCCCCCTGGAACTACGGAGCAAGTATCCGTACGCGCCATTCATGAGGTAGGTGGATTCTTCATCCACCCGCATTGTTGACCGGCAAATCGGTGCCTATCCACGAGCATCGGTTCGTCACCCATTGCCCCGTCTCTGCAGCGGATCTATAGCCACCTCGGTCGGCGCGAGCGACTGTCGACGACCAAGTGCAGTACATGACTACCCACTACGTAGTATGTCTGTATGCGTTGAGCGGGAATCGCTGATCCAAAGGATCGCGAAGATCAGACATGGTGTCCTCAATCAGGAAATGACCGTCTCGCAGGTGCAGCGCCGAGTGTCAATCGAATAAAAAGGATGATATCCGGCTGTTCCTGAACACTGCTTTGTCACTGGCCGGAAAAACAAAAACGTATCTTTTCGTACATAATATTACCTGCTTCGGGACACAAACCAAGTTATTTTAGCCTAACCAACTCACTGAGATGGATGGCGGAGTGAGTAGCTGGGCCCAAGAGCCTATCAAGTTGTGCCTTTCATCTTAGTCATCTGCAGTCGCTCCGCTCCACAGCGTGTGCTCCGTACTATGTAGGTAAGTTGAGGTACCTGCGTGCTAAGGAAGGAAGGTAGCCTACATAGTATAAACGTCGGTCGGCACATGGATGGGAAAAGGTACGTATCCGTACCTGCCGGCCTCTCCAATGCCATGCCATGTCCATGCCATGCCATGTAGTAGTCTCAGTCACTTTCTCATACCCCACCTTTTCCAGCACATGCCATTCCCCCTGCCGAGATACCTCTCTCTCACACCCTCTTCACTCACCTCCTCAACTCATGCCTTACCCCCTGATCATTCTCAATATCCACACAGTCGATTTTTACACACGCCTGTTGTGCCTCGCTCAAACACGCAGACTCGCAACACACACATACATACTAGTATACACATGCATATGAAAACACAAACACACAAACATACGACATACCATGGCAAAAGTCTGAACCCAGCCTTTCTTCTCATGTTTGATGTCTCACAAGGCCGGCCGAAGATTGTCACCACCCTTCTTCTGCTTCTTCCCTTTCCTTCCGGAACTTAACAAATGACAAAAAGACGAGACATCCCAGACATCCCAGACATCCCGCTACACCACCCCTACCGACGCAATTCCTTCTTGCCGCCAAACCAAAAGAAGAGCTATTTGGGACGGATTGTCTCTTCGCCTCATCCGTCTGATATCCCTTACCTTCCTGTTCATTTGCCATGCCCTACGTCGAATCATTTTCCGCAAACCAAGCAAAATGTTGTCTTGGCTGATGCCAGTGCTACCAATTTTTTTTACCGATGCCGCAAAAAATGAAGAACAACAAAAAACAAAAACTCTCCTCCGCCTTGTTGTTCATCACTACCTCATATCCGGAACGTTCACTCCTGTAAGAATAAACCTTAGTACGCATGACGTCCGCTTGCGCCCGCCGGGCCCGCGGTCGAAAAACCTCTAGACTGGACCACGACTCGTGAGACTTTGGGTTTTGCAGCTCAAAGTGTATCATGACGCTGCCGCCTTACCCCCTTCGACGCCTCATGTTCATCTCACATTGATTGTTCATCCGCCGTCAGTCATCATCATCATCATCATCATCACCCCTTTTTCGCCAAAACTATGTTGGAGATCACGTCAACAGTATACGAAGTAAGTACGTAGCATACCCATTTCCGAGTCCACCGCACCCCCTCGTCTGCCGGTCTCCGCCCGTTGGGCCCGAGAGAGAGGTCGCCGGTACGACACGGTCCACGTCCCAGCGGGGCAAACATAAGTGCACCTATGATTCACCTCAAGTTATCTCGGGTTCAGGGCCGCGACCCATGTCTTCAGAGCCAGGATTGATACGATGTTATTTACGACCTCCATCTCCCAGGGGCGCGCAGTACAGAACAATACTGTTGCTGTACGACCGCACGTGAAATTTTTCCCACTGGATGTCCGTACACTACACAGCCCGCAAAATTACGGCCCCTCCAAATAATTGAATCAATCTATTGAACGGAATGGGGTCTCTCGTTATCTTTCCCATCTGGCTCACAATATCAATTGACTTTTTTTTTTCCTTTCCAAAAGGAATCAACCTTCGTTGCTGCGCCAGCTTCCATGCATCCGCCCACACACGTTGGGAGCAGCCACAATACCTGTGTGCAGCAACGGCATTTTACCATTGACTTTGCTCCCTTGGAAGAGTTGCGGGCTGATGGTATGCATACTTGCCATGCATACCTCACTCTCGCATGACAAAAAAGTAAAGTGCCATCCCTAGAACACCATGTGCAAATTGCAAAATCTCGCCCCCTCTGCCCTCCCAACCAACCAAACTTTTCGTCCATATCACAAGCTTTTCTCATCTTTGGGGCCCCCCCCTCGGCCCCCTTGACCGCCGACTGTCTCGGTTCGGATGGCGTTATTTTGGGGGCCGACTGTTTCGGCTGCCCTGGCGTTGGAATGGAAACGCGAGAACCCGAGTCAAAAAATGTCAAAACTGAGGGCAGTGAAAATTATGTGAGACCAACGGTCCAGAGTATTAGATCATTATATTCGTTTCGCTCTATCTTGGAATGTACGGTCGCGAAGACGGGGGGGTAATTGGAAGCTTTCCCTGAAACCCATCCATCTGTGTTCCCCCCCGCCATCCAGCGTCTGTCTAACAAGCTATTAAGACATTATCGGAAAAAAGGGTAGGAAAAAAAAAAGGAGGAGAAAAAAAAAGATGTGCCTGTGCCTATGTACAGGGTAATCATGGGAACGTCTGTGGCGTATTCGGCAAGCTGCAATATGGACATGTATGGGAAAATCTCATCTTCTACTTCCTCGGCTCCCATCAAGAACCAGCTCGGGTATTCATGGACTCGTCAAAGCCTCAGCCATCTTAGCAGATCGCGCCAAGGTTGACCGAGTTAGCGAAAAGGCAGTATGTGTCGGCATGGTTGATGTTCTGGTCGGCGGGGAGCTTCTTGATGCCCTCGTAGCCGTAGGTGCCGTAGTCCAGAGTGCCCTTGATCTGGGCCAGGTGAGTCATCTCGTGGAGAGTGGTAGTAGCCTGCAGGAAAACATATTAGTACATGGCGGATGCTAAAGATGAACGATTCGAGTAGGGCAACATACCTGGTCCTGAGCGTGGCAGGTGGGAGTCAGAGAAGGCAGGGCGTTGAAGAACAGAGGGCAGTTAACCATGTAGCTCTGGGACGGTAGGGTGTAGGCCAGGACGCCGTCCTTGCATGAGTTGTAGACGTCGGTGCAGTAGAGCTTGGAGACGCTCTGCTCGAGGAGGCGGGTGCCGCACTCCTTGGCAATGCGGGTGAAGACGGCCTGTACGACCCTCTTGGTGTTCATGTCGGTGGCCTTGAAGTACTCCTTCATCCTCCTGTTATCGCGGGCGACGGCGCGAGTGGCATCTTTGGCGAGGTTGGTGCAGTGGATGAGAGCGTCCGTGGTAGCCTTCTCCTGGTCGGCAGTGCAGCCGGACTGAATGACGATGCGCTTGGCCTCGGCGTGGAATTCCCGGCGGGCGATGGTGGCCAGCGTGCCGTTGACGGATTGGACGTTGAGAACATTGCTCTTGTAGGGGACGTAGCCGACAATTCTGGTGGTGTTACCGACGGCGTAGGGGATGGCACCCTTGGATGTGAGGTTGTATTCGCCACCAGGGCTGACGTCGTGCATCTGTGCAAAGTCGAAGTCGAGCGTGACCGTCTCATTGGGCGCGAGGGTTCGGAAGGCCTTGTTGGTGATGAGGCCGGGAGGTGCCATGCGCAGGCGGACGCCGTCAAACGGTACCCGGTCATCTGTTTTCTGTCTAAGCATGTGACTGGGTGAATTGGGGGATGGGAAGAAGGAACTTACTGCCAGAATATACTGCCACCTTCTCAACGGGAGACTTGTCTAGGATGGTTCCAGGAACGAAGAGCTTGAGCTCGATGTTGCCGGCGTTGGTGATGGTTGCCTTGACGCCAGTGTTGCCGTCGCGCGACAACTCGAGGTCGAGAGGGTCGCTGTTTCTCCTGCCGAGGGTGACTGGGCTAGCTGACACCAACGGGACTATGAGAGGAAGAGCGGCGAGGTAAGACTTCATCTTGACTGTCAAAATCAACTGCTGCTGAGGGTATTATAGATGAATCTCGAGAAGAGTTGATGAAGTGATTATTGTTGTCGGCAATGGTGCTGAGAGGGATGATCCAAACAATATGTCTGGGAGGATGCAACTGATTTCGTTCTTATATTGAATCAAGGACAAGGCCAACACACACACCCGCATTACTGGAACTTGGCGTTGTCAGTACTGAGCACAACGCCTACAACAAAGATGGAGCCATCGAAGCCCACGCCACCAGAAAAGGTGTTACGAGCACATGGGGGACCCAGGAAAAGATCCGACGCTTCGAAAAATCCTAAAGAGGCGTACTAGCGAGCCAGATAGAAAGAGATCTGCTTTGTGGAGACGGAAGGCGTCCTGCTAGCCGACCCAGACGCTCTGTGGAAAGGCCTGCTCCGTGGAAAGCAGAGAAGTCAAGTCTACGATACATCCAAAGCAGTTAGGAAGGGGACGCAATCAGCCGTATACGATACTCGAACACGACGGTGAGGTTCCAAGAGCCGGGACGGCGCCCAGGCCTGGCTGTTAGTCTTGGGGCCTACGGTTCCAGCGGAAGGGAAAGACATGCCAGGAAAGCCCCAAGCTACAGATGCGGACGCAGCATTGTGAGCAAGGGCGCCTCTCGCTAAGCCGAGCCGCTAGAGTTGACGTCTTCGTAGCCCCTCTTCGCAGCGGCTATCTGTCTCGATCAAGGCCGGCAATGACACGGCAGAGAAACTCAGAGCTGTATCCGACGGGCACAAGTCATGAGAGCCACGGGGATTCTAGGAACTGTTCTCCGCAACAGAACCTTGATCCACGATGCCCAGCATAGTTCTTTTTTTCTTTCTTTTTGGAGTCTTTTGCCGTCCGTAGATAAAACTCCACCATACGACGGAGATCAAGGTCAGGTCTGAACGAAACCGGCATCCTGTATCAGAGGGATAAAGAACGGTTCCTAGAAAAGAAGGCCAAGGCGGTAGCCTCTTCAGCCGCGCTAGCATCACTAGACCCCTGCTAAAGCTCTCAAGGAGACAAGACAATACTCCGTTTATGAGACAGGCGTAATGAAGGTTTGGCCTAGATGGCCGCAACTGTGTGGGATGGCCGGCGACAATGAACGTCTGCGTAGGAATGAGACATGTCACTTTGAGGATCTCGAAGGGTCTTTGCTCTCGGCTTCCCAATAGCCGGCATTTGAAGATGTGGCGATCCGTTTCGAACGGTACATGCTCGTTATTGCATCTGGATTGTGTATTCGACATTATGATTGGCCATGTTGGACGAATGGGGTTTTGTTCCATCCGCAACCAGCTTCGAACTCGGGTCCGAGTGGGTACGTGCACCTGCCGGAGCAGGTGTTTGTCGGACGAAAATATCGGCGCCGGCTCCCGGGCCTGAACCCCACCACACATCTGCATGGGCGGCCACTAACTAGCCGGCCTGCCTTTTTGGTGCATGGGCGGCCACTAACTAGCCGGCCTGCCTTTTTGGTGCATGGACCGAGATGGTTTTCATGCACGGAGAGAGATGGTCGTATTTTCTTCTCTAGCTTTCTCTAGCATTCTTCTTTAGCGTCGTCTCATGCCTGCCAAGTTCACCACTTTTGCCATCTTTTAATAGGCCTGTTGAGGCTGGCAAGCTGGGAGGGGTAGCGGCATTGCTTATTCAGTCTTCGCTGCAGAGTGCGGGGTTTCCCGCCGTAGTTCATCCTGTCAATCGCACTACTTTACGCGCGTAAGTTAAGAGAAAGACAGTGATATCTGCCACCTTGTTTGGGACTTTAAAACCAAAACTCAATAACTCGTGATACACGTTGAGCCTCACCACAGCACGTGTTACCTTGTTACCTGAAAGGGCTATTTCTCCGTAGTCACAAACGCCACCTGAAGCATCACCAGGTTCTCCGCGGACCAACTCCAGATCTTAAGCGGTTGAATTGTGCTGGATTGAACCATCAGTCTCTCCGTGGGTGTTTCACGTGGCTCAGCCCAACATTCCACAATCACGGCGCCTGCTGCTTTCAAAGTTAGTTATTTCTTTTCGTCACTCTATAGCGTATACTGTTCATCATCGTACTTTGGGTATTTCGATCACAAACGACGGCAAACCGACAAACCGCTGTTCGTGGATATCACCAATTTCGTTCGCCTGACGTCATCGGCCTTCTTCCATCACACTTGCTTCTCTAGACACTTGCTGCCTGCCAGCGCCTATCTAATTTCCAATAATCACCTGGCACCCCCGGCAACAATAATCGCTCGCACATTCCTCTGTCAGAATTCTTAACTATCAAACACTTTTGCACCGCCAACAACAGGACTAATGACTAATCTCCCAGGTCGCTCACTCTTCCGTCCACTAGTCTTTGCCATTGTCATCCTCCTCGTCCTACTATCTTGGAATTACGGCCGCTCAGGAGATACCACGACAATGTCCCACGAGGAATCCACCCAACATGCTGAAGGCCTGTCCCGGCTCACCGTCCGCATCCGTCAATCTTCAACATCTCCTCCCACGTTGGCACTCTCCGTCACGAACGACCACACCTTCCCCCTCACCATCCTTCGCTGGAACACGCCCCTTGATCCTCTAGCGTTGCAACTCGGGGTTCTCTCAGTCACGCCCGAGGGTAAAGATGCCCCGCTCGAGCTAGACACCATCGCGCTGCGACGGGTTATGCCGCCACCCGCCGAGGACCTCATCACCCTTCAGCCGGGCGACAGCAAGGAGCAGGAGATTATCCTGAGGGAGACCATGCTGCCGTTTGACAAGCTTGGCAAGACGCCTCGCGTGGCAGCCAAGGGCAAGTGGCAGACTGTGTGGCCCACGACGGCAGAAAAGCTTAGCCAGGAAACCATTGAGAAGCTTCAGTTCGGCGAAGGTGTGCTCACAGGCGAGTTTGCCACGGAGGCGATAGAGGTTACTATCTCGTAATAAGCATCAAATGGGTTCTACCCCGCCTAATGTATCACACAATAGTGAATCAACACAAACGTTTTGATTTTAGCCATGCCCAGGGGCCGTTCTTGAAGATCGTTTTTCCATCCTCACGTTACACCTGAGAATCTATTCGAAATGTGATATTAACGTGATCCATGATATCCAAGCAAAGGTGTGAGTGACGTATGCCAAGACCAAATTGGCTTTTCAACAGAGAGCAAGACATTTGTAGCCCAAGTATTCGGAGACCTTTGATCGGAAAGCCTTCTCAGGAACCATCCTAACCAACCCGGGCCATCCTTTACCACGCCCTTTGTCCCTAGATCCTACAACTTTGACACCCTGCACTTTGGCTAAATGCCCTTGAGTGTTGGTTTTGAAAGACAAAACAACTGAGGTCCGGTATTGTTGTTCAAAAGCCACAGAGCCGAAGGCTAAACCGCAATATCGAGTTCATTTCCATTTGACAGCTAGCCCAAGGGGCAGCTATGTCGGACTGATTCAGCTGTGTTTAATGAGAGCATTAAACTTCTCTAAAGAGTATGTTAGCTGTCGCTTTTGGCCCTAAAATCAAGCCCAAGATGTGTCACCCTTCTGATTAGGCGACCAAACTACATAGCTTTGAGCATCGGGCCCGAGTTCACGGATCCTCGACGGAGTTGAAAGCTTGCCACATTGCCGGCAGCACGCCATCATCACAAGTCTTCCCGTCAAAATAGCTTCACCTAGCTCGACGAAGACCGAAATTCTGCCAGCTTCTAGCAAGCCACAAGTTTTGAGACGGCCGAGGCCCGGCCTCCTTGTGTAGTCCACGTTAGCTGAGCGTAAGAAGCGCACCTCCTCCCCTTTCTCCAAACAAGACATACAAGTCCGCATGCGGAAGTTGCGATATTGGGTTTCTTTGCGATGGTTCTCATGGCAATTCTTTCAATATCGAGGTGCCTAGCGCTGCTAAAAGGCCCTGGACTTTCGGCATCACAACTTTAGTTCAACTCTAGAGCCCTATTTCCTTCTCAAATCCAAGCGCTCTTCTCAAAAGTGCCTCGAGTATCCTGGGCTTGAAAGCGCGTATTTCCGTTTGCGTTTGAAATTGTCAGCGCCCAAAGGCAACGTTGTTCGATCGCCATGTGCTTGAGCTTGGCAAACCGGGCGCTGAAGATCGCGGACCAGGGAAGCCCAGAGAAGGGGCAGAAAGAAAATAAAAGGGAAGATGGTTGTCATCTACAGCGTGCATGCCCCTCTCAAACTCGGTGACTTTCCGGTTGCTGTGCTTGAGGCAGTTCGCAAACCGCAAGCCAGACCCCTACCGGCTTCCACATTATCCTAACATCACCCCATTCTCTGAACTCTGACATCTCATCACACAAATCACCTCTACTAGATGAGTGGCTCCTATTCTTCGCCAGGACGCACGCAGCCCTCAGCTGCCATCCTCTAGAACTCTAGAACTTATTACCCATCACAACTTCTTCATGTCCTTCTGGACGAAGAAATCACTGGCTTCTGCCTATGAAGTTCTGAGTTCTTGAGCATGCTTGTCTCATGGTCTGGATGGTTCGATAATATCATGCCATTTGCCCGTCACGCAACCGTGTACCAGTTATTTAGACGCTGCCGTGTGTGTAACTTGACAATGGCTACAACAATACCTAAACTCCTCAGCTTGTAGCAAAAAGTGTTTTCAGGGGAACGGCCCCCGAAGGCCACCTGATACCTTCAAGTCTAGTCTACAGCTACTCATAATGGTAAATTACAGGCCGTATTACCAATCCTGGCAGGTTTCTCCCCCAGAGTAATTACTTGCTAACTTGTTCTCTAGGTGACATTCAGGTTTCAGCCTCCGTTGCAATGTGATCGTCAGTATGCACACATCTTCTATACCCCGGATTACTACTATCCTGGAAATCAAAGTGACTGAGACCTAGGGTCAACGTTGAGCTAGTTGCTACGATGCATTTTTTGAATTCAGCAACGCCTCGCAACGCCCGAATCACAGACAACCGCGCAACTTGGCCTATCACCAGCGAGAAACCACCTAATAGGCGAAGAAACGAGGTGGTAGCCAAAGCCGGTCAGCGGTAACAGTAAGCAGAACGTCAGTCTCTGAACACAAGCATCGCAGTGTTCGAGGCTCTCTATCTGTCGACTAGCACGCAATCAGTCCTCCCTGATAAACTAGGTAGTTTACACAAGGGCCCAGGCCCAGAAATTGGGACTCGGACAGGACCTGGCCAGGCATATACGCAAACAACACCGCAGGGCAATCAGCCAGCCATATCCGGCTCTGTTTTTTTTCGCGCACCAGTACGCTTTCAAATCCTTGGGTGTCTCGCGTGGCTGAGCCTGCGGCCCGTTGTCGCCGTTGAACATCCTCCTGCCAAAGGAACAGGGCGAAAAGAAAAAGCAACCAGGGGGACGAATATAACCCTGAAAAAAAAATCTCCGTCAGCCAACACTGCGCCCTGCTGATACGAGATTCGCCCCAGCCCTTCGTCACTGTCTCAGTCATGCCTCTGGTGTTCTGGTGGCAGCCGCATCCGGATCGGAGCCCCGCAGACATTTCTGGCCCAGAGCGCGCTGTCGAGGGCCCCGCCAAACGGTCGACTTTTTCATATTGTTGACATTTGATTGCATTCGCCTCGAATAGATTCGTACAAACGGGGCTATTTTATGGGATTCTTGCACTTCAAGCACTGGTGGTTTATCTCTGGGGCCGTCTGCCGTTTCCATCACTGCTCACACTGCGAGCTCGTATGCTCAGGTTTGTGAACCTGTCGTCTTTATGAAATTGTAATCCGCTCCTCAGGTAGTGACAAAAAAAAAAAAAGGCCAATCACCCACGTGCACCCAGCCAGATTCAGTCGAAAATTAGCTAGCTACTTGCTCAGCGACATCTTGTGGTATCTTTCTATACGGACCCAACGTGGAGTTTTACGGACCTCTCTGGCTGGCGGACGGGAGGCTCTACGGACCCGAATCACGGAGCGGCAAAAAAAAAGAAAGTCATTTCGGTTAGCAAAACCCGTGTTGGGTCAAGCGGCGGACTAACACCGGGAACCTGAAGTCTCCCTCCCTCTCCCCGGAGGTTACCATCAGGCGAAAGGCCATTGGTCCGTTGATTCGCTTGCTTCCCCGCATCTTCATCCCCACGCTCATGCTCATCCCCATTCAAACACCAGCTCGCGTGTGACCCTCCTTGTCCACAACAGTTTACTTGAATCTTGGCAGCACACGAGACTCCTACCATTTCACATCCGCAGGAAATAGGCATGGACATGATACAGCACCTCTTTCAACCTCGATTCTCCGACTCCCGGCTCAGGGACAGGCACTAGAGCGCGCATCACCAATGTTCTAGATCAGATCTTTTGGCCGGAATGCCCGGATGCAGCCTTTCTATGATTTCTCTTCTTCTACCAATATCTCTGTCTCTAGGCTCTATCCATTCGGATTGGTATAACCATGCTAACGCCTTGCGAGTTTCAAACCTTCGCTTCTGCAACATTTTGCCGTCGCACTTAGTGACAACGTCCCGATTTCAACATTATCACGGCGTCTTCAAAAGATCGCACATTAACGAGACATGGCTGTCGGGCCCGAGGCCCGGCGGATCGACAATTGCAGGCTGCTGCCGCCTGTGAAGGACCATTAGAAGACAGCCACCAGGAGGCCAACTCTCAGAACACGACCATATACTTTTTTATCCTTTCCAACGCTGTAACTCAAGACACCTCACCCTTGATGGGAGGAACACCAAGACCGTTGTGGTTGCGGAAGAAAAGAACACCCTTGCCTTCACCCTCGGCCTCAGCGCTAGGCTCGACCCACTGGCACATACGAGCAGACTTGTACAGCGCCTTGATAAAGCCGACCGGGCCGTCCTTAACATCAGCGCGGTAGTGAGCACCCATGACAGGCTTGATGGCCTCGGAAGCCTCGTCGGCGTTGTAAAAGGGGATGGTGCTGACGTAGTGGTGAAGAACGTGGGTCTCGATAATACCGTGAAGGAGGTGGCGTCCGATAAAACCCATCTCGCGATCAATGGTGGCAGCAGCTCCACGAACGAAGTTCCACTGCTCGCCAGTGTAGTGAGGCAGGGTAGGGTCGGTGTGCTGGAGGAAAGTGATGGCCACTGCAGAAAAAAATGGTCAGTTATTGTCATGGAAAAAACACAACGTCTGTCGGAGTAACTTACCAAGCCAGTGGTTGACCCAGAGGTAGGGGATGAAGTACCAGACCAGGAGGTTGGACCATCCGAATCGGTTGCCAAGGTAGACGAGGGCGCTGATGGTGATAGCCAGACCAATGTCGGACATGATGATGAGCTTAGCGTCCTTGGCCTCAAAGATGGGGCTGGCGGGGTTGAAGTGGTTAACACCACCGCCGAAGCCGTTCTTCTTGCCCTTACCACGGCCCTCACGCTGACGCTCGTGATAGTTGTGGCCAGTGACGTTGGTCATCAGGTAGTTGGGCCAGCCGACAAGCTGTTGAAGGACCAGCATGAGGAAAGTGAAGGCAGGGGTCTCCTCAGTGAGCTCAGCAAGCTCGTGAACCAAGCGGCCGGCACGAGTGGCGTGTTGCTCGCGAGTGCGGGGAACGAAGACCATGTCACGCTCCATGTGGCCAGTGGCCTTGTGGTGCTTGCTGTGGGAAATCTGCCAGCTGAAGTAAGGGACCAAAAGAGCAGAGTGGAGGACCCAGCCGACGGTGTGGTTCAGAGTCTTGGAGGGCGAAAAGGCCTGGTGACCGCACTCATGTGCAATAACCCAAAGACCGGTACCGAAGAGACCCTGGAGAACAGTGTACAAGCCCCAGAGCGCGGCGCGAGCAGGCTTGGATGGGATGTACTCGGGAGTCACAAAGTTGTACCAGATGTAAAAGACGGTGGCCAAGCAGGCGATGTCCCGAGCAATGTAGCTGAAACCACGGAGGGCAGAACGCTCGAAGCAGTGCTTCGGGATGGCATTATGAATGTCCTTGATGGTGAAGTCGGGAGGAGTGAACTCGTTGCCGTATGTGTCGTACAGCTTGCCATAGTTGGACTTCTTGGTGGCGGCAGCACCCTCAGAAGCAAGGGAGGACAAAGAGGTCGAAGAAGCCGAGGCACGGGGAGAGTCAATGGGGGATGCAACGGCAGTCGAGGGCACCGAGGCGTCGGTATCGGTGGTGGACGTAACGGTGCGGCGAAGGACGGGGTTCTTAGCCGCCGGCGTCGACGAGGTGGTGGCAGCCATGGTTGCTGGGCTATACGATATGCTGCTGAAGAGAAGAGAGCAACAACTATGTGGCCTTGGTGTCGATGGCTACACACTCAGAGGAACGATGAACAAAGTTCCAATGGCCCTTGAAGGTGTAAGGGATACCGATTAGGACTCGGGGGAAGAAAGACGAAGGGCGGGACGGGGGTGGACGGGAGGGGATTAATAAAGGAAGCATCCAAAGGGGGAAAAAAAAAAAAAAAAGGTCGGTATCGGGTCACGGCGGAGGCAAAAGACAAAATAGTTAGCAAACGATATGGCGCGGGACGGGACCCGTTGTCAACTGTGGTGGGTGGTGTGTGTCTCGATCTCTGTGCAAGTGCCAAGGCTGGCAAGGGCCGGTCAGGTACCGCCACGGGTGGTGCGTGAAGCAGGAGGTACTCACTTTCTCTTTCCCTTCCCTGAAGGTGGTGTGTGCTTTGGGTTATGGGGGATGGTGTGTAGCTAAGGTAAGGAAGGTATGCTTATGCAGTGTGTGGTGTCTCTTTCCTTCTCATGCAAATACGCTGCGCTGGCCTTGTTCCTCGGTTCCCACGCCTTCAATTTTTTGTTGGGGACGAACTGGAGAGGCCACTGATGGTCGCCGCGGGGGTTTGCAAGGCACGGTGCAAGGGGAGCAAAGAGGGTCAAGTGCGTGGCAGGGGGGTGCCCGATGTTACTGCTTGCTGTTGGATTTTTTTTTATCCTATTTTTTTTGCTGGGTCTTTATTGAGTTATCCACCGACTGGAGACAAGAGCCAGAGGTACAACGCCGTAAGGCGATAGCAAGGCGGCAAGGAAAGTATATTTTGTTCAGTTACTAAGGCGAATGAAAACTGAGGTGTTGCTTGGAAGCCGGACATAAGGGGGAAGGGACTGGAGCTGGGAGCTGCACTGGTCAGGCCAGGAATAACCCAAAATTTCCGAATGAGAACCAACACGGGCTTTGATAGCAGAAACCATTTCCCAGCAACACAAGGGGAAAGCCCAGTCCTTTTATTATCCCGGTATTCCGTACTTGCGGATATGTATTCAGGTACATCTACACATGCCAACTCATCCTCGGCGTCTGTGGTTTCGTGCTGTCTTTTTTTCTTGAGGCAACAGCTGTTAAGTAGCTTCCGTTATCTAAACTAGATGGAAACTACAGAACCGGCTTCACAAGCCATATCCTACCCATCCTTACTGTGACTAGTTAGATGGCCAAATACTTTCTCAAGCCACCTGCTTAAGAGATGCCGAATATGGACGGGGTCTTGGAACTAATTTTGAGAGAAAGAGGTACCCAAGAAGGTATCGAAGGGGTGAAAAAAGATCAGCTCAAAAATATTTTTGGGACGAAGTCGGCGGTCCAAAGGGTCTTGGAAGATACGTACCGAGATCCTGTGTCATAGTGTTAGGCAGGGCCCTCTAAGGAGTGATGACCATTGGGACAGGTACCTTCCTACCCTAAGTTCGTCCCTGCCGCACTGCCCTGCACCTGCTTTCCTTCCGCTGTTCCATGCCCCTTCTGCATTGCTGCACGGACACGGGCAAGACGATCTCGAACCATGAGCCGAGACGCCCCTCGAAGGAATTCTTCTCTCTGTGTAGAGATTGCAACAAGTTTGGATACTCGGTGAAGCTCCGCTGTGGCCAATACTAAGCAGAAACATCGACCCCTTTCAGGAGGCAAATTGGTGGCCAATGTACTCCAGGGCCTGGGCAGGGAACTTCTCTTAGACGAAGGAAGAGCAAACAGAGCCACTGCAAGTTTGAAGCAGGCGGAAGTCCTTCCCCCCAAAGGCCGGGACTGATGAGGGGTCTCTCCGGCGGGAAGGAACCAGGGAGTTTCCACTCACTCCCACCCCACCTTTTTTCCCTGGCGCATCTGAATCTGCTTGCCTTCCTGTAGTTTGCTTCTGCACCTGAGCGAACAGCCACTCACACACCCCTCCTTCCTTCAGACTAGCGGAACCTATCGGCTGTGGTTGCCCTGGCCGCATCACCAAGTTGCCTGAGCTAAGTACCTACAGTGCTACGTAGACCGAAATGCAAGAGGCGACTACGACCGATCGCATTTTGCCTCTCCCACCAACCACGCGCGGCTCATGTCTCTAATTCATCCTTACCAGTGGTCCACTCCACGCATGTTCCAACTTTTCACCGCCTTTCGATTCTATGTTGCAGCTGAACCTCGCGTACACACTGAATCCGACGGCACCTTCAGCCCTGGCCCATCAACGGTATGACTTGATTCGCTCGTCTATCAGCATCATTCCGACCAAGGGCATATTCATCGACAGCTTCGATGGTTGGACATTGAGACAATGGCAAAACTGCCTGCTCCCATACCCAAGGTTTCGTCGATCCCGAGCTGGTCTTTGGTCACTGGGTGGCTGGGGTTGCACCCTCTGTGTGGCAGAAACATCGTCCTTGGCAGCATCTCCAAGACATCAACCGGTCCAAGTCAGAGCTGACGTGCCGTCCCCGCTGCATGAGATTGTGTCGCCGCTCCCGTAGCATCTGGTGGCTGCTGCTGTGTCATAACAACGCTGGCTGACGTCCTGTATTTGAGCAGCATGACATTCTCTAGACACTAATTGGTCTTGTCTCTAGCGATGCAACAGCCACGACGGGTCATCCGTCACCCCCAAGTGTCGAACTTGTATTACATGGAACATAAAGCGTTAGCTGTCCGCTGGTGCATGTGAAGATGGCGCTTGGGAACTTTGTTAGAGGCCACATCCAGATCGGAAAATCCTCTAGGCGCTGCCGGTAGCGCTGCAGCGTGGTTGAAAACGAGTCAGATAGACGCCGGTGCCATCACTTCTTGCCTTTCAACACTAGCGCATGTCTTCTTGGTCTCTGGGAACCTGCCTGTTCGCTTTTTTCGTTGCTACTGTGCCGCCGATTCCGTCCGACTGGCTTGACATCAGGAGATTCAACGGAATTGTGGTATGTCTCTGGGGCGAGGTTCATTATATGTATGGTCATCTGTGCCGTGATGGACCAGGGCGAAAAGTGTTGGACTTCCGATTCCATCGTGTTGACAGGATTCAGGAATCATTGGGGAAAAGGTTCATACAGCCCGAGGTACTCCTACAGGAGGAATGGCGGATACGTACCTGAGTTCCCCACGCTCCCAACTGAGAGCGGGGGGGAAGAACAGGACCAGCGGGACATGTACCGCTGCACGCAACGCCAGTGGCTCTGCTCTGTTTTAACCCCACGAACCAGCAGAATGAAGACCAGCACGACAGACTGGAGCCTTTCGATTGGACAGCACCAGTCACAGCCAAGCTTCAACCAATCGGGAGCAGAGCTTACCACTGACACGGCCAGCCAATCAAAACTTACCAGCTGGAGACGGGCAAATCTTGAATTGACGCCCGCAGTTAACGACGTCGTCAAATGTCGGTAGGATGCATCTTTTGAAGGAGCATCCTGAGTCGCAGTGCACTCAATTCCACACTTAATCTAGAAAAGCCAAAGGGGGTGAAAGTGCTCGACTCGGGCGAAACCGCGAGACACTGGATGAAACGGCCCTCTGGCCCGAGTCGATTGATTGCAGACGTGGAGTGCACGCTGAGTTCTCTGAAACAGGGTGGGACACCGTTTTCTCGAAGCCTGTGGCATTCCAGGGTCCAATTTTTGCTTCGCTTCTGTAGAGTACAAAGCAGTAATTGTAAGTAAGTAGTATCTGTAGCGTGGTGATCATTGATCGAACATTCATTCCCCTTATTTCCCCCCCTCTTCCCTTCCCCCTTCTTCGTTTAACTGCACTCTCGAAATTTTCTGTTGGGGTTCAAAATTTTGTTGAGAGGGTTCACTGGCCAGGGCTGGCCTTGTCAAGATGCATGCTTTTTGGTACGTACCATCTTTTTTCCCCCACTCAGAGGGACGAAAGCATGGCCAGTGCGTCCCCACTTTTGCTGTTTACCAGGGATACGTATCTCGGGAAGCTTAGAACAGTCCATTCTTCACCAACAACCTGTGCTCGTCCATCATCCATTACAGCTTTTTCCATAATCAGTATCCATCGAGCTCCATACATACCGACGTTTTGGCATTTCGGTTCATCGTGGGGTTCCTTCGGTATTCGCACGACTAGACCCAGAAGCTGAGGCCATAAATCCAAGGACCAATCCCAACGCACTCAATTCCTCGACAGGGGGCGGGGAGCCTGAGTAACACAGAGCGTTAGATGCCTTCGCCCGCTTGTGTCCTGAGCTCACACCCTAATTTGCAATAATCACATGGGAATTGTTCGACCTTGACACCGTCGTCCAAGCCTGGTTAAACATCCGTAATAGGAGCGGCCCTAGAAGGCACCTGGGGCAACTATGTGTCTGTGGGATCCTGGATGCCACAACCCATGAGATCAAACACGAGCAACTCGGTCATTGTTCTGCTCTACAGTACTACGTCGAGAACCGCACAATCTAAACCCTCCACCTCAACATGAAGCCGTCGTGTGGACCACTGCTCCTTCTTGCAGCACCCGAGGCTGGTCTTCTTTTTGTGCGCAGACCAAACGTTCACTTACATGTGATTTAGACTAGCAACAGGCACACAGAAACAGGTTGCCTCAGAAGTTACCACAATGCTTTCTCCCCCTGCTAGCACTTGGATCTCACCTTTTCTCCAAAGGAATCAGGTAATAGCAGCATTGGCACACTGCTGATACCTCCCCATCTCGGCAAGTGCCCTGCGAGTTGACGCACCAAGGAGTTAGTCATTCACGAATCACCTGGCTTTTCGAAACGTAACCCCATCCTTTGCCCCGCGGCCTCTGCTGTTGGTGGCCAATTGCTTATAATCCTATTACACGCCAAATCTTCGATCTCTGGCCAAAATTGTGCGCACATTGCTGCGGTCCTGGTGGAGGGTGAACTTTTAGCAGCACCAATCACCATCGGCAAGCCATATTTCCTACTTTGTGCGGCTATAGCCTCGTAGGGCTTTCAGCCAACGACAGCTGTCTTTCATTGCCCGTCAACGAATCTGGCATGGAGGTCGCAGTGACATATACCGGATGTGGGCTTCTTGTCTCTGCCTCGGGGGTACGGAACCTCTTGTGCTTGTGGTCCCAAGCCCTTGGGTATCAACGGCGCCGTTGCTGTGCAACTCCGTCCCCGATCAACGGTTTCTGGAAATTACGTAGAAAGCAAAGCACCCTACCAAATCTGAAGGTTTGGGGAATTGCCACTGTCATACGCAGTAAATGTTCGCGGTTGATTGGCCTTGTCCTTGGCGTCTTCTCCCACGAGCCCCTTTTTCACCGCCTGACCTGTCATGCAGCAGTCATGAGGCAATGGCAATGCATTTCTTTTTCTTTTTGGCGGCATAGCGCGCTCAAAGCGGTTGTTTGTCGCCATGCACAATCCCTTCTGATGTGTGAATGAGATCGGGCTTTCTGCGAGTGAAGAGGAAGTGAGATCGGCGATTGACCTCGGCCTCTGACTGCGTTTTATGAGCCTTCAACAAGACCAGTTAGTTTGCTATTCCAAACCTCTAACTTGAGCAAATCCATTTTCTGGGCCCCATTATATCCATTCACCGAACCGATCCAACAACTCGGTCAGCAGGATGGTGTTCAACTGTTGACCCCAATCCAAATGGAAATTTTCCTCTTTTCACCCCGGCACCTTGTCTTCCGCTCTAGAGTTTCTCAATCGTCGGTCTCTGATTTGACGGCAAGTGTTCTACTATCGAAGCGGGCAAGCTCAACGCCCCTCCTCAGGGTCGTTGGGAATGTCTGGTGACAGTAACTGCAGCATTGAACACTCAGCTGATCCCCAAGCTGAGGACGCTTGACGGCCGATAGCAGACCAGTTCAAACGCCCGAGGCATGACGTGGCTACACATAGATATTTGTTTTCTTTTTTCATTCTATGTCAGATCAGACTGAAAACCAGAGTGTCATTCGTATCTAGCCTCGTGGTACACTGTGTCTGTCGTAAGGGGTATGAAAGTGTTATCTTAGGGGATTGCTGTGATATCTCCTCGGGAAACTCGAGTAAGATAGATTTCTTTCTCTGCTTTCTGCTTTCCTATTTAGTGCACCACAGTCCATCTTGTAGTTCTATAACAGAACATGGGCGAATGGTAGAAGTAACTTGCAATATTTAACGAAGCTTCTCTGGCACTCTCGTAATGTTCTTGCCGCCATCGTACCTTCACTGAGACATGTTTCGATCCAACACCGCCCTGTCCGCGCTCAAGTCTTTATCGAGACTAATTGCTAGATCCAGCTCGGTAACTCCACCGGCGACGGTTTTTGTGTCTCGCTATAAGCGGTTGCCAGCAGCTCCGTGTTCCAATCAGATCTCCTGCATAAGCAATCTTGATTTGGTCGGGTACAGCTGCCCAAGGGTCGCCTCCACGAAAGATCATTCGTAGGTCGGCGATGCATGGTTTCAACAGACGAATGGAGATAAAGGTTGTCATTTAATAGGAAATCTCATACACGCAAGACTAGCTGTTGCATGTGATACAGACACTCTTGAGACTACTCACATTCAAGAGTGAACACGATGAAGCTGGTCCACAGAGATAGTTGCCACCGTGCCAACGAATGATCAACTGAATCTTGTCCCAGCGATAAGGCTGTCTTAGGATTCCGGTTGATGGTTAAAAACTCGGAAAAACAGGTCACAGAGAAATTGACGTGACCCCGGATTAGATCCTGATGCGCAAGCACCAACCATGATGCTGTAAAATATTATACTGTAATGTTCTAAAGCTTTATACACATGATGTGCGGACCACAACAACTGGCTTCATCATAAATCGTCTTTCAACATGCCGTAAACGCCGCCGCCAATGCTTGTTCAAAAAGCCAAAAAACAAATGCCATCATGCCATAGATGAAAGAAAAGGCACGGAATGGGGCAGGGGGTATCATGCGGCGAATCCAAGCTCCTCCCTCCCATCATCCACGAGCCGCCCCCATTCCAACAGCAACCGAAACAGGTAAATCCTCATGTCCTCCTTCCGGAGCGCCTTCTCCGCCCATAACCGGCCCTGCTCGGCAATCTCCTCGGCTCTGATCTTGCCCTCGTAGTCGCCCCCGAAGAACCGCAGCAGACCCCTCAGCTCGTGAAGCCTGACGTCAACAGGGACGTAGTGCCGCCATGTGTGCACCCGTTCCTCGAGCCACGTCCGGAAGATGCCGGCCCGGTAAACCAGGCTTCTGCTGCGCAGGAAGGGGATGAAGCGCCCGCTGAAGCCCGCGCCGTCGAGGTCCATCAGGTGCGCATACTTCCAGTGCTCCTGAAACGGGACTTTATACTTGACGGCCTCGTCGCGGCCGGGGCCCCAGAAGGTCTCCTTTTGAGATTGGCAGTCATAATCATGGCACTTGCCCCAGTCGCCCACGAAGCCGACGTCCAACGTTGGCGCGGCTCCAGAACTTACGGCCCGTTGCCCATCGTGCTGGGCCAAAGGCGCCTCCCACACGGCGTTCGCAAGCTGGACGAACCTTGTGCGGAGGAAGCTCTGCCACGAGCCCCTTGCGGCGTACCCGTCCGTCGCCGAGCCGCGCCAGAACATGACGTTTTTCTTGTGTTCGTACTCTTTGTCTTCGTCTTCGTCGTATGCCGTCTTGTCTTCAAAGTTCCACGGCGATGGGAAGAGGATATCCGAGAAGCCTGCGGTCTTGCTCTGGCTGAAGACCGGGTATGGCGTCTTTGTGAACACCGCCGCTGACGGAGAGAGGAGAAACCCGTGCAGATACGCCATGTCGGGCTGGTGGCAGAGGTCCAACGAAGTGCTCCAATTAGCTACGACCGGCAAGTCCTCCAGCCCGTTCTCGTAAACACGGGTGGCGTGAGGGAGGAGACAGTCACGACATGCTTCCTTCCGGCTCCACCACCGTGTGCTCCTGGCAGCCGAATCCGGAGGGCAAGCTGGTGCAACGTAGTCGTAGTATATCTCGTCGCGGATGTGGTCGGCAAAGTGTGGTGACCTGACCTTTTGGCTCTGGATCTTGAGGTTATCGCTCCAGATGCCCTTCTTCTCTTCAAAACCCTTTGGATCCTTCTTGCTCAGAAGCTTTGCTCTCGATGCCAGCGCGTTCCTCTCGAGCCCCTGGGCATCTTCAAAGGGGATGGCCACCCGACACTCGTCAAAAAGGTTGACTGCAAAGTCCATGTTGGGGAGGTGCTTCGCAAACGGCTCAATCATGCGCTGCATTGACTCCATCATCCACCGATGCGATCCAGGTGTCCCAGGCGCAATGTTTACCTTGCCTCCGCGTATCTGGATACCTCCTGCCCCGAGACGTGGCAGTTCCAGGAGGTTTTTCGTCCTCTCCCTCAGTACCTTTGGTGGCACGCCCCAGAACGGTAGCAGGTCGTTGTTGATCTGTCCAAAGTCATCGATGATGGGCGACTCGTTGGCCACGGCATATTCGAACCACTTGTCAAAATTCGGAGGCGGGGCGAGACCGTAACGGTTGCGGTAGTTCTGAACGGCATCATCCAACGTCCTACTCTGGTTCGCCTGCTCAATCCATTCATTGGATCTGCGGTTTGCGACGGACAGGAGGTCCGGGAATGATAGGGTATCGGTCGTTGAAAAGTCAGGGTAGAAGATGAGGTACGTGCCGCAGAGGAAGCCGATCAACACGACATACCAGCCGGACAGGAATCTCATCAGGCGAGGGTCGACCGAAGCTCCAGATGTGTTCGCGATATCCCTGTCGTACCGCAAAAGAAACCCGACACCTGCAATTGTGATGCCGCCGGATATCATGTACATCAACGGGTCGTCCGCGGGAGCCGCCGCTTTGACTATGCGGACGAGCTGGTGTGCGTATACCCCTGAAGCCGTTGTGATCATCGCCAGTGTGCTAGGGTGTAAGTCGGTCATCAAGTAGAGCCCGGCAAGGACAGCAATAGAGGTGACGGCGCTGTCGGCCAACAGGTCCCGGATGTCAACATAATGCAGAGAGAAGGCCCATCTAATGTTGTGCAGGTTGTAGAAGGAGAAGCAGGCGAGGACAGTCAAGACGCCCGCGCAGCTCAAAAACAGACGGGATGCGAAAGCCCATGCTTGCGGCGCATCATCTGCCGTGTCCTGCCGCCATCTTGAAAAGTGAACCGCTAGCAGCGCATCCAAAACCACGGTCACAATCTGCGCTAAAGGGATTTGCCTTTCCCAACGGAAGAAACCTGGTGGGCAAATTGCGCCAGCCGACTGAGTTGACAACGTGAGCGTAGCTCTCGCGGCATATGCCCATACAACAGCGAGGAAGAGGTAGCGGGTGTAAGTGGCAGTGAAGCAGCGCCGGGAACGGTTCTGGTCGCCAATCGACTGTTGGAGCTTAATCGCGGTTGGGGATGCAGCAGCGTACAAAGCGATCAAGGCCGGTAGAAAAGCCTGTGAGGGAAGAAGGCGACTTGTCAGTTATTCATGGTTACAGAAGCATGAATCTGATGAAGATCGCTCGTTTCACATACCTCGAAACTTTCCCATGAACAATGAATCGTGCGTATCGTGCGCCAGAACAGGAGCGTTCGCAGGATGATGGCGCATCCGAGAAGTACGGAGGGAGATGCCAGAAACTGGCGGTTCCGTACGTAGTCAATGGAATTTTGAAGATGTCTTTGCCAATCTGCTCTTGAACTAATAAATGTCGCAAGCTGATACCCCTCGTTGCGCGGGGCTATGGATGGTGATTGCGAATTACACCAGGCCGTGATGAAAAGGCCGGACCCAAGGAGCGCCAGGATGGAGAAGTGTATTGGTCGCTCTAATTGAGTTCAAATGGTGTCAGTTGATCTGGGAGCCGTAGGAATAGGCTGCGGAAGCGACGACATAACATACCAAAGGCAGCGCTGTTGTTGTATCGTACGGATAGCCAGGCGGTGCAGGCAAGCAAGACAACACTAAATTGTGTCAGTCAGATTAACTAGACCTTCTGCGTCATGACCAAAAAGAGGACGACTGAAGCAATCCACAGCTCTTAAACAATTGCAAAAGGGAATATAAACAAGGAAAACTACAAAGATGAGAGCGTTGTACATACCAAGCGGCCAAGTTGCCATGCCTCTTCAGCGGGGCCGCCATCGGTCCTCACCAGCTACCTTATTTTAAGGCCGGCTTGGCGCGCGGAGGGCGGAGGGACGGAGGACGGCGGAAACGATGAAAAGGTTAATGTTGACTGATGGGTCGAGAAGAAAGAGGCGCACAAGATTATCGCATCATTGAGTACATTACGATCACCATGACCACTGTTTTCTCTCCGAGAGAATGGGGAGAGGGGAGCTTCAGTAAGCACCCAACAGGATGGGAAAAGGAAAGGATGACGAGGGAAAGGTCAAAGCAGATTGGACTGTGACTAGGAGTAGAAGTTGGAGAAAGGGGAAGAAAGAAAGGAAAGCCGCCAGCTTCGAGTGTAGCGCTTCCATGAACGATTACTAGCGCACGCCGGGCGCACATCGTGTTGCCCGGCTGGCTCAATTGGGGAGACGGTCACCCCTTGGCTACACGAGTGCGTACATACGACGTATGAGAGTCGAACTCTGTTGGAACTTCTCTCTACCTCTGACTACCCATGAGAGCCAATAGTATCAGGGAGTGTGCGGCACATTGTGTGTAGCTGTGCCGCAGTAACTGATCCACAAGATACGGAATGGATCTGTTGTGTCCCCTGCTCGCAGGTTTTTTTCCCATTTTAGTTTCCCGTATTTGACGCTGCTGTCCAAGGAACGCAGCTGGGTTGTTCCAGCCGCCTGTTTTTGCACTTGGTCCTGATTTTATGAGAGCCAGGTTCTATTACCGGACAGGTGGGCTGGCGTCATGGATAGGATAAGTCAAGCTCCAACGGCGGGACATCTATTGTGGAACGGCAGATGCTCCCCGTGGCTACCCCAGTATAAGTCGGTATTTATGTGGTTGTTCTTCCAAGGAAGAGCATCAACCAGTACCAGAAGATGCTCCAAGCGTGCTGCGACTCTGTAAGCACCCAGGACCACCTTACGCGTGTCGCTCTAGGTATTAGGCGGTGCCCATTGTGGGGAAGTAGTAGGCACCAGCATAATGCGACTCAGTGTCATGGACAATGCTGTGTGTGCACTTTGGAGCCGTCCCTCAACATTCCGATCAGCGGGCCTGTGGACCTAAACTTGTTTTAGATGGTTGTGTATGGACATGGGTACGTAAACAGAGAGGGAACAAGAAATGAGAAGAGACGGAAAATAACAACAGTCGGTGATGAGATGAACATGCCCATTCTTTATGTGGATAAAACGAAAGGGGAAAAAAAAAAAAAAAAAACCACACACACATACACACACCGTTACGTGGAGGGGCAGCTCACCACATACGATGAACGGCTGCAGAGGTAATTTGACACTTTCAGAGTAGCGTGTGGAGAAGCCTGGTTGGGCGTCGGGATTCCGCGCAGATCCGGCGCCGGAGACCCTTCTTGGCGACTAGTAAACTGGGCGTTCGCTTGTGCCACTTTACATACACGAAGCTTCTTCTGTAGCCCATGACCATGCCAGTTGCCTATTAAGGCCCTTCAGCCAATGTTGTATGCCTGTCAGCTCACCCAATCCCTTGGGTAATCGTAATTATGGGCGATTTCTTCTCAAGGAGTTAATACACCCAAAACGGTAAAGTCGGGTTGTCCCACCAGGCACAAGTCGCAGTGGAATGTAATTTGGAGTTGAGGCTCATTCATGACACTTCTTGATTCGTCCAGCCCCGAGGTCGATCCCTACATCTATGGTATTGACTTTTATCTTCTTCCGATCGTCAACATGCGAACATGACCTATTTTCTTTTTTTGTCTTCTGCCCTCATAACCTTGCCGGGAACCCCTCCGTGTGCTGTCGTCGTTGCCGTGTCTCCATTAAGCCCTCTCCCGTCTTCTGGGGGCAGCCCGAATGATGTCGTCCACACGCAAAAGGAGCTGCTCCATATTAGCTATATGTATAGTCACCAGGAGAAGGGGGGGAAAAAGTGTCAACTCACCTCTGCTGCCTCGCTGGCAGAAGAAACAACGGCTCTCTTCAGCTTGTAGCTCTCAACAACACCCAGGTCGCGCATGTCGGCGATACCGCCGCCAGGCGTCAGAAGGTCCAGACCATAGTTCGTCATACCGTCGTAAATAGCCTTCCTCAAACGGGCAACAAGCTCGCCAGAGTCGAGACCGGCGTTGTCAGCCAGAATGGTTGGCAGCTGGCGCAGGGCCACCGCGAAGCTGCTAACGGCCATCTGCTTCTTGCCCTCAACACGGGTAGCGGCACCCTCAACAGCCTTAGCCATAACCATCTCAGCGCATCCACCACCCAGAGTCGTCCACGGCTCCTTGACCGTCTGTGACAGGACAGCAAGCGCGTCGTGAAGACTGCGCTCCGCCTCGTCCAGAAGCTGGTCTGTGGCACCACGCAACACAATCGTGCAAGCTTCACCAGCGGCGACGCCAGAGAACTTGATAAGAGTGTCTTCGCCAATGATAACCTCCTCAATCACATCGCAAGAACCCAGCTTTACCTGATCGGGGTGGTCGAAAGTGGAGGCAATCTCACCGCCCGTGACCAACGCCAGTCTCTCAATGCCGTCAAAGTCGGCGTGCTCGATAGACATGATGCCCGCATCCGTGAAAAGCTGCTCAGGCCAGTTGTAGATGAGTTGTCTGTTGATGAAGCAGTTGATGCCGTGTGCCTTAATCTTGTCCACCTTGGCCTTCATCTTCTCCTTCTCTGCCTTCTCAAGGTCGGCCAGCTTGCTGGTCGATCCTACCTTGACGCGGGCACCAAAGATCTTGATCTTGTCCGTGTCCATCGATGTGTTTGCCACCAGGATCTTGGCCTTCTCCAGACGCTTGGGCTGGTTGACACCGATCTTCTTGTCGAGGATGAAACCCTCGTCGAGATAGGAATCGCTCAGCTTACCACCTGCCTTCTTGATAATCTGGATATGACTCAAGTCGGAAGAGTTCTTCAGTCTCAGAACGGCGTCGGTCGCAAGCTTGGAGAACTGGTCGCGGTCCTGGGCCAGGACCTTGGAGCTGAGGGTTGTGCGGGCAATGGCCTGCAGGTCTTTTCTGAACGCCTCGGGGTTGTTGCTGCGGTCGACGGCAGACTCGTTCAGGGCCTTGAGAGCGGCCTGGCTCGCTATCCGGTAACCCTCTATGATGGTTTGGGGGTGGATCTTCTTGTCAACCAGCTTCTCAGCTTCACGGAGGAGCTCTGCGGCGAGGACAGCAACAGATGTAGTGCCATCGCCAACCTCGTCATCCTGGACCTTGGAAATATTCACCAGCACCTTCGCCGCTGCGTTGTCGAGTGCAATAGACTTGAGGATGGTGGCACCGTCGTTTGTGACCATGATCTCGCCGGTCGACCTAAAGGTTTGTCAGCCATGGCGGTGGACCCCAAATGATGCTGGTAGGCGGGGTTCACGGGGTTTTCAACATACGCAGACTGCAGAATCTTGTCCATACCCTTAGGGCCAAGGGTGCTCTTGACGAGATCGCCTACCGCGATCGCGCCCACGAAGGCGGAGAGACGGGCGTTCTCTCCCTTCTCCTCCGTGGTTCCATCCTCGAAGATTTGTGTCGGGCTGAAGGACGACTGCGATGGCTCAAAGTCAGTGACAAAGGGACGGCGAAGGGCTGGGCTAGGCCGAGATAACGAACCATGATGGATATGAGTTATTCAGACACGCTGTATCGGGAATCGAGACGGTGACTGAGTAGGTGGGGGAAGCAAAGTGTCGTAGTTGTACGGATTCCTCAGCCTTGGGAGCTTCACTGAGAAAATCGACCTCGAAAATTTGGGGGGGTTCAGCCTGGTGAAGTGGGGTGGACTGGGCAGCAGCTTCCAGGCACTGTGATTAGCGAAACAGAGCTGCTGTTGCTGTTTCTACAGACGTCCATCCTCCACGAAAGGTGCTCTGTGGCCAGTGCGCGCCACACACTACAGGGCAGCTACTGCCTACCCCCCCTTGGCGGGGGTTTAGGGGAGGAAAAAAAAAGTGGCGGGCGGTGAGAGGCTACTGCCAGTGACAGAGCTTGCGGCAGAATTCCAAATCCCACGTGACTGGAAGCAGGTAGCGAGGGGCTTCCTCCGGACCCGGAATAATGAGTTGTTCCAGCCCACACGATTGACAGTTCTACCACCGAAAACTTTACAAACGACGCCTAAATTGTGCGCGAGAGTCGTTTGGACCCCCCCGGTATCTACCCCCTTTGAGGCGCAATCCAGTCATTATAGTCACTGGTACCCAAGAATTCGGCATTTTCGTGGATTTTGCGCCGAATATCTCTTTGTAGAGACTTGCATCCAGAGCCAACCGAAGCGCTCCGCTGCCCAAAAACCCTCAAAAACCGAAAAAATCGCGGGGCACTTTTTTCCCAAAGAAAGCCACGACCCCCACATCTCGCACTGCCCCGGCACCTCTTTTTTTTCCCACCACAGGATCAAACAGCATCGCACGGCAAATCACGCCCTTCACCGAGACACACCCCCTCCCCCTACCGCCACCACAACAGCCGCCGGCAACTTCGACTGTTCGATCCATAGCCAACGGTCGCAATCATGGCGCCTTCTTTCGACCATCTGCGCGAGGCAGATCTCGACGATGATGAGTACGATGAGGAGGAGATTGACATTTCCGACCTGCGCGAGAAGTACGAGGTTCAGCTGGAGCTGGGATACGACACCTTCGTGGTTATCGATGGCCTCCCCGAAGTTACTGAGGAACAGAAGCCCAAGCTTGTCAAGTTCCTGTTGAAGAAGCTCAACTCTGTTGGAAAGACGAGGGAAGACCTGATTTACATGCCCATCGGCGACAACGGCAAGTCGCTGAGGTACGTTTTTGGCCCGGTGGATCTGCACCCAGAGTCCTTCTAGGGGTTCAGATCGGCGCAAAGGATGGAACCATTCGTGATGCTGACGACCCGACAGATTCGCCTTTGTTGAGTTCTCTTCCCCTGGCGAGGCTGCCGCCGCCGTTCGCCAGCTTGACCAGGTTCCCCTCGACAAGAAGCACATCCTCCGAGTCAACAAGCTCACCGATATCGACCGCTATGGCCGCGAAGGCAAGGTCCAGGAGGAGTACACGCCGCCTCAGATTGAGGAGTTCACCGAGAAGGAGCACTTGAGATCGTTCATGAAGGACCCCAGCGGCCGTGGAAGAGACCAGTTTGCCATGTACCGTGGCGACTCTGTTGGTGTCTTCTGGAACAACGAGAAGGACCAACCTGAGAACATCGTCGACCGCCAAAACTGGACTGACAGCTTCATCCGCTGGTCGCCGCAGGGAACCTACCTCACCTCGGTCCACAACCAGGGTGTTCAGATTTGGGGCGGTGCCTCGTGGACACGGCAGCAGCGATTTGCCCACCCGGCCGTTACCTTTGTCGACTGGTCCCCCGGTGAGAAGTACCTTGTTACCTGGTCTGCTCGTCCCATCTCCATTCCCGAGGAGGGCCACCCCGCGTTGTCCATCGACGAGGATGGCAAGAACTACATCATCTGGAGCGTTGAGAGCGGTAAGCCTCTGCGTTCCTTCTCCAACCTGGACATGCAGGGTCTGGATGAGGCCAAGCAGCGCAAGCTCCTCTGGCCCGCCTTCAAGTGGTCTGCCGATGAGAAGTACGTCGCCCGTCTCAACTATCAGACCGGTATCTCCATCTACGAGCTCCCCCGCATGAACCTCCTCGACAAGACTTCCATCAAGATCGAGGGCATCATGGACTTCGACTGGGCCCCCGCCACCCCCCAAAGAGAGGGCGTCAAGCAGTACGAGCAGCTCCTCACCTACTGGACCCCTGAAATCGGCAGCAACCCCGCCAAGGTCGGTCTTATGAGCATCCCCAGCAAGGAGGTTGTCAGACAACTGCCTCTGTTCAGCGTCTCAGATGCCAAGCTGCACTGGCAGTCCGACGCCTCCTACCTCTGCGTCAAGGTCGACCGTCACTCCAAGTCCAAGAAGTCTCAGGCCACGACGCTCGAGATCTTCCGCATCAAGGAGAAGGGCGTCCCCGTCGAGGTTGTCGACACCATCAAGGACACCGTCATCAACTTCGCCTGGGAGCCCAAGGGCGACCGATTCGTCATCATCACGACGACGGAGCCCGCCGGCCCCACGGCCGTTGCCCCCAAGACCTCCGTCGCCTTCTTCTGCCCCGAGAAGGCCAAGGGTAACGCCGTCGGCAACTTCAAGCACCTCCGCACTCTGGACAAGAAGAACAGCAACGCCATCTACTGGTCCCCTCGCGGCCGTTTTGTCGTCATCGCCACCGTCCACAACCAGCAGAGCTCCGACCTGGACTTCTTCGACCTCGACTTCGAGGGCGAGAAGCCCGAGTCCGACAAGGACCTGACCGCAAACCTCCAGCTCATGAACACGGGCGACCACTACGGTGTTACCGACATCGAGTGGGACCCCTCAGGCCGTTTCGTCGCATCATGGGCCTCTGCCTGGAAGCACTCCGTACGTTTAACTTCTCTCTTCCCCCATTCGTGCTTTCTCTAAATAATTGTTACTGACCCGAACCTCAGATGGAGAACGGTTACCACATCTACGACTTCAAGGGTGAGGCGCTGCGCGAGGAGCCCGTCGAGAAGTTCAAGCAGTGGGCGTGGCGCCCGCGCCCCGCGACACTGCTCACCAAGGAGGAGCAGAAGCAGATCCGCAAGAACCTCCGCGAGTACAGCCGCGTCTTCGAGCAGGAGGACCAGGACCGTGGAGCGTCCGCCGACCGCGAGGTCGTCGAGGCCCGCCGCCGCCAGCTCTCCGAGTGGTTCGCGTGGCGCGAGTCGATCGAGGAGGAGCTCTCTTTCGAGCGCGAGGACCTCGGCCTGCCCAAAGACATTGTCGCCTACCTGCTCTCCAAGAAGGCCCAGGCCGTCCCGGAGGGCGAGGAGCAGGTCATCGAGGAGATTGTGGAGGAGGTGCTCGAGGAGTCGGAGGAGATTGTCAGCTAAAGGATTTCTTCTTTCTTCTTGTTTCTCGGGGTTTAGATCATCATCAGCCGCAACAGGGGAAGAAGGATCATGTGCAAAAGGGGCAGAAGGAGAAGAGGCAGCAGCAGCAGTGGCAGCAGTGGAAGAGGGTTGAAAAGCATTAGGAGGCGCCCAGCCCCTCCCCAGTTGTTTGTTCATTTGGGCGGTTAGGTGGAGGAGGGCTGAGGCGGTAAAGGGACGGCTAATTCATTATGGATTTGAAGACAACACACAACTTTTTTCCCAAACTCTTGGTCGCTATTCATCGTGTCGTGAGAATCAGCGAATGATGATTTTGCATGACTGTGTCCATTTGTGTATATGTGCCAGCCTCGATTTTGAACCTCCTATGCTTTTTTTACTTGTACCTATTCTGCACAAGTTAAATAAAGTCGAGACATGCAACAGATGAAATAGGCGAATAGATTTTTACAGTAAATGGTTCTTCCTTTCTTCTACAATACGACTATGATACGAATAGGATATCGAAAAAAAGACGATAAAAAAAGGTGTTCAACACCTTTATAATGCGTTCCGAGTCTTCTTCTTCTTTTTTCTTCCCTTCTCCTTTGGGAGTACGGAAAACCCCCCGCCTGGGTTTCCCCCTCACTTCCCGGGGGAAAAAAAAACAAAAAAAGAAAAAACCGAACGTAAAAATAGAATATGCGGAATCGCATCGCAAGCGACGCTGAGGAATGTTTTAGACAGTAAATGCGACCACTACCCCTCCAGAAAAAAAAAAAAAAAAAAGTGTCAACATGCCAGCAGCTAAAAATAAAGTAAAAAACTCCCGTTCTCGCTGGTTCCCGTAGAAACGAGCGAAATGCAGATTCTATACAGGTATATATAGGTTTAAAAAAAAACTCCCGTGTATCCAAAGGGGAAACAAAAGACATTTCTTTTATCCACATGAGAATAGGGGAATGGACGGTTGAGGTCCGGCGCGCGTATGTGTGTATGTGTGTGATGTACATTTACAATCCCATTTATCCATCCGTGTCTGTCCTGCCGTCTTGATGAGAGGGAAATTGCCCGCGCACTGCGAAACAATCCCGTCGACGAAACAGGTACAAGATAAACGCCTCCCAAACCAGAAGTGAAAGTTGCTGTGAAGGGAAAGAGAAGAAGAAGTGAACACAATAAATGCTACAAAAAACCAGCTCCCATAAAATGATGTGTGCCATCGCGCCACTGACGCCGGTGCTTCTTTATACACGCCCATCAAACCTGTAACCTTTTTGGGCTTGGTGTCTTTTAATGTGTATGTGTAAGATTTTGCTCCGTTGGGGGTCGCGGTGTCCTGTAACACCAGAAGACCGCGCCCGGGAGATTAGATATAAACAGTTAGGATCATGTCGTATGTTCCAAAAGTCCGAGATATTCATCAAGCGTTAAAACGGTTTGTGATGTCGGAGAATATGGGTGATCAGGCCTTGCCTGCCTCCCGGACCAACTTCATCCAGCGGTCCTCAGAGCCTTCATCTCCGACAACGGCCTTGCGGCCGTCTTTGTTGCTGCCTCCTTCAATGTACTTCTTGGCCTCGCCTGGGGACTTGATACCAAGCAGCGCCATCTCGTGGCGCATGAGCATGGCGACGGCCGCCCGCACCAGCACTGCGTCGCCCTCGAAGACGTAGACGTCCCAGAGGCGAGCGGCCTCGTCCATGGCCAAGTGATTTGTGCCGAGACCCATGAAGAAGTTGCCGAGATAAAAGTCGGCGTCGTCCTCAGAGATGTCCTTGGTAAGGTGTTCCTGAAGCTGAGAGGACTTGGCGCTCAAGGTCTGCATCACGAGGTTATAGGCCGAAGCCTTGGCGCCGGGATCTTCTGCGTAGAAGCTGAGCGGCAGCGGACGGTTGAGAACGTTGGCCAGGGCGATGAAGGTCGCCGCGGGCGAAGGCAAGTTCAGCAGCAATAGTGCAGCAACAGTCTATACACAAGTGACGTTAGTGTCAAAGTCCAGAGCGGTTTTGTAAGTGTTGGCATGGAGATACTTACGTTGCATCCCCTGACGTAGCCGATGTCGCTTCGGTACAGAGCATACGCAGACAACACGTCGACGAGGCTGTCGTGAAGCGGCCCGCCGACCTGGAAGATGCGAAGATCTTGCCATGTGTGCTCGGCCACGTCTTTGCGGATGTTGGAAATCCACGCAGCCCTCCGAATGTCTTCCGAGTCGCCCCTGCCGCCATTGACGCGGCCCTCCATCTCCTGAGCACGACCCAAGGCGGCCTTGTAAGAAGTCTCGGAGAGGCCGAGTTCGTTGCCAATTGCCCTCGCCCATACCGTGCCTCTGCTGCGCGGTGCAATACCCCGCCACCACATTTCACGCGTACGGCGCTCCCGCACGGCGTCCTTCCATCTGGGGATGATGTCGTCGTCCCAAACCCGCATCAGGTTGTCGGCCGCCGTGTCACGTGAAGTCTTCTTTTCTTGACGGGATACCTCGCGGCGGCGGTCGGCCTCGGCACTGCGTGCCATCATTTTCTTGTACTCGCGTAGGTGTCGCTTCTCTTCTGCGGGGTCCTTGGGCGGCAGCCATGATGGCCGGGTACGACTCAAGACGGCCTCCTTCTCCTTAGAAATTGGAAGTGGGTCGATCATAATATTCGTCTGATGCCGGATCGGCGGAAGCTCGGGCAAGGCAGATTTGACCCTGGGCTTCTGGGTGTGCTGCTCGAGCTGCTTGCCACTCCAAGTGTTTGGGCGCCCGGAGGGGTTGGCGTTCTCTGCGGCACGCTCGCGAACATAATCCGAGTGCTCCTCGAGCTTCTCCGTCAAGTCCTTGGCCTCGGCGCTGAGGTCGGCCAATGCGAGGTTCCAGCTTCTGGCCCGGGTCTTGAGTGGTTCTGGTGCACTGCCATTCTCTCCAATGGATGAGAGGGCTGTGTCTGACTTCCAGGAGGGGGATCGTAGACTTCCTGAGTCAACAGGGACAGGGGGTGTTCCGTTTCCGACGCTGCGGACGCGCTCTTTTTGCTGTGGTCTGTTTGGTGATCTCGACGCCCCAGACGACGTTGGGCGGCTTGGTGTCCGCTCCAAACGCGGACGGGGAGAAATGGGGACGTTGTCGAGAATGAGACCGTCGGGGATGTCGTCTGTGTCGTCCTCGTCACACTCCTTTTCCAGATCAAACACTGATTTCCTATCCTGGTTCGATTGCCAGCTGCCCCGCCGGGGCTTCATGGGCATATTGGGGTCCCTCGGAAGTAGCGAGAAGTTGGGACTCGGGCTGCGGTTTCGACGGGCAAAGGGGAGAGAGGTTGTCGAGTGGCTTGCAAAGCCTCGGTGGTTCGCCGGGTTCACCGGGCTTCGACGAGAATCGGGAAGGCGGCCAGCGCTCGGGCTGCGGCCATTGAGAGCGTGGCTGTCGGTTTTGAGGGAAAGAAAAGGGGGTCGTGAACGAGAGCGAGAATTGGGAGCCAGGTCTGCGGTAACGATGGTACTCCTGGGCTTGGCCAGGTCCCTCGTCACGGGAGGAGAGCGAGAGGGAGGACGCTTCCATGATGTCGAGCGGAACTCGTTGGAGTAGGATCTCGAGTAGGGCTGGCCGTGAGGGTTCTTTACGGCATGAGGATCGCGCACGCGGTGTGCTTCGTAGTGGTTTGCATCGTCGTCGAGACCGATATCTTCAAAGTGACTAACGTCATCCAGGACGCTGTTGTCGTCGGAATGGAAGGATTTGAACGAAGAGGACTTTGACGATTTGGAGGACGTCATGCCTGGAGGAGAACCTGGACTGGGACCAGCGAGATCAACGTCTTGGTGCCCGTATATCATCATTGCATCGTCAAGTCGGTGTTGAGAAGGGGGAAAACAACGAAAGGAAAAAAAAGCTTGTTTGGAGGTAACAATGGTTCGAAGCAGGAGAGTATGCCGAGACGTCCTGCTTGGGATTCCTCGCAGGCTGGGGGAGGACGGGGCAACAGGCCTGAACAGGGTGGATGTCAGGGTATAATTGCGGACAGGCGTCGACGTGGAGCAAGGTACGGGCTATGCTATGCTGATTTGTATAGTGGGCTTGTATGGTGTAATGTTGATGTGCCGTGAAGAGTGGTTCCCCAGCGTAGTTATGCGGAAGGGTAGAACCCGGTCGTGGATGGAGAGTCGCGGGCAGATCCCTGACTTGGGCTTGGCTGGTGCTTGGTCGTCCTGTCTTTTTGACGAGGGATAATGAGACGAGACGAAGGCAGCGTCTGTGGGTACGGACCCCTTGATGCTCAGTGTGCGAGAAGTCCAGGTCAAGTGTCTCGAGATGACGGGGATACTCGTAGCGGGGTGGCCGGTGTCAATGGTCACAAGGTTTGGAAGAGCTGTCTGTGTCGAACAGAAGATTGACGGAAATAGACGGTCAGATTGGCTGAATGTGTCTGCTGAGTGCGGCGCTTGGCTACTTGATGCGCAGTGCGCAAATGTATGTATGTAATGTATGTGCGGGTGAGTTTGTCTGCGAGCGTGCGTGCGTGCGCGCGTGTGTGTGTACCTGTCGTTCGAAGACGCCTCGTCTCAAGACGGGAGAGGCAGAAACGAACAGCGGGGGGTGTGCGTGTGTGAGGCCTGGGCCTAGGTGACGATCCCGGCGACGGTAGATGGGTTTCTGGTCGGATTAGGGGTAGCGAGGGGGGGAGGGATTGCGAAGAATGTTGATGACTTTTGTCGAATGTACAGATACAGAAAACGGCTAAAACATCCGTGAGCGGCGAAGGGAAAGAAAAGCGAGCGACAATGCCGCAGACAGATCGGATGCCGTAATGATGGCCGTAAGAATGTCCGGTGAACCAAAGATACAATAAACAGAAAGCAGGTTGCCTCTGGGCACGGACAGGATAGGGCTGCTTCGTTGGAGGAGGAGTCCGTAGTATCCGGAATAGCAGTAATAGCAGTAATAGAGGAGTAGTAGGAGAACAACAGGGGGGGAAAGAATAAAAAAGAATAAGGTAAGATAGCGAGCGTGGGAGCCGTAAGGCGGACGTTTCGGAACAGGATTTTGGGGACAGGATCTCGGGATTACAACATGAGTGAAGCGGGTAGGTAGCGGAGAGTCGAGAAACTGGAGATGACAGGAGATGAGGGGGTTCAGATGCGATTGGCAATTGGATAGAGGCGAAATGACGGTAGATTGATGGATGCTAAGCAAGCAAGCAGCAAATGAGCGACAATCAACGACAGCAACACCAAACAAGGACCAGGAAGGTATGGACGAAACAGGACGAACAACCTGCCGGCGGTGTCGTCAAGAAAAAACCAGGGCAGAAACTCAGAAACGGGGCAAAAGGGGGGGGGAGGAGGGAGATGGAGGGGAGGGGAAAACAGGATCCGATGCAGATGGATGGGATGGGATGCCAGTTGGATGGATATGGATCATGGAGGTGGACGGGCGGGAGATGGGCAGGTTTCCTGTCTACACTACGGGGGGAGGTAGAGAAAGTTGGGAGTACTTTTAGTGTAGGTAGCCTGCTGTTGCAAATGTACGTATAGGCATTGCAGCAGGGACAGGTGAGAACAATAGTAGCTGAAAGATAGCCGGACAGCGACAGCGAGCGAATAGAATTGAGCGTGGAGAAGAATTCTTTTTTTTTTCTTTTTTCCTCTTCCTCTCTCCTGTTCGATTCGTTCTTCTCCTTCCCCCTCTCTTCATGTGTGTGGTTCCGTTTCTCTACGCTACGGGGGAGGGAGGGGTTTCTCAGCTGGACCTAATCTCTCCAATCTCCCGCAAATGCAAATGCAAAATAAAAAAGAGTCTGGACTTGGATTGGGGGCGGGACGGGTGGTACTGGTTCATCAAGTTTGGGAGATACGTAGCGCTGATCAATTGCAAATTTGTGCCTGCGCTAGTTTGTTAGCTGCGGATGGGGTGATGTAAACAATATGCAGCGACAGCACACAATCGAGTTGTCCGAAAACCTAGTACGTAGTACGACGTAAGTGTAAGTAATAACTGAATAAGGGAAGCGTGCACAATTCGTAAGGGCCGTTGTGAGGTGATGGTGACGGTCGGGGGGATCAATGCAGGTGGTAGATTGGACGAATGCAGGTTATAGCGAATTAGGTGTAAGTGCACACCACTTTTTCTTCCTCCTCCCCTTCCTTTCCCCTTCTAGTGTGTGTGTGTGTGTGTGTGTGTGTGTGTGTGGTGGATGTCATTGGTGTTGGTAGTGCTTAGTTGGGAGAAACAGGTTTACTCTCGGAAAGCTATACAAAAAAAAAAAAAAAAAAAACACCGGCAGTAGAGGAGTAGTAGCAACAGCAACCATGCATAGCACAAATGGCATTTCAGAAAAAAAGAAAAGAAAGGGCTAACCGTTGCTGGTGGCTCCCCCTGATATTACCGCTGTCGTTCAGGTACCAAACGTGCCTGAATGCTTTCGCAAGCAAGGAGGTTCATCCCAGATGGCCAGCCACTCAGAGACCGCCGTGGAGTCCAAGCTAATATGTGCCTGATCCACTCGGACATTATCAAATATGAGCAGTGTTGCCAGCGAGAAAGAAAAAGGGGGGGGGCGGCCAGACGAGTCGAGACTCTGGACGTCATCCACCTTGGTGCAGGCCCTATTTTCGCCAAGGTACGTACTCGCAAGGGGAACGGCGGTACTTGGAGAAAAGTACCGCCATCTCCACTTCTTTGGCGACTCACCCCACTTACACCGGGCACTGCCATCGCGACTCCCAGATTCATCCCAGAGCCCAGAGCTCCTTATCCACCTGTCATTAGTCCATTGCATCCAGTGCGAACCACCCTCGGAATTACCTTGATCCCCCCTTCACCTTCATCCATGTGAAGATGGACCTGCTTATGTAATTTTGAGCATCATCATATTGCTTACCTAACATCACACCACTTCCTCTTTCGTGTACACACATCGAACATACTAGTAGACACACACGCTCAGTAGGTAGATCAGGCACAGGTCAGAAGCACTTCTCAATTGAAACGAACCGGTGGTTTCTGATCCCCACGATGATCTGCCACCATCCGAGAGCCTATGATGCGACAAATGCTTAACTTAACAATTGCTTATCTCTTTTTTTTTGTTCTTTTTTTTCTTCCCTCTCTCTCGTCTTCCACCTTCTGCGGCTTATCTGACACCGCCCTTTTTATCGGCTTCCCCATTTACACGCACTATCGCATCCTATCGACAGAATACGGATGACAATGCCGACGATAGCTGCCTACAGCGGGTTCGTCCAGTGCAAGTGGCTGGTATATGCACCCGATACGAAGTCGTATCTGTCGCCCTCAGTAAGCGCGCCACTATCACGGAAAGCCCGCACGACACGAGAATAGACTTCACACCATGTTCTCACTCATTCCCCTCCATATCCACACTACATACTTCACCTCATCTACAGATAGAATGTCCTCATATAATATACGGAAATTTCCTTTTTTTTCCTCTTCTCCGAAATAAACAGATCTGAAGCCGTCATGAACCAAAAGTGAGCTTATCTAGTGCCAAGCATAACCACCAAAATCAACCCCTCCCCCCTCGACCGAAGCCCCCTCCGTACAACCGTCGATGGCCTCGAAACGATCACCAAGCACGGCCTCCCAAAAAGCCGCCACATGCGCCTTCACACTCTTCAAGCTCGGTGCCATCGCCTGTGCCCTGCTGCTCCTGATATGCGGCACGAGCATCCTTCGAGGCAGCCATGGTGGTAGAGACGACCTGCTCGGCAAATCGTTCTCAATGGTTTCTGTAAGCGCTACGCTAATAACCGCCCAAGCTCTTTTTTTTTTTTTTTTTTTTTTTTCGCGCCGTTGGCACGGAAGAGGAAAAGAGAGGGAAAAAAAAAAAAAAAAATGGCTGAAGAACCAGAAGAACCCTTACTAACCAGTGAACGTCTTCTTAGTTCAATGGGATCGCCGCAAAAGACGCCGGTACCACGCTTCCCTATTTGACCAGAATGCGCTGGTTCCTAAACTCGTTCGCCTGGGAATGGCTCGAGACCAGCACCGAAATCAACGCCGCCGGCTACGTATTCGTCCAGCCCTTGCACCCCCTGCAGATGCCGGCGGCTCTCCGAGATGTCACCAGCTCGCTCTACGTCGCCGGCCACATGATGAACACATGCACCCTGGCCAAGGACACGTGCGTCCGCGCCAGCAAGGCCTTCTTCGCGGCCTTTGATTCCGTGCCGCGCCTGACCCTCAACAACGGCCCGGCCTTCGTCATCTACATCGCCGCCGTCGTCCTCGACTTCGTGACCCCGGCCGTCTTCAGCTGCCTCGCCTTCTTCTCCGACAATGGCGTCGAGAAGCGTCACCCGTGGCTGAGGACGGGCGCGTCCTCCCTGCCCGCGGCCTGCCACATCGCCTCGGCTTCGCTGTTGACTTACAACGCCAGCTCCCTCGTCAGGTACCTCAACCAGTTCCCGGAAATCCCCGCAGGCGCCTCCATCGGACTGCGTTTCCTGATCGTCGCCTGGTGCGGTGTCCTCGCCGAGTTGTTGGCCGTCGCAGTCAACGTCGTCCGCGTCTTTCTGGCACGCTCTCGCAGCAACCGCAGGAGCACGGCCAGCAATCGTAGCATTCCGTCGGGGTCTCGGTTGAAAACAGAATATGCCTGATATACCCAAGTTCCAGATATTATCGCACTTTTAGATAGATACCTAGATAGATAGACCAGCGTTTGCTATTTTTGATGATTATTTTACTTTATTTTTTTTATATCATAATGTCTAATTCCAATACTTTACCCCATCCGTCCCCGGGCCAATGCGGGTTTCCGCAGAAGAAACATTCCAAACCCGCCGATCGTCTCACATCCCCTGGGGACAAACACCCACAGTGTTCTGGATCAGTGATCTACTTTGAAGAATTCTATTCTGGGTCTCACGAGAGACCAGACCCCGTCTTCTACCCTCCCGGTCCCTCCCTCGGGGAGAGCCCTCCTCAACAACACTGATGACGATCGGCACGGCAAACAGAGCCGATCGAATCAACCATTGATGCATAAGCTCTCTCCCCCTCCCGACCGATCCAGCCATATTCCAGTCTCTCAGAGATGCAAGATCTCACACATAATCGGCATTACGACTCCATGTTGTGTTGGTCAAAAGTTCAATTTACGCCACTAAATGTTGGTCTCTCTCAAGTCTTCACAGCTGCAGCAGCAGCCAGAACGGGTTTGGCAATTTGCTTGGCGCTCCCCCAAGTCACGGGGTATGGCGTGCGTCGAAATGCTGATCCCAGTATAAACTTTTTGAGAACTTGCGGGTGATCCATGTCCTCGCCATTTCTTCGCGACCCATCGCTTACAGCGGCATTAAACTTGCTGGGAAGGGGAATTGAATCGGCGCATTGCTACATATAGAGACGTACAAAAAAAGAAAAAAAGAAAATAAATAGCATCAGCTGTAAAATCAGCATGCACGCCCCATCTTGGGAAGGCCGATTGCGGCAAACCGCCGACCGCGCCGCCAACGTCCTCCGGCGCAATTGGCATCTCGGCTTCACCTCCTTCGGAGGGCCGCCGGTGCACTTCAAGATTGTCCGTAACTGCTTCCGCCGTCGATGGCAAATGACTTTTTTTGCTTACGAGCGAGTAGTTTCACGACCGATTCGTGCTGCGATTGCGATGGATCGACGAGCAGATGGTATGCCACCGCTGGACACAGACACAGACACAAGTCGGAGATGCTGACCCCTTCGCGAAAAAATAGTATCAAGAGCTTTTCAGCATCTGCCAGGCCCTATCGGGTCCAGCAAGCACCAAGATGCTGTACTGCATCAACCTGATTCAGAACGGCTTTTTCGGCGCCGTCCTGGCCTTCTTCATCTGGAGGTAAGTCAAATCAACGTCTCACTCACTTACACACTCGTCACACGTCTCGGCAACGCATCTCTCTGACAATGCCAGTCTCCCCGGTGCGCTAGGAATGTACGGTCTCTCAGTCGGTGTCTCCAACATCGGCTCTTCTCTGCCACGTGCTGTCTACGCCCTCCTCTCTGGCCTCAACGCCGCCACCGTGGGCATCATCGCCCTCGCGGCCGTTGAGCTCTCGCAAAAGGCCATCACTGACAAGCTCACCCGCACCCTCGTGTTCCTCGCCGCGGCGGCGGGCATGATGTATAACGCCCTATGGTACTTTCCTGTTCTCATGGTGGCGGGCGGATGTGCGGCCGTCGTCCATGATTACCGCTGGGTCCACAAGCCTGCGCGGAGGGTGCTGGCGATGGTGAGAGCTGTAACCGGGAAAAAGAGAGAGAGGTCTAGCAGAGACGAAGATGCCCGAGGAGTCGAGTTACAAGATAGCCCGGGTGAAGATGCCGGAAAGGGTGTCGTCGGGATGTCTTCGGCAACAGCATCCCGCGTTTCGGTGCCGGGGCAGCCAAACGCCCGTGAATCCGGGGATGGGGCGGGACAAAGCGCACCGTCGCAGGATGAAGATGCCACCCACAGATCGATAGCCGACTCGGAGCCTCGTGTTGTCCCAAAGGAGTTCCGCCTCGACTTCTCCTGGAAAGCCGGCACTGCCATTACCCTTTCCTTCTTGTTGACTTTCATCGTGGTGATGATTGTCCGCGGAGTGGTCAAGGACCTGCCTATCCTTTACAGGCTGTTTTCGAACCTCTATCTCGCCGGTACCATCATCTTTGGAGGTGGGCCAGTTGTCATCCCCTTGTTGCGGGAGTATATCGTGACCGAGAACTGGGTCTCCCCGCGAGACTTCCTCATCGGCCTGGCCATTGCCCAAGCTTTCCCTGGACCAAACTTTAACTTTGCCGTATTTCTAGGCGGACTGACTGCGATCAATGCGGGTCAGTCATCTATCGCAGGCGCCCTCATCGCTTTTATCGGTATCTTTACCCCAGGCATTGTGCTGGTTCATGGCACCATGGGCATTTGGGGCGTGTTGCGGAGTCGGCCGTGGGTGAAGGCTGTCGTCCGTGGCGTAAACGCAATGGCTGTAGGTCTAATATATACCGCCGTCTATCGTATATGGCAAGTCGGCTACCTTGACGAGGGATTCCAGGCCGGGCGTAGTCTGGGAGATGATCCGTGGTGGGTTGTTATTACGGCGACGGCCTACATCGGGGGCAGGTACTACGGTGTCGCGGCGCCGTTTGCAATCTTGCTTGGAGCTGTGATGGGACTGGTTCGGTATGGCGTTGTTTCGGGGCGGGGGTAGAGAGATGCCTAGACAGGTTGGCCGAACTCTATGTGAACCCACGATGTTTTGCCTATGTTGGAGGTTCTCATATCTGACTTGATACGCGTGTCGATTCAAGTGTCGCTAGAAAAGAACGCCGAAAGAAGTCCTGAAACTGCTTACTTGTTATTCAGTTAGCTATTGTAAATATAAGAGCGAGTAACAATGTGAGATCTTGTAAATCACCGGCAGACACCCATTGCTTCTGATATCGTTGGTTACACTCTAAGCACCCAACTATTTAAGCCTAGGGTTCTACTTCGACCTATCTTCATGGATTCATAGTCCCAAGAAAACGCTCCTCTGATGACTGCCAAATTATAATGACGTCGGACAGGTCCGAGGAATATAACGCGAGGATATCTTCAACAGAGCACCGAATCCTTGAAGCCAATAATGAAGTCTTTCGTGCACTAAGAAAAAGGCAATATCACCTGTGGATTAAGTCGCCTTTCCAGTGGCGACCGAATGTTTCTTTCCACATTGGCAGACTCTCCACATCAAGCCCGACGAGACATGATTCCAACTATTCGCCCAGCTTGGTTGTAATATGATGCAATCCCCAACAGAGCGAAGCCGCCACACTTGATCTGTAGCCCGGTAAAAACGCTCATGGAAACTTCCCAGGTCAAGATTGACTATGTAGCCAATACATCTAGAAGGATTTGAAGACGGAACTCGACTGAGAGGTGACAAAACAGTGCTAATCGGCATTGTTCGAATGCCATTTGTCCTGGCATCTACTACAACAGAACGGCAAGATAAAGTTTCGGAACAATCGTGACGTCGACTCTGTCCAAAAAGGAGATGATTCTCTGGGAGCCTTGAAGATGACAGATGCAATGACGATGGTAACCTCATATTCACCTTTACCTTTACTGAGGATGTGGCCTGGAAAAACCAAGCCAAACATTGTTGGTTCGATAGGCGGATTGCTTAGATGTGCAGAGTCGGCACCACAAGAGCCCGCAAATCACCCAGATAGTTGTCCAAGACTGCCAGTTAGGCTGCTGCTGCACCACAGGCATAATCTGGGACGACAAACACCTGGCATCTGGCCAGCAACGACGACTGACGTGCCGCATCAGTCGCCGAGTCGCCTCAGTTTGGGAAGAGGATAAGCTCGGAATCGGGGCAAACATCATTCGTGCTTATCTATTGCCATTCGGATCCGATATGACGACTGAGCGGCAACATGCGGCCCAGCTAGGAAGAGAGTGGCACGCTGGGTTAGATAAGACACAGGCGAGGGGGGGTCCTGGTTCCTACCAGGCCGTGCCAACCTCGCGGGCCCCGAACAAAAGATCGAGACGCAGATGTGGTGACATCGAGATGCGCCGAGTTATTGATCCGCTGGGTTAACCCACTGCTGCTGCCGGGAACATAGAGGCCTGCATTGCATACCTGCGCAGTAGGAGGCGACAACGGGAAGAGGTTGCCACGCGGTCCATGATGAGAACCGAGCTGCGCCCGCAAACCCAATTCATGGGAAGCCCCGGCTATCGTAACAAGGCGACCTGCTTACTGTGCTCTTTTTCAATTCTGAGCATGGGTCCGATCATGCTTTTTGCCTCCGATGAAGCTCTTCGACGAATCTTACGGCCATCATTTTCTATTGTCTGTCTCGATTGGTGATGATATACAGCCTTATCATGGATTGTCCGAGACTGGGATCAGCAGACCTCGAGGACCGTCGGATGTGGAATAGACTCAATGACATGGGCTTCATGTACACAAACCTAGGCAATACCACATTGGTACCAGCGTTTCGGTCTCGCAACTTCGGTTCCCAAGACTTCTAATGTCCTGACATACGATGATGGCATCACAAACGGCAGGAGGTGATACCTGGCAGGCCATAAATGGCATATCGGTTGCGGTCCAAGCATCTGGTTGCCTCAGAGGCTCTCGTACCCCGCAAACATGTTGCAGTGGTGCATGAGCCCGACAAGGAAGCTGAACGGAAAGTGATGGCTTAACCAGCAATACCAAGGCTCTGCTTGAGCACCAAGAGTGAAGGTGCTATTAAAAGTGCTTGGGCAGTGTAGCGGGTAGCAGAGGCTTCGCACAGGATGGTGTATGAAGAGAGCCGCGGCTCTTGGGAAGTCAGCATCAGACATCCTGATGAAGGCCGCATGCTGGGTGTCGTGCACGATATCAATCGAGAGCCAACGTTCTAAGGCTGCGCGCCCAGAGACAGGAGCGTCATCCGAACCTAAGACGCATTCTACATAGCGTTCTGCAGCTGTTCCCTGTCTCCTGCAGACCCCGGAATGTGAGATCTTGGCCACCCAAAGAAGAAGTCTGCTCCGTCACTCGCGGGATGGCGTAGATAGCCTTCCTATGAGAACCAGTGTACTAGACAGATTGGACGTGAGTGGTCAGGTGGCAACGGTCCCTGATATTCTGCTCAGTGCTGCTTCTTACCCTACATCATACGGCTAATGTCATAAGAAAACACCTCTTGACTTCCGCACTGCCGCATTCTTTGTCGTCGATCTATGTGGCGATACTGGCGATGATATACCGATAACAGTACGCAGCCACACAGCACTGTCAAAAGAGTGTCAATCGTAGTAAGTAGCGGAGTAAGAAAGTTGTTGGAAGCAAGCCGATCTTCTCCGAGGTGAGTCGGAAAAGAAGGGGTGGATTCCAATTTGATGTGTTGTGCCGGGGATCTGCTCGCGCTTCACCAGACAGAGGTAAGCGACCTTGATACAATCTTCAGGGTCTTGAGTCCAGGCCCCAAGCGGCCTCCCAGAATAAAGGAGACAGGCTAAAGTGTGACCTGTGGGTCCAAGGAGCTTTCCGAGGGCGCTGCCAGAGTAACCGTGAGATGCCCTTGGGAGGAGGGCTCGTAAGAGTAGCGTGGACGAAAGTGGGCAGAGGCCGGGTAGCATCTGCCGTATAGTTGGTTGCTGACGGTGGTTGAAGATACGGGCGCAGGAGGGCTAGCAAAACACACAAGGCACTCAAACAGAGTTCCCGGGGGCTTGGCGCAATATTGCGATAGTTTCAGGGGTGGTTGACGTATCGCAATCGAGAGGGACCATCAGCTGAGCTTGGTCGGTTCTGCTCGGATTCCAGAATACCTTCCTTTTTCTGTGAGGGTGGCCGTCAACGCCACCTGCAGCATGACAAGCCGGGACATATCAGCCATGGAAGGGATCGATCGATGCTACTGCGAGGCGTTGGTTATTTGCCCGTAGCTATCAAGCCGCCGAAATAGGATTGGTAGAGCGGTGGAAGGGTGAGTTCGCGAAAGGGTGGTCGGGCGAGAAGGGGAGAGAGGAATAGTGAGTGGCAGAAGAGATAGGCTAGAAACGCCAAGAGACTGCAGCGCGGAGAAAGGGTCAAACGATTGGGGAGGGTAGGATAGGATAAAGCCAACAGGCCTAACGCTGAGGGCTGGGCGAAGACCCAAGAAATTTCCAAGAAAACTCCAAGAAAAGCCAAGAGAGTGGTCATGCCGACTTTATATAGCGTGAGCGTTATCCTCCTGCCCGAACGGGATGTAAAAAGCAGGATGTAAGTGTGTCCACGCAATGAGATGATTCGACTGGTTCTGGGCAAGATCTGGGCACTGCCGATACCCGCCCATTTTCGACGTACAAGGGGGGGTGGTAAGAAAGAGGGAGGGGGTGATTGCAGGGTTGTAGAAACGGCCGCTAGAGGGAAATCCGCCGATACCAAGAAGAGGGCAACTTCATACTGCTTACTCGGTCCTGCCAAAGAGTGCTCGCTTGCCGCGCAATCATTCTCAATCGGAAGGAGCGATAGGTATCTGTATGTCTGGTCATTGGAAGTAGCCTATCATATCATGCTCAATTGCCCTCTCTCTCTCTCTTAGAGCCAGCTTGTTTCAATTTGTTCCTTTGCATAACCCACCCCGCTTCGTGTGGTGGGCGGTATGACCCTCGTTGACGCCATCTCAATTCGCAAAAGTTCCTGTCACAAATTGGGCTGCAGAAGGCTGATAGAAGATTTGATAACCAATGGCGATGCTGACGATGATTATCGTTACTATCATTCACAACGACCATTTCGGAGGCTTTCGTATCGTATTAGTTCCCAACACACTCTACGGAGCAGATGATGTGTTGTTGTTAGTGAGTTGGGAAGGATCAAAGATGGATGGCCAGGAAGGTAGGTGGAGCTAGAATTTACCTATCAGTCGGGGAAGGAGAGAGAGGGGTTCGTGAGGAGATTGACGGCTGCCAGAACTAGTCCCCAGCTGGCAGGTCGATAATGAAGCTTACGGAAAGCGCCTATTACGGTTGATTACCAAAGGACTTTGTTGGCGCCAATTTTAACCTTAAACTTACATGCAGTCAAGCACGTGATTCATCTTATCCGACCCATCGTTTCGCTCTTTTCCGTCTCACATCCTCATTTTGTGTATTTACGGCCCAAAAATACATCAACCTCAAAAGGGCTCTGGCTCTAGTCTGCCATCATCACACATCACATGGAACTCCTTGATTTTTGCATCTTTGGAAAGTCGACGTTCTTGGCGGCCTCTTCAACAATCAAAGAAAGTTACGACTTCTTTTGTGTCCGAACCATATACTCGGTACCTCCCCCTTGCAACCACCAATGTCGAAGCAGCCATCCTTATCTTGGCGACGCCTCTCGAGACCCAAGCAGTTATCCTGAACCCATGCTTCCTGGCTTGCTAACACACACACTCCCCCAAAGATCAAGTGGAACAAAAGTTCCACGCGGAACTTTTGCGAGTCTCGGCGCTTCTGCGTCTAATCCAGCGTCTAGCTTTCTATCCAGGAGCGTCCCTTGCTGCCCTACGACTAGGCTTTGAGCTTGTCGTAGCTGCCATCTTTACTCACAGACACAAATGCCTTTTCATATCCATTACTGCTCCCTGCCACCTGCTGCTGGTATCGTCCCAATTTTTCTCACCTAATTCCTCAATCGGCAAGCGACATGGCTCGCTTCGTTGTCGCATTGGATGACGACATATTGACTTTTTCCACACAAACCTTCCGCTCTTGCTATCCATCAAGTGAGGTTAATCAAACCCATCAAAGTCAAAGTGAGGGCTGATCACAATGTCGACCAATCTTTTCTAAAACCACCGCCTTTCCAGCACAGGTACGGCATGCACTCGATTTTCAGCTGAAATCTCCCCTCTGTACTCCCATGCACTGTAACAATCCCTAGAGCAAAGGGCCATGTGCACTTTGTGTCCCCATTTTACTAGCAGTGATCCTCTCCCCCACGTACCCGAATGTACACATGACAAGGATCCCATGCCCTGGTCCCAGGCTGTGGTGTCTCTTTGTATCCTGGCAACTTGATTCCACGCTTCCCCGCCTTCTCGTTCATGTCGCAAAACATCCAGCAATTGGCCAATGTCGTGACATCCTGAATGTTACCTACGTCTGGGCGTAGTTCTGCCACACCCGGTCTTGTCCTTGAAGGAGGCGAGTAACCCCGGCTGGTAAGCCAATCTTCTCCCTCCTGCATATCTGCGTTCCACACCCCTTGACATCGGCCGCATGCCTGACCGAGAAGGTCGATCCTCTCTGGCAACTGGCCAAGACTGTGCCCAGGCGGCCTAGACTGGGCATGCGTCCGAAAAACACCACGAAACCTTGCCACCTCTCACCAGCCGGCTCGCATCTACCAGAAATGGAAGCCCATCATGTGTATCCGTACAGACCAACCCGGTTGGCAGCTGGGCACCAACCGTGTGGCACCGCTGATAAGCGACCTCGCCATCCTTCTCTTACTTTTGAAAATATTTAATTATGAGGTCCGCTCCTTAGACTCGACTCGCTCTTGACCTGTGGCCTCTTGCTCTTTACCCCCAACTGCCATACGACAACGTCGTACAAGAGCACAATGGCGAACGAGAAGAACGACCCGCCCGTCGCCCCCATTGAGATTGGGAGGGAGCAGGGAGTTTTGACTGATGAGAAGATCCCTGCTGTAAGTGTCCTCACGGCCGCCCCTATCACAAACCAACCAAACGTGGTTGGAGCACAAGCAGCGGCCTGGTTAACATTCTTCATAGGGTACCAACTACGAGGAGCTTCATCGTCTTGACTCCGAGGAGCAGGCACTTGAGTCGTAAGTCGTGATTCAAAAGTTCCTTAATGTAGATAAAGCTGGCTGACATTGTGCTACCTCAGACACCTCAACGTCACCGAGGATGATCTCATTGAAGCCAAGGCCGTCGCGGCCAACCTCTCCTTGGAGGGAGTGCGCACCATGATGCAGACCGTGATTAAGATTCACGACCGTGACCCCAACTTCCCGCACGGCGTTCTTATGAAAATTCATGAATTTCTCGGTAAGTAGTTCGAACAGTATATTCAACTCAAGGGCCACAGCATTGACTCCCAGACAGACAACGAGAGCATTTTCGAAAACCCCGAGAAGCACGAGGAAATCATCTGGGAAATGAAGTTGGAGGCTGCCTTGATCACCAACAACAGCCCGTACGCAGAGGTACGAGCCGTCGTCGACAACAAAGACGACCCGTCGATGCCCTGCGGTACTATCCGCGCCTGGACCATTGGTGTCCTCTTCTCGGTCTTCCTCGCTTTCATCAACCAGGTAAGTCACAAAACCTCCAATGGCTGGTTAAACACTATGTTAACGGCAAGAACAGCTCTTCAGTGTCCGTCAGCCGCTCATTAGTATCGAGTCCAACGTCGCCCAGCTTTTGGCTTTCCCAGTTGGTAAGGCTTGGGAGAAGTTCATGCCAAACGTCATGATCCCTGTGGGATTCGGCGTCAAGCTGCCCTTGAACCCCGGACGCTTCAACAAGAAGGAGCACATGCTTATCGCCATTATGGCCAACACCGCCAAGTCTCTGCCTTACACTCAGTACATTGTCTGGACTCAGGTTCTGCCACAGTACTTCAACCAGCCGTACGCCAAGAGCTTCGCCTACCAGATCTTGATTGCTCTGTCTACCAACTTCATCGGTTACGGCCTTGCTGGTGAGTTTTAGTATTAATCCGGAGCCAAATATAGTCACTGACAGCGGTTAGGTCTTACCCGTCGGTTCATCGTCTACCCTTCGTACTGCGTGTGGCCCGCATCTCTTGTCACGATCGCCTTGAACTCGGCCCTCCACAACGAGACCAACACTGCGGTGCCCGGACCTTTCAAGAAGCTGTACTCCATGACCCGTTACAAGTTCTTCTTGTGGTCATTCGGTGCCATGTTCATCTACTTCTGGTTCCCCAACTACATTTTTGAGGTACTCACCTTCTTCAGCTGGATGACTTGGATCTCCCCTAGCAACCACAACCTGGAGATCCTAACCGGTTTCCGCAACGGCTTGGGAATGTTCAACCCTTGGCCGACTTTCGACTGGAACGTCATGCTGTTCGACAGTGTCGACCCTCTCATGGTGCCGGCCTTCTCGACCTTTAACCGTACCCTGGGCATGTGGCTTCTTGGATTCGTTATTATGGGTATCTACTTCACCAACGCCTGGAACACCGCGTATATCCCCATCAACTCCAACCGTGTCTATGACCACTTCGGCAAGCTCTACAATGTGTCAAGAGCGCTTGACGACCGTGGCATGTACGACCACGAGAAGTACATGGACTACTCGGCTGCCTATCTCGGTGCCGCCAACACTTTGGTCTATGGCTCCTTCTTCGCCTTGTACAGCGCTGCCATCACGCACGTCGCCATTTTCCACCGCTACGAAATTATGATGGGTTTCAAGAACTTGTGGAATACTATCCGTCGCAAGAAGAATACCTCCGAGGATGGTACGCAAGAGGGCGAGTACAAGGATATCCACAACCGCCTTATGTCTAAGTACCCTGAGGGTGAGTAATGCGACGTACAAATAGATCTCGTATAGATGCTAACAGAGCCAGTTTCCGAGTGGTGGTACCTTGGAACGCTGATCGTTGCTGCCGGCTTTGGTTTTGCTGGTGTTGCTGGTTGGCCTACCTACACCACTCCTGGTGTCGTCCCCTACGGTGTCTTCCTGGCTGTCATCTTCGTCATCCCCATCGGTATTATCAAGGCTATGACTGGTATCGAGGTTACCTTGAACGTCTTGGCCGAGTTTATCGGTGGTATGTGGGTTGAGGGTAACGCGCTGGCCATGAACTTCTTCAAGTCTTTCGGGTACGTCTGCCACATGGTGCCTTTGTCTTTTGGATCTTAGAGCTAACCGCCTCATTACAGATACGTCACCTGCGCTCACGCGGTCCACTTCGCAAACGACTTGAAGGTTGCCCACTACCTGAAGATCCCCCCCAGGCAGACTTTCGCGTGCCAGATGGTCGCCACCCTCATCTCTACCTTCATCTGCACCGCCGTCATCAACTTCCAGATCAGCATTCCCAACATCTGCACCCCTGATGCCCCCATGCGTCTCTTCTGCCCGGGCCCCAACACCTTCTTCACCGCCGCTGTCCTTTGGGGAACTATTGGCCCCCTCAAGGTGTTCGGCCACCAGGGACAGTACAACTACCTGCTGCTCGGATTCCCCGTCGGTATCGCCTTGCCCATCATTTTCTACTACTGCATCAAGTGGGCCCCCAAGAACCGTTACCTCCGCCAGTTCCACCCCGTCGCCCTCTTTTACGGAGGCGTCAACTGGGCCCCGTACAGCTTCTCCTACGCCTGGCCCGCTGTCCCTATTGCCTGGTTGTCATGGATCTACGTCCGCAACCGCTACCTCGCCTTCTGGTCTAAGGTACGTTTCCCTCCTAACCCCTGATACCCAAAAAACAACAGCCCCCCAGGCTAACCTGACTACAACAGTACAACTTTGTGCTCTCTGCCTCTTTCTCTGCCGGTATCGCCATCGCCGGTATCCTCATGCTGTTCACCGTCCAGTGGGTCGGTGCTGAGGTTCCCTGGTGGGGTACTGAGCAGATCGCCGCCGGCTGCGAGGGCAAGGCTTGTACTCTCAAGACCCTTGCCCCGGGCGAGCGGTTTTACCCCTGGTGGAACCCCTCCCAGGTCCCGGCCCCCTAAGCTGCTTCATTGCTGCTGGTCTCACTGGGCTTTCTTGCTTTGGTTGGACAAGAAGTGATGTCGTTCGGGGTCGGACTAGCCTGCGGGCTTGCCCGCTAGGTCAATGTTTTGAATTCAAACCGCGCTCGTTGAACATCTTGACGCATTTCAATGAAATAGATGAGAGAAAGCGGCTTACGGCCGAATTTGCAAAAAAGATTTTGTTTTTTCTTGATTCCCCCCACATGTTTGTCGCAATAGGTTGCTTCTCTTAGTGTAACCTGATAATACCAATCTCTGACTATAACCTCTTGGTCCCAAGCTGCGCTGTGAAATTGTGAAATTTGTTTAATTGAAACTGATTGAATAGCCGGAACTTCGGGTTGAAAAGGCTCCGTCGCCGGCAGTCCTGCCGGCATTCGCGCTGCCCACATGACAGGCAGACCGACTGACGGCTATGAGGTCAACAGCCACTTCCTCCAGCACTTTTGCTGGAACTTCTTCTACAGATAGACATCAGACACAAGGCAAGCAACCACCTTTACCCTCATTAATCCCTCTTACGGCCACCCCTGTGATACCAAACAAAATCATAAATGTGTCCGTTTGCCACTGGTGAAACCGATATCATATCACACGTGAATTATACAGTTCATTTCATATTATGAAATGAGTTATGTCATCAAAAATATTGGAATGAGTTTACTGTCGAACGTCTCATGTGATTGAAAACCTACGAAGGTGATGTTGAACTCCTATCACGACTGTATCTCTGTGAAAACACCCCTGCTTACAACTCACATTTTCGGCTATTATTGGACCTTCGTAGAAACCTGACAACATACTTTAATCTCCCTGTTTTTTTTTTTTTTTTTTTTTTTTTTTGCTTTGCAAATACATTACTTGTTCGAGTAAATGTAACTTGGCTCAATAGAAGTCCGGTTCATATCAACTTTTTGTTGTATTTATTCAAGACTTTCTATTGCTCAGCCGAATAACAACCCATCCCTTCCGCTCACAGATCATTCTGTAACCAGACAGAAAGAGTGAACACTCGCCCTGGATAACAAACCGAAGAAATGACCATGGAACCTCATCGAACTCGGTACCCTCTCATCCTTACATCAGGTGCGCCTTGGTGCCACCCCCAAACCTGCGGGTAGCGAGAGTGCGTCCGCAGCGCAAGCAGTTGTGACGCACGTTCTTGAACGGCTTCATGGAGTAAGGGATGAACACGCCAAGTCCCGTGGTGCAGAAGAGCAGAACCGCCATCCAGCTAAACGCGCAATTAGTTGACCGTGACTGACGAGGTAGGCAAAGGCATATTGTTGTCTTACTGTGTTCCCTTTCCAATGGTGTGGTCAGTTGTAGTGGGAGCAACTCCCCTGCAGCCAGGACATTCAACCAGAGCAGGCCATCTGCCCAACATGGGGAGAGGCACAACGTTGGCCCTGGAACCTTCGCCAATGGCCTCTCCGTGGTGACATGGCTGAGCGTAAGGGGCGTGGGCGTGGCAGTGGCTGGGGTGGCCACTGCCTGTGTGTTGACAACCGATGGTTGAAGGAGGAGTGTGAATGGATTGGTAGAGAGGTAAGGGGGATCGGATGATTGGCTCCTCTGGGATCTGGTTGTTGGCCATGATGTCTGCGATTTTGTTAATGGAAAAAGATACGACATCTGTCTGAATATTAGAGGCTTACCGGCTGTTTGCTTGTTCATTAGTGCGTTAAAATGAAGGTTGAGACGAAAGCAAAGTGAACTGGTTGATGGTCGAACAAGATAAAACCACCGGGAAGAGAGCGTTCAAGTAGAACCCTCATCCCAGACCATGGTATCCAGATCAACGAACAACAACAACTTCATCCACCAATAACCACAGACGGATGTAGCCATTCTCTTTGATGAAACATGGAGAAGCGAACGCGTCACTTACATGACTGTTAATGCACTACCCACGAACTCGCCAGTCTGGCTGGCCCCCCTCCCAGGCCCAACCAATTGAATCGCGGAAAAGTTACACCAGGAACGCAATACGATTGTTTTACGACCAGTAGTTTTTGGATGCTTGGCGTTACGGTTACCGAATCCGGAAATCGAATCCTTCGGGCAAAGTAGTACCTTAAATGCTGCTGCCTAGAACGCCTCAAAATAGCAACCCAGCCTCGTCTTCCCTGTCGATCGCCGTTCGCTTTCCACCTGCAGCTACAGTAATCGTTTGAGCAGTGGGCTCGCCCGACTAAGGTAGATATGGCTTATGATCCAGACCCATCCGGATGGGGCATCATTGCTCAAAACGTACTCTCCACATCCACAGCTCTGGTCCTGTGACGGTGCGACTAAGGTAGCCACCATAGATGTTTAAAGCTGGAAAGAAATGCAGAGATTGACAGAAACTAAAAAGTGGCTTAAAGTAGATCCGGGAACGTGGTACGCAGTCAGATGGAGTGTACTCGCGAACGCAGAGGAGCCCTCGCACTTGGGATCTCTCAGCTTGACAACGTACATTACCTATCGAGGAGACAATGGATGGAGTGATCAGATCAACTACCTCGGACTCGGTGATGTATCTAATATCGAAAGAAGGTTACGCGGCCCTTGGTCCACCCCCTTCCTGGCCTCAAGCCTGGTCCAGATAGAGCCAGCCAGAGAGAAGCCCCACGTATCTGCTGCCAAGACATCCCGCCCTCGTATCGGCCAAGGTACGCGACAGAAGCACGGTGATAAGGGGAACTGGCCATTCATGTTCAATGTGCCGGTTAATTAGACAAGGGTTAATGATTACATCATACTATGTAATAAAGAAGCATAAGCCTGAAATGTTCTGCTGTAAGTAACTCGTATAAGTGCGTGGGTTTGTAGTTGAGTAGCCAAGCTTCATCCCTAGTAAAGACGGTCCTTGTAAACAAACTACAATTTTGCCATGCTATTGTTATTTTCGTTAGGTAAATGAGATAAATCTTATGAATTAAAACACCGCATGCGGCAACGGTTGCTGGGCTAGAACCTCTGGTTTTGTGATATTTCGAGCGCGATAGAACAAAGAATCAGTGATTGACAATGCAAGAGACTGTAGACAATATCTAGTGAACCTTGCTTGACTAGCGGCAAGTTGAGCGGACCACTTCTGCATTCTCTACCAACGTCTCTATTATTTCTGATAGTATCACACCAGTGCTTCCCCACTGGTGCCTCTCCAGCAACACGTGAGACGTGACGGCTGCGCTATCTGCCAAGTCAATGACGCCGGATAACTCAAATGCGACAGTTCTCGGCCTAGCAGCGTGTCTTCATCGCCCAAGCGCTCAGTTGCTCTTCTTCGGCGTCACGTCCTGAACCCCTACTCCAGCCAAGAATAGACCTCTAACGACAGCCACCCATCCGGTAAACAAGACGTTTCCGTAGTCTTGCAATCTCAATTTCGACGGGCTAAGCCGAGCCTGATGATCTAGACTAACATAGATGATTATGAGAAGCGCGATATCCACGACTAGAACGCCGCCCTGGACTGTCCTCCAAATCTTCATGTCCGAACTGGTACGTAGGACGCCAATCATGATTGTAGCCATGAACAGATATAGAGCAGCAATCTGTTGGAAGAGGAAGCCGTGATCTGGATCCGGTTTTGACATCGTGGCTGGGATGAAGCCATCCAATAAAGCCGCTGGAGAAACTACGCAGCCAACGGCACTGACAACGAGTACGAGAGGGTCTATCACCGTGAACCAGATGCGGTAAAAGCTGTGAATGTTCGGTTGTGCCATTGTAATGTCGAAGTGATCCTTGTTTGGTATGTGTAGAATGTTCAAATTGAGAATACAACACAACTAGGAAGAAGGAAACAGACGGGTTTCAACAAGCATGGTGAAACGGGATGCCTTTTATTTCCTGCTTTCAACTAGTGCTTACATATTCTTACTCTGTTGCTATTGGTAGATGTACCCGCCCAAGGTCATGTAGCCCTCAGCCTAGATAGCCTCGGTAAGAGCCGAAATGCCAGATGACGTGAGACCAGTTTCTGTGAAAAATGCTTAATTACGCCACAATTCTTTTTGCAAAAGTCAAGCATAAGAGACTCAGAGAACAAAAAATTATCATATTAAGTGCTTAGAAAATATAGATATGCACAATTCTTTTTTTTTTTTTTTTTTCAGATGCTGCTCTTGATCTTAATTGCAACAGGACGCTCACCGTTGACCATCCTCGGTCTCTGGTGGTGTATTCTTATCACTGGCATCAGAGCTTTCAGGGTCAACGGAACCCTTCCCGTCCTGGAATACTTCTTTCCACCATTCCTCATTACCCTCATTCGTACACAACGGATTCCAGTTTGACTCAGGAAGGCCCTCTTTCTTCAACTTCTCCTTGTTAAAGATTCGTGGCTTTCTCTTGTTGGCATCTGATGCAGGTGCCCAGTAAACAAGATCTTTCGCCCCATCTTGTCCCATGATCTTGAATAGAGGCTCAAGCGCCCTGGGCCGTGCTTGAAATTCCATGAGGTGTCGAAGATACGGGAAGAACCAGTTGTTCTTCCACCAGTCTTTAAGTCTCAAGCCTTTGAGACCATTTCGGTGGGCATTGTGATGGACTATAACCGGCACAGAGGTAGTCCAGAAGTCCGTATATAGCGGCACATCAGCCCATCCCAGTTTAGTATTGATTCCGGCTTCTGAGAGTGGGATGCGCGTTTCCAGCATATCTTCTGGTACACCTTCGACACGTGGGGGAATAATGACCCGCTCATTGGCCGCCACCTCAAGAGCAGTTTTGTTGCTCAAAACGATGTACTCTCCGTCGTCTTCTTCGAAGACGGTCGGGGTGAACAAGTCCTGAATGTAGTCCAGACCGACCCCGTAATCGAAATGCGCCGCCTCGAGCATGATTTCAGCGTTCTCGGCCTCGGATATCTTTCCCGACCGACGATGTTCGCGCTTGGAAGTTCGCCACATCTCTTGTTCACCAAAGATCTCGGCGAAGATGCCTTGATCACTGAAGATGTCAATTCCTGCAGCACGCTTTTCTTCGACTTTTTCCTGAGCGCGGCGGAGCATACGGCGCATGTCGCCCACGGGGCCCATGAAGCTGCCACTGTTAACGTATCGCGGGCGTACGTCATGGAATTGCAGAGGATCCTCATCCGTGTGTGAACCATAGAGATCCTCTCGTGCGGTCGACTGGGGTAACTTGTCACAGTGGGGGTCGGAACCAAGGCTTGGATCGGGCCAGCATTTCTTCTGAGTGGATATGATGATCGATTGCTTAGGGACGAACTCGGTTGTGTTGCCGTTGGAGGAGAACCAGGTCTGAGAATCAGCACCCCAGTCCTTGCGGATACGCTGGTCCGCCGCGTAGTTTTGGGCCATATATCTTCGAATGAGAAGGGAAGGTGGCAGCTGGAACCAAAGATCGTAAGCGTCGACTACAATAACCAGGTCATCTGGCCCTAATCTTTCGTCTTCGGGAGCTTGGTCGGAGGTGATGGCGTCGAGAAAATCGAGTGCGCCGTCTATCTTGCCGAGATGTGAGCCCCCAAACCATCCTGGGGACTTGTGAAAATCGCGACCCCAGTTGACGATAACCGGACTGGGATATCCGGAAACAAGACCCGACATGAGCATCTTGCACAAATCAGGCGAAGGACCATCTGCCGGTACGATAACTCGCAGGCGGCGGGGACCACCCTTTTCTACCGCAGGAAGCGGTGCTAAACCGTCCTGTAAAGGCGAAGACTCGGAGGTCGAAACACGATCATGGCTCTGTCGACATTAGCTCGCGTGGTGCAAGATGGAAAGGGAATCGACAAACCACCGTGAACAGAATGCAAGAAAAGAGTAGAATGGACGCCACTACGGCCAACAACATTCTAGGAGACAAACTCGGAAGCCATCTTGAAGACTTTCTCTTACGAAAGGCAGGGGATGGCAGTGACTCGGTATCATTTTCAGCGTATATCCTGCTATAGCCTGGCGAGCGCTGTTTTGTTGCCCAAGCCGTGAAACCCGTCGCCAAACTCTTGACAACAGCCATTGTGAAAAGAAGAAGAAGAAGAAGAAGAAGGTAGAAAGGAGCGGACGCGTGAGAATCTATTAGATCGCTCGGGGCTTAGATTACTGTCATGGTGAAGTGATGGTAAAAGGCGAAGTTACACAGTTGGTGTGGGTTGGAAGTTCCTCGCGGACCCAACGCGTGGGAAACAACCCAGCTCCATTTTATTAAACGGAAAAAGATGACTGTGGGAAAAAGCATTCGGGGCTTTCGGTATGTCTTGTCATGAGACGTATGTCGCTTGTAAGTGTGCTCCCCTGGCAAAGTGTTGGCGCTACGTAGGCAGCGCAGGGTAGGCCAATTGACTCTCCTACGCCCTGCAGCTTACGACAAGACAGGTACGCCCGGAAGGGGGCGAACATGTTCTATGGGTGACCGTGTCCATTTCTTCATAGGACGAAAAGCCTTTGCCCAGGCTCAGTGGGCTGTCCCTGGCTAGGATTTTATGTGATTCCGACTGGTCATACAGACGGAAGCGCGGTGGTAATTAGAGAATTTCCGCCCCTGGCTCCGGATACAGCGGCGGGGTGCCACCAACCGGAACTTGGCGGGGTAGCCCATATAATAGCATGGGGAAGGCCTGGAGCTTTTGACTTCGGCTTGGCTTGTGATGAAGGTAAACCTAATCACACACCAAACAGCAAACCAGCTATCTATTTAACTATGTAAAATACGAGAATTTTGGTTGTTAATATAGTGGCGTCCACATCTTGGTTCGCTGAACAACACTGCTCCAAAAGGCACTGCTTGATGAGATGAACTTTTCGCTTTCTTCTGGGCCCTCTCGGCTCAAATTGCCGAAGAAGTGCATGGCGTGAACCCACAGCAACCGAAAGAAGCTTGCCACAGCTTGGCCTCATTTCTTATTCGACATAATGTACCCAGCGTGATGCAGCCCTTACTTCGCTGTGAATTGAATAAACAAATTCAGCTCCAACCCCTTGCTTACACTGCGCTAGTATAGTGGACGTGTCTCGGCGTTGGAAAAAGGGCGGCCTCCCTCGCCTGTGTCCCATCCGGATCTGTCCTTCACGCTTTTGAGTGGAAATAGTGTGTAAACTTCAACTGCAGTACTCGAGAATTATTATTTATGTTCTGGCCAGTTCGCTGTCGGGTCATTCCCGGCTTCTCCTTGTCCAAAACCGAAACCATAAGTTTCTGGTTGCAGTGCCTGGGATCCAAGCGGACTGCCTGGCTTCCCTCGTTCAAAGGGGGTTCCGAGCAAGTGGGCCAGTCTGACAGTGAGACTTTGGTCTCTGTTTGGGAGGTTTCCCATGAGACCTTGAATGAGATACATGGGATGTGTAGCTGCGCCAAGCAGTGATTGTAAAGCCTGTACTAGAGTCAGATACCAATGTCGGGCTTGTTGCAAGTTGATGTCTTACTTGTGCGTCTTCGGTTAAACTGAAACCTGGTATCAGTGAAACACCACCACCATTACTTCCGACTAGATTCTGGGCCCGCATGGTGTTTTGAGCGTCGTCTACAGCATGCTGTGCAGTTCTTTGCATCATAGCGCATGCAGTTAACACCCGCTTCAAATCACATCCTTCTGTTTTCTCAAATCTCTGAAGAAAATGTGCGAACGACCTGGTAGCCCCTAGGTCACTCCGTGCACGTGATGAACCTGGGTTTTCAAGAACATCTGTGAACAACGTCATACTTGCACACAGTGGGTAGCAGAGAAGCCGCCTGTGCTCGTTAGTTGACTGTCTTCGAAACGCTTCGTTTCCAATCTTACCAAAGATCTGAATATTGGGGTATTGAGATAGTTCTGAAAAGGCCTAGAGTAGCATATGCAGCTGTTCGACATCGCTTCTGGGAGAACGATAATTGTATGTAGGGCATCTCGAACCCCGCAGGTGTTCCCATGAGAATGGCGACAGTTTTGTATTGACTGTGGCGTCTGGCAGCCCAATGCACCATCAGGACACAACGGTAAAACGCTAGGTGCAAATTCAAAACGTCTGGGGCGATATCCGAACCAGCCTGTGGAGTGTCGTAACTGGGCTGAAGGTCTACTGGTAAACTTAACCTCCACTCCTCTAGTAGAGCATCTAAATCGATGATGGCCTTGACCACGTCGTCCTCAGCTAACCGAAGACCTTTCGTCGTGTATAGCCGTCTTCGAATAGATGATTCCACCATTGCAAGTTTGGCCCGTAGATTAAGGATATCAACTCCATTTCCCAAGCCGGTTGGCAGCTCAGTCTCAATATCGTCGTCATCCTGGGTAGAGTCCAGCCCGTGATTGAGGCCCATCTCTTTGTCCAAGATGTAGGCGGCCCAGAAAACCCGACTGCGTGCTTCTACTTCCTGCACGCGCATCGACATCATTGTGCAAGATTGTCTATGAAGTCCGATGTTCTGCGACAGCCTCACCGCAGCAGAGGACAGGAGTGCTGCCGTCCTTGAACAAGTGGTACCCTGCATGTACACAGCCATAGCCACAATAGCCTGAACCGACAAGAGATCGCTGCCTCTTACCATGAGCTCTGTAAGGACGGAGAAAGCGTTTTTCAAAAAAGGCCATGCAAGTTGGCAAACTTCCTGGAACGCACTGTTGATTGTCTTCCACCTTGTACCAACAGCGATGACAGTATTCATGTACGCCCAACCGGATGTACTGTTAAACGTCTCTTCAGCGTCCGGTACAGTCTCAAATCGGTCAGCGAAGTAATGAAAGTTGAGAAGCGGGTAGTTGGCAATCACGTCATCGTAAAGAGGCATCAACAATTCAATCGCCTCTTCCCTATCAAGACGTGGAGTAAACACTTGTCTGTTGAACGTGGAGCAGTACGAAGCGGAGTTGATCTCCTTCATGCGACTCGCAATAATGGCGAATACGGGCATTTTCGCTGCCGCCGGTTTGGGCGCTTCAAAGATATCTAGAGGCGCAGGCGGTTTGTTTGGTTGTTGATCGGATGAGTCGCTAGGGGTGGTGGAAACGACAGCCAATGGTGGCGCTGACCCATCCACAACTGGTTGGTTGGTTGTCATTTTGTTAAACGAGCTCTGCAGGGTATTGAATTTAACTGTGCTGGCTTGGCTTGGAGCAATGATGGCTCCTGGGTAAAAAGAGGGTGCAGGTCCAGGGGCTACTGATACTGAAGCAGCATCGGTCTCTGATGGAGATACCCTGGTAAGTGGTGCATCTGGACGAGGTAGTCTGGCCTGGTTAAGGACAGCCTCCATTTTTGACAACCGTTCCTCTAAAGCTTGGATGTACATTTTGCTTTGAAAAAGTAAGTCAACTCTCCAGTCCCGTTGAGTAGGTTGATTAGTTGGGGATAGCAACTTTAAGGATGTCATACCTTCGGCCTGGACCGCGCCGCCTCTGCACCTGATGATATTGGCAGTCATGACTGCGAGTTGTGCATGGAGTGCAAGACGGCTGTTTCCCATCACACTTGATCTTTTTTGATTGACATCTTAAGCAGGCCTGAGTTTCTGTGTCAGCCGATGAAGCGAGCGTCTGTCATACCTACTTGACGATGCATACCTGCGAAATACGCGATGCCTTGTCTCTTGCTCGGCCGCTTTGAACAGATTCAGAGTCCATCATCGCGTGAAGATCCGGAATATACACCCCGGCCACTCGCCGAGTCTGGAATATCCGTTTCGGAGCAAGTCCGATTTACCGAATGCCAAGTGACCCACTGCTCCGGGCCCCGTGGTGACTTGTTTTGTCTGATGTGCCACGGGTGAGAAATGCTGCCGAAAGCCCGCGAAACCAGAGATCAACGTAAAGCCTATACGAAGCCTCGGAGTCGAATGGGTTGCAAATTCAAAAGACCTCTCTTCCCATGGGGTAGGTAATCGAAGGATGTCAAAGAAAGAGGTTTCATGATTGGTCCGGTCACGTAATGTGCGGAAGTAATTTGGTTCCGGACAATCACCATATTAGGTAAGTTGGGCCTGTTCAGCCCAAGGAACTTCCCGAGAGCAATCTGGTCCAAATTCGTCCACTCCGCTTACAGCTGTGCCGGAAGCATTTTGTAGCCGAAAGTCTTCCCCAAAGCAACTCCACTTTCCCCACAGATGGTTTGCAAATCAAGCATTGCGATGGCGTTTAGAAGGTTCCAAAATTAGATAATGAAAGCCAAAACAATTCGACCGACGGATGTTTAGCGGATTCAAAGTGCTGTGAATTGTGTCCGTTGCAACAATCAGAATCAGTATATATGAGAACAGTTTCTACGATCGTAGTCTAGTAGTACGCTAATAACATAAATTGAAGTTTATAAAGTACATTACCAGCTTCTACCAGTTTTACGTGCCACTACACAATAACCCGATCTCCCCATCTAAACCACACCAACTGAAAATATGGCTGTCATTGCAGTTGCGGGCGGGACTGGAAACGTCGGCAAGACTCTTGTTGAGGCTATTGTTGCTACCGGCAAGCATGATGTTAAGATTCTAGCGAGAAAGGTAAGCTGCCTAAGCGCCATAAAGTATGCCTCTGCAATACATATGCTAACGCAAAAAAAAAAAAAAGGCAAATCCTGAGTTGGAAAAGCAGGTTGGAGCTTCAATCTTAGTTCTCGACTATGCCAATGTCGAAGCCACTACCAAAATTCTGGAGGATAACAATGTGCACACTGTCATCTCGGCAATTAACATGATGCCCCCTCCGGGCCAAGTCCCCCAGGAAATCGAGCTTATCCGTGCCGCCGATGCGTCAAAGACAACTAAAAGAATCATTACCAGCGGTTGGGGTGTTCCTCATCATGAAGGGTAAGTTTCTTGCTTTAAAAACGATACATTGTTGGCTCGTCGGAATTTAACAATTGAAAAGGCAAATTAACGATCTGGGCTCGGTTCCCCACAAGCTTAAGGCACAGGCCTTTCTAAAGAACGAGACCAAGGACCTTGAGTACGCTGTCGTACACAATGGCTTCTTCCTGGACTACTGGGGACTGCAGGCTGAGAAGTCTCACATGAGCCCTTTCACTCTCTTCATCGATATCCCTAACAACGCGGCGGCCATCCCTGGATCCGGAAACGTCCCTGCAGCATTTACTCATACAACAGACGTTGCCAAGTTCGTGGCAGCTGCACTTGATCTGAAGAAGTGGGATACCGATTTGTACATTGTTGGAGACAAAGTGACTTTCAATGAATTCCTTCAGTATGCGGAAAAAGCCAAGGGTCAGCGCACTTTACCTAAATCAACCAGATTGGATTCATAAATGGTTGACTAACAGATGTAATAGGTACCAAGTTCAATGTCGCCTATGACAGCGTGGAGAAACTGAAGGCCCGCCAACCCACGGAACTTCCTGGACAAATTCCGGCGTACCCGTTCTTGCCAAAGGAAATTTACCAGGGCATAGCCTCAACATTTGGCCTGTGGTTTGAGGGAGGGGCCTTTGATATACCTCCCGCTGGTACGAAGACTTTGAATGAGGTTTTCCCTGAGATCAAGACTTGGAAGGTGGAAGACATTTTGAATAAAGCCTGGAAGGCTTAAGCCAGTAGGGCCCAATCTGATATGATAATTGTACAGACCACGACTTGATTACTTAGATGACTGAAAAACAAATATTGACAAGCGTTTGAGTCCATATGTTCGTGTATGCCCTTGATGAAGACGACACTCGATTGCAGTAGTCAAAATGGCTATATGCATGCTGTTTGTTTACGACAACGGACTATTGGCTTGAGTATTTGTAAAGGAAAGCGAAGCCATTGGAGCTATATCGCCTCTCTTCAAGCAATCATTAAAGGTTACTTCATCAAAATACCCGGCAAGTAACATGGCCACAAAGACATGTGGCCAGCCAGAGGTTTAGTTAGCGAGGACATCTGCATTCTTGGCTTAGTCATGATTCATCAAACCTTCAACCAGATGAATAGCAGACCCAGCACGGGCGCTGCAACTGATGACGGAACATTCTGTTGATGTATACACCAGTAGAGAGGCACGAATGACGTAGCATTTCCGTCTTGTATTCCATTGAGGGCCTAGGCTATAGGAAAGATAACAACTAAAGATATGTTCAAAGGCTGTAGGCCTGCCCTGAGTCAGGTTCAGCGAAGCGGAATCCTAAAAAAAGTCTCCAACACTGTTCTGTGTATGTCGCGCAACAAATTGTATTCAGTCACCGCCGCAAATGTTTCCAAAAAATGTTTCAAGGACTTGAATAAGACTTCGAGAGTTGCTGCAGCTGACTATGGAAGTACCCTAGCTGCCGGTTCATGTCGACCCAGCCATCCGCCAGTTGTACGAATGTCTGATGGATGTTTGGGGAGGCTCCAATATGGAATTCGCTCTGTAGCCGGCTATACTCCCAAATCAAGTCGCTCATTGATTTTTGAAGGGTTGCCTGTGTGGCAGAAACTCGGTCGGTGAAGGCATGAAGCGCAGGTAAAGAGATCCGAATCTGACGAGAGTCAAGAACGTTGTCGACTTGGTCAGTGGAGACGACCGTATCAGCGTTTGCTTCCAGTGTCGGGACTGGGTTAGCAAGACCCTGGCTTGACCAGAAAAGAATGGGGACTAGAGAAATAAAGCGCATCTTCGTAAATGATTTTTTTTTTTGGTTGATCTGGATTGTGAGTTGAGTGTGAGTTGGGTTTGTATGCTGGAATTAGATGGTTAGTTGCGTTAATTATAATGTTGTTTGACTTGATGGGCATTGTAGAGGCCGAACAAGTGGTAGAAATAAAAATAGTCGTAGGGCTACTGCCAAGAGCTGACTGCCTAGAGCTGATCACCTAAAGCGGTAACAGCGTTGCTGTTGGATTATTGTAGACAAGGGTACGGGCAGCGCCAGGCATAATCACACTTGGCTTGCTGTACAGAGAGAGCATGGCTGAGTCGTAAAAAGCCTTACTGCGACAATGCAGCCTGACGATCAGGTCTCCAATTAGTATAAATTCTCAAGCACAATCCTCCTCATGCGCAATCCTTCGCACGCCATCCTCTTTTTCAGCTCTCAATCAGACACAAGCGTAAAGAATATTGTTCTAAACCAAATGAAACCACAAGTGAGGTCGCGAAGAGAACTCTAAAAATATGCCAGTGTCTGAATGATCCGACAATCACGATTATGATGCGCGTGTAGAATAGACAGTTTGGGAAGTAGGGCATCAACGTCTAGATAAGTAGCTACACACCTAATAGATACTAAACCTTATCAACTACGGTAGTGCCTGATTCTTAGGCTTTTTTATTTAATTTTGAAATCAAATGACTAAGCCACAGGAACTCTGAAGTTTTCAGGTACGGTTTTTGTTGGGTTGATCGGCCATCATGAGAGGGCTTCCAAAGGCTGAAGCCAAGACTTTGAGACTTCTCTATCACAAGAAAAAAAAAAAAAAAAAAAGGGAGGCACAGAATACATCTCCTACATAGTGATAAGTCTCTTTTAAATGGTTATATCAGTCATAGAGACGACAGTTGCCGACCTGCCAGATGATTGGGACGTGTTTGCGCTTGCCGAGGTGTGATAACTACGTAACGTTTCAAAACTTGAACTTTTCCTAGATGAAGAACGATTTGTAAAGTTTGAAAATAATAGAGAGTTATAATCGAAGTAGTATTGTTCTTGAGTAGGTAAATACTTTGATATATTTCTGCAGAACAATGGAGTATTTGATATACGAGGGGTGCGCATAGGTCCGATTGGGGTAAAAGTTCCCAAGTTACCTCAAGCTGCGAGGTGCTCTTGGAATATGCCAAATTAAAATGAACAGAAACAAGAACCACGTTCTAATTAATTGTCATAAAATCAACTCATTTGTTTGCGATTGAAGAAAGTCAGCAATACTCATCGATCCTGTCAGGCTCCTAATTAATTTAGGGTCATGACGACGCTCCTTCACATAATAAGTCTCATGTCACAGCATAGCAGCGAATCACTTCAACGGGCCATGGTATTATAGTTATGTTTGAGTTCATATCTATAGGTACTTTCTTTCTACCAATTACCATAATCTCGTTGGCTCATTAAACATTCGGGCGCGAATAGAAGATTAAGTATCTACGGGCAGTATGGAGACGCCCAATTCATCTGCATGCCTAGGAAGTGGAAGCTGGAACAAGAGCCAGAGTGACCTCGTAGCAAGGGCGGTCCTCTCGAATCACTATATAAGAAGCATTAGTACGGCTTCTGGTTTTCAAAGATAGAATATACGCACCGGTGTTGCCAGGAGGAGAGTAGCGGAACTCGTGTCTTCCACCAGATGCACTTCTGACGCAGATGAAGCCACCGGGCAGAGCGGCTCTGGAGATGAAATCCAGTTCGATTTGTACGGCATCAGTCTCGGGGTTGCAGCCGTAGATAGGTTGGAAGAATGCCTTGGGGTCCCCACGCTGAGTCATGAAGAGCTTGGTGGTGTTGTCATCGGCGGTGTACTGCAAGTCTTCATTAGCATTTAGACAGCGTTGAAAAGCATGTATCGTACTTCTCCATTGATCACCGCATGGATGATACCTCTGGAGATGACGCCGTTGACGAGAGTCAGGTCAAAAGCATCAGCTCCAGCAGGGCTGAGATACAGGTGTTGATCACCTCCTCCTGCCGCCCACAAGTTCAGGTAACGGTTGTGCACGATTGGCGCGGAAGGGTTTTGAACTTGGATTCTGAAGCCAGTGGTGATGTTGTTGGAAAGAGGCTCAGTTGGCGGGGTGCAAGCGGAGACCACAGCTGCGGCCGACAACAAGGTTGTGGTAATAAGAGACAGCATTTTGATCGGAGGTTTTCTCAGAGCGGGAATTTGAGTGAGAGAGAATATGGGGCAACGACAAACATGTCGGCCATCAAAATACGGGAACCCTTTCTCATGATATATCCTTCCGGACCAGTGTGCCACGGTTATGCGCGCTGAGATAATGCCGAATACGAGACAATGCATCAGCTTGTTGCATTGAACCGTTGATAGTCTACTGTTTTCGGGTCCGGATTGGCTTCGAGACCGTTGAATATCGAATATTTCTGCAGCAGAGATGCAAGGTCCATTCCTATGGCCTTAGAGCTGACAAGATATGGTGCTACCCTGCTGTGCTACCCTTGCATATCAGCCCTGTTGATGTTACCTCCAGCGCTTGGTGCTGGCTGACTCCTTCCGTATTGGATCTAGTATTGCTGCAGGTAAGAACAACCCCTCACGCTAGAGCAGGGGCTGAAGATTCAATATTTCTTACAAAAAGATGCTAGTTTCCCTGTCGCCTGCTTACATAGCTTTGGAGTACTCGATAGTTTCCCGAAGTTCAGCTACTGTAGCAATGCGTGTGGGAGAAGCGGCCAAGATAGTGTTTGGCTTGGCCACTGACCTGTTGAAAGTGATAGTTTCTTCATTAATGAGCATGACGATACCCTTGTGGTCAAATCGGACTGATACCACAACTTCACTTATTCAATCAGCAAGGTGTGCGACATCTTGAGCTGGATGAAGAAGTGCGTAGCGATTCTAACATTATCAAGATATCAAGAACGATGGTGATGCTCTCGGACTAACCAATGACATGCGGGAGCGAATTTAGACCTGCACTGAAGCAGCGATAGATTGAGTGTCTGGTTAAGACTGGTCGGTAAGGTATTTCGGCAAGGTCGGCTGTCCCGTAGTCTTGTTTGTTACATGAATCCTAAGCACAGAGTTCCGACATTTTCTGTAGACTCTTCAAGCCTGATTGAACTAGTCTTTTCATGGGTGTCAAATTAATAAATAGTACGGATTCTCAGACTAAAATGCTGCGTTATTGGAAAAGGGTAGGCATGTGATGGTTATCGACCGAACGTTATGTCCCGTACAAGTAGAATGGACATTACTTCCAGATCTGGGAATAAGAGGCGTTTCTGCCTTCGGTATGGCTAGTACATCAAAGAGTATTCTTACCCTGGCATGAGCCTAGTTATGTTCTCATAGGAATACCGATTGCTGAGCTGAATCTAGTGAATTAATACCAGCCCTCAGGCCGATAGCTTCGTTTATGTAATGCGGCTAACCGTTTACATAAGGTTTGATCATGCGAGGTTGATACATCGATGACGATTGAATGATGACGGAACTGCACCCTCGTTATTTCGACAGTCCTCATAATTAAGATTATTGAAATTTGCATGAAGCCCATAAGTGATGAAGTTGTCGCAGTAAATACTCATGGGCTGGTGACCGGCCGGCGGCACCACACATTTTTCGTGTAATGGATGGCTCAATGCAGCCCTGCAGATATGTTTCACGACATGTGCGCATGCAGCCCCCTTCAGGCTACTCCACATTCTATGTTGCCCTGCAGTACGTAACCCCTCAGAGACCTCGACCGTCAGTAGCAGGAAACCCCATCTGTGAGATTTGTAGCGCAGAATGCTTCGTTGTAACTGAACCTTACCTTGCGGAAATGTACCCCATGTGACTAACATTATGAGCTAAGATTTAGTTAGGATGAGACAAGAGATATGTGAGATCGAATCTGAGGGGCGCATCTTACTGCAGACTTGGACATTTGAGGCGTAGCGAAGGTGTTTGCAATTTTGTGGCCTCAGAAAGATCTCTATGTTTTGTCTACCACGTCTATGGAAAAGCTCAGAGAGCTAATAGCCACTATGCGGGCCATGTACTCTAAAAATGATAGCAACCCACTTTTGGGTTCTTTGTTGCGGCAGCCCCAGATTCTGATATACACATGCCAAAAAGAGAGGGAGTTGGAAGAGGTAGGTACAGCTTAATCCCGTTTAACGCCAATGACACCCACTCTGCGCATTCCTCCTATGCACACTAGACAGATAAACATCATCCAGCCAAACATAGTCCAGAAAGAGACTCTATACCCTTTCATGAGGGCGACAGGCGAAGATTTGTCGGTGTATTCAGACTGATTAGTCACGGACGAGGCAATGACTTGAGTTACGCTCATTCCCATCGCAGCGCCTAGCTGGGCACAGGTGTTGAATACAGCGCCGCCCAGGGCCTGTGTATGCTTAGGAAAGACATCGGAAATGATTAACAGGCCGACGGTGAACAGAATATCGCAACTGATTGGTGTAAGGATCTAGTGACGAGGCATTAGTGGTCTGGCGACGAAAGATCTGGAGTTCATTCTAGCAGAGGAGGAAACATTGCTTGCGAGTTGAGTGCAGTGATTTAATTGCTTACCTGTGCGAAGAAGGCGTTTTCCCAGTACAGCTGATCTACCCGGATGAGGGCCATCAGAAGCGGTGCCACGGTACTCATTGCTGTTGAGATCAACAACATCCACAAGACTGGCATGCGGTGCACGAATAGTCCTGTTGCAATACTAGTAAGTGCACCGGCGACGAGGGACGGCACAACTTGGAGTGACGCCTTGGTGGCGGAGCTCCCTTGAACCTGTTGGAAGCTGCAATGTATTTGTAAGGGCTACTGCCGATGCGAAGGAGGAGGGCGGGTGACTTACAACAGACTACTGTACAGCTCCATACAGTTTGTGAGGGCATTGGTGAGAAGTACCATGATGCAACAGCTGGTAAAAACATGACTACGCCAGAGAGAGTTAGGGATCAGGGCTGTCTTGTTGTTTTTAACTCGGTAGTGCATCCAGGCAATGAAAGATGGAATGGAGCATGCAGCTATGATAACCAAGGCAATGGTAGGGGCCTTGCGGATGCTATTAATATCGGCTGATAGAGATCTTGGGCTGGTCAGCTGCTTATGTAGTTTGCTAGGGGAGGATCAAACACATACGCCAAAACATACGACAGGGTCGCCAATCCCGTGCTCGCCAGAAGTACTCCAACAGAGTCAATCTCCGAGGCGAGTCGCTTCGGGATTGAAGGGCCAGAAGAAGACCGTACATCCTTTGGCAAAGCCCAGATCGCAAGAACAAACAAAGTCCCACTGGCAGCCGCAGCAAAGTAAAAAGCTGGTCGCCATCCGACATTATCAGTGAATACTCCGCCCAGAACCAGACCAGACAAGAAGCCTAGAGGCTGGGAAAACCCCATGAAAGCAAAGCCCATGTTTCGTGGCCGTCCCTCTCCAATGTTGTTGGAAATCATGGAAATAGACGAAGGGGTGATGACGGCGTACGTGACGCCCTGCAGGGCGCGGAAAGCAATAATTTGGCCCCCAGTCTGGGACAAACCGCAGGCCATGGTAAATATGGCGCTGAAGAAGGACCCGGCAAGGTTCACCCTTTTGTTGCCAACGACGTCGGCAATGGAACCGGCCAGCAAAAGACAAGATCCCGCTGTGAGAAAGTAGCTGGAACTGGGCCAGACAAGAAGACCCTCATCCAGGCCTAAGTTGTGTTGCATGGCGGGCAAGGCGACGACGACGATGCCATTGCAGAAGCTACTGAAGAACAGTTGGCCACAGACCTGGGTGATGACAATGGCAGCACGGCCCTTGGAAAGCAGAACCGGCATCATCGCCGACGTCTCAGTCACTAGAGGTATGCCGGGCGATACTGCCATCTGCGTAGGGGCTTCATGGCTTTTTCGAAACGCGGCACCGGATGTTGACGCGATAGGCTCGAACGTCTGCAATTCGGTGGCGGTTTGGGTAGCCATTGTTTTGGGAGGTCCGCAGCAGCGGATGGGCGAAAGGGGTTAGACTGAGTGGTTTTTGCTGCTGGTGACTCCTAAGACAGCTGAGCAGTCATTCCAAGAGCTCACATGCATGCAGGTTGCAAGAAAATGTGACGGTCAGGAATTGGATGGTTGAAGCATCATTTGACCGACATTTAGTCAAAAGGCGGAATTACAATTCCGAAAAAAAGGGATTTTCGTATTTTAGCGCGCCCTTCCATTGACTGGGTTATCCGGTTTATTTCAATAATCTTATATGTGCTACTTACATATTATGGTTCTCATTAATTTCATGACTCATATCCGAGGGCTCCGAAATAGCTCTTGACGTGTGGCACAGTAAGTTGGCTTGCGAGTAATCAAAGGGACGAACGAAACATCTTGCTACTTCTGGGGAAGAGGGTCAATGATATCGGGACGGTTCGTAGATCGCCCATTAACCCTTCAAAGAGATGAGGCGGCAACAGTTCTGTAATAAGGGAGAATCAAATATATACGCCAAAACATACGTCAAGGTCGCAGTCAGCTCATTCTTCGGATGGACCACCGCGGAAGTAATCCAATCTCAGAAGGCTCGCCCCGCTTCCGTACATTGGGCTGATTATTCGGGCCTGTGCCACGCCTCCTCCCCCGCGTTTACCTGGCCATTAGGAGGGGTTAAGAGATATTTACTAGTATCCCACGCAAAGACTCGCCAGTCTAGTCAGCCCAACAGGCAATTGACGATGAAGCAAGTTCACAAATGACAGCCAGGTAGTCAGAGTCGTATGTCTCCCAAACTAAGGAATACTTAGATAATATTTTAAAAGAATCCGGCAGATTAGTGCCGTGCGCCTATCGTGCCACGTACAGACTTATATACCAGTTGTCGGAAAATTATCTATATGCTGAATAGGCTTCGAATTCCCAGGTACACAGAAGGCTGCTCATCGTAAAGCAAAAAATAAGTATCAATGAAACAAACTACCCAAGTTACTGCTCATCGAAAGCAGACAGTTTTGGCCACTTTGTTGTGAATGATGCACGAACCAATATCAAAATGAATCTTTGGAGGGTTTTAGATTTTGAGCGGAAATTTTCATGCTCTCATTGATTCTATGAGGGCATTGCTCAAGTATGCCAGGCTTAATCACTATTAAGTGTATGTGTAACAGACAGTCGCGGCTACTCACTGCTTCCAGAAAGAGTGTACCGCGTTATTATGGCAGGCAAGAACCCTTACTTTATACCTTGCAAACGTCTCTTTAAATCGGCTAAAGCTGATGATGAAGAGAGTTGATAACCCTAACCCTTAGCACATCAAGAATTACCAGCTGACATCATAGGAGATGAATCTTTACCGGATCCGGAGTTTGATTCTGGACGCTGCATTATATCCATCACTTAAAACGAACCGACTCTCAAACTCGGCTTTATTAATGTCATTCTTCGATACACCGACTGCTAGCACAGATAAAACGTCAGGCACTGTACGACCGGATGCAGGGATTGGAAAGTGCCTGCCTTGATGACTGTGTTTGATTAGGGTTCACAGTAAAAATTGTGAATCAAGTAATATGTAGAGTCCGTTGACGAAGCGACTTGTTGCTGAAAGTCTGCGTCTTACTTAGTGGCTCACTGTGCTGCAAAGGAAGACTTCATAATCCTTAATGTGGTGTAATTACTACACAAATCCATGAGATCTCCCGCGATGTTAAACGGAAAGATGCTAAAGACCAGAAGAAGCGCCGTTCGCAATGGCTAAACCCTCCATTGAATGGACCGCGATGTAGAATAGTTTGATGACGTGCCGCGTCATGTTGACACGTAGTCCATGATGGAGGTTGAGTCAAAAGTGGCAAGGTAGAAGAAAGACGATGTTCACATAGCTTTTGATTTGTGCTTTTTGTAGTATGGGGTGAGAAGCGGCGTGTTTGGCCTTACTTTCACAGCATCGGGTCTTACGATAAAGCTATCCTAATGGCGGATAACAAACCCAGGTTTACTGCTGGAGGTGAGGAGGCTGGTAAAATTCGCACTGACGAAGACATTCATGTGAGCCTAGTCTAAGTGAACAACTGTCTAGTGGTTTTAGTGACATGCCCCCACTTGACTTGGCCACAGTAATGCAACTATGCTTAGATGCAGAGCGTAGCTTATTCTGCCGATGATAGATGTACAACCCATTGAATACGAGGTGAACTAAACCGTTTGAGAACAGAAATGGTCCCGGTTGTGGACGAATGATATGAAAAGTGGCAAAACTCAAGAAAGATTAATAAAACTTGTAATGGAAATGCCCTGTGGTGTCCACTCAGCCCTTGATCAAGCCCATATATTCATGTTAAGCTATTTCTAGTTCTCACGCTCCCTTTTGCCATGAAGATACTTCAAAAATACTTCTGGATGATGCGTGCTTACTTAAAGGTCATAAAATAAAGGTCTGGAGCTAGCCACGTCTATCTTGAATCTTTCGGACTATTCCATGAATTACCTAGGTAATCTGGACCAGAATTGACGAAGACTTAGAGGCTTAGACATCCCTCTCCATCAGCGCCGTGCTCTACTGCCGTATACTCGATGTGGACTCGGTTGTTGCATTTCGAAAGTTGGCGATAGAACTCGCTTCACTCAACCGATATGACAATAATAATGAAGCTTTCAGCAACTGGCTGTGAGATTATTCACATAAATCCGTACTTTGGATCAAGGACCAAAGACTCCGCCAAATAAAATAATCAGTTCGTTGGCGTCATCCACCCGGGAGGGTCCCGGAGCCAGGGCCGTTCATGCCAGAACAGGGGTGGTGTGGGGGCTGGAAATATCGCCGAATGCATGCAGCTCAAGGCGAGCCGGATATGAATGGATCATGACAATGCAAGGAGCCCATTGGATAACTCGACAGTCTTGCAACCCCCCCCCCTTCTGGTCTGGTCTAGCTTTCTTGTCACGATCGAGAAGCTTTTTTCTGCCAAGCTAACACGCTAGTCACCCACAACGGGCGCTCATCGAAGCTTGACACAAATGGAGGACACACATTCACCCAAAAAAATTGGAACCGAATTGTTTTTAAGTATTATGTAATCTGGTTGAATCAAACCAGATTGTGTATTTTTTTATTACACTTGCTAAAATCACTACCGCTTGCTTTTTGACTTTTATTGGGGTGAAATGCTTAAACCCCAATCACAAATTACTTCATATTACCCGATCAAGCAGAAGAGTCTTCTGGCTTCTGCTCGATGTAGTCGGCCTTGTTGCCAGGCTTCTCGGTTTCGAACTCCTGGGGCATCGCAACGGGGCGGTTCTTGGCGAAACGCACAGTAGCGAAGACGGAAGGCGATTGGCGGAAGAGCATGTCGATCTCCTCGAGGTTGCGACCCATGGTCTCAGGGAAGAGGAAGTAGACACTGATGGGGATGCAAGCAGAGATGACGGCGTAGACAATGTAGTACTGGTAGCCAATGGTGTTAAGAGCAACGGGGGTAACCATGACGACGATGAAGTTCCTAAGGTATTTTGTTAGTCAATATGTTTTTTGAAAGATTTTCGAGTGGTAGACTTACCAAAGCCAGTGGTTGGCGGTGGAAATGGAAGACATGGCCATGCGGAGTCGGATGGGAGCAACCTCAGTGCAGTAAAGGAAGTTGGCGCCCAGGAAGCCAATTGGCACGAAGGTGTTGAACAGGTAGATGAAGCAGCCGGCAGCAATCTGGGCAGCCTTGTTGTCCTTGGGGAAAGAGGTCGTGATGGCCAGAGACATCATGCAGGCAGCCATGCCGAAACCGCTGAAGATGAAGACGGCGCGACGACCGAAGCGGTCAATGGTGAAGAAGGCAATGAAAGAAGAGAGGAACTTCCACGTAAGAGCACCTCCAGCAAGGGCGCGGGAGGACTCGCTGTTCATGCCAAGGTTCTGCTGGAACAGGATGGGCGCGTAGACAGAGACGAGGTTGCTGCCAGACATCTGCTGGTAGAACTGCAGGAGAATGCAGAGGCCGAAGCGGTAGAGAAGCTTGTCATCGCCCATCTTGAGCATGTCGGTAAGCTTGGCAGCGTTCTGGGTGGTCTCCTCGAGGGAGTGCTCAATGCCAGCAAGCTCGGCCTGGACCTCGATGGAGTTCTCGTCGAGGCCACGGAGAGCGGCGATGATACCGCGAGCCTGCTCAGATCTCTGCTTCATGACCAACCAACGAGGGGACTCGGGGAGGAAATAGATGCTGCCCATGAGAACCAGGGAGAAGAAGATGGCAATGGCAATAGGAGGACGCCAGGTGACGGGGCCGGTCTTGAACTCCCAGAAACCCAAGTTGATCCAGCTCTCAAGGACATATCCGACGCAAGTGAAGAGACCAGTAAGGACGACATGTTTACCACGGTTCTTGGCCCCAGAGGTCTCGGATTGCCAAACTGGGACGATGGAGGACAGCTGGCCGATGGACAGACCGACGATAACGCGGCCAACGATAAGCTGAGCGAGCGAGAAGGCAGAGCACTCGAGGACCTCGCCGATAAGAGAGCAGACACCGGCGAAGAAGATGATGTTTCGACGGCCGAACTTGTCACCGGACCAGGAGCATGATAGGGAACCGATCAGAGCACCAATGGTGAAAGTCGCAACGACAAAGCCCTGAAGCGTCGAGTTCTTGTTCTTGGTGGAGCCGGTGGTGTGAACCGTATCGATCTCAGGGAAGGTCTTGGTCCAGTCCTCCGTGGTGAGCAAGCCACCAAGACCAGCCTGGTTGTATCCGAAAAGAATAAACGACGGACAGACGATCAGGGCGATCTGAAGAACGCTCAGGGCCTTGCCCGTGAGGCCGAAGAAGTTTGCGCCCATTGTCGACGGCTGATATTTTGTACGCACGGATGTTGCCCGAGCACTTGGGAAAAGATAGGTACAAGATACAGCCGGGGGGGTGTCTAAGGGGGGAGGAGGGACACACAGTCGACGAGGATGGGATAGAGAACCAAAGAGACGATCTCATAGAGAGAGGATGGCCTCTCTCTTAAAAGGAATTTCAGACACCGCTCGCGTTCATCTCATTATGACCCTTGTGGGGAGAGGTGTGCGGAGACCCCGCGGGATTCTGACCGTAAAGTCAGATTCATAATCCAAAGCAGCTTACTTCTCCGTTCGTAAGGACCGGACGTGTGGAGGGCCGAAAAGATGGAGAAACGTTGAGGAGAATCAAAGGTCTGGAGTGTGTCACTGGGGCCCTGGAGGAGCTCTACCAGGTCGCCTGTGTCATCAATGCCGAACGCGCTCCGTTGTGCGTGGCCGGGTGAGTCGGCCAGGGCTCACGACGGAAGTCGACCGAGGGCAGCCACACCCGTTCCGTCTGATGACTTTAGAAGACCTCCTTCATGGAGACATTCAGATGGGTTGTCGTCCCACCTGCTGGAGTATTGGTCGCTTTTTTCATAAAAAAATCCTCCTGGGGTCCGCCTTGGTGCTTTTAATCCCTCTCACTATGATCTGCATCTGCGGAGTCGGCATTTGCGTCGGTCCAACAGCGTAAACAACTAATAGAATCCATCGTACTGGCCTCAATGCAAGTCTTAGTGTTTGTCGGATGCAGTGGAGAGTTTAGTGAAGAAAAAAGTGAGTTCAAAATGTCCCACAAGGGGGCATATCGCGCTTTGGATGAAATGTCGTTGAAGTTGTTCACAATCATGGGGTTGACGCCATGGAATGCGGCGAAAATTAAGCACAGCCAAGACGGCAGACCGCGGTCGCCAAGGCCCCAACGTCAGCCAAGAGGCGACCTAAAGGTCCGATATCAGTGGATGAGCAGGTAGGTGAACCCCCACGTCACGAACACATGGCTGACTCGTGAAAGCGGCGAACGGGGATAACGGCCTAAGTCCAACAAGAACTTTTTATCCCGTCTAGCACAGCGCAATCAAACGACGAACTCAAAACATAAGCTATCCCTCCCCCCTTGAAATCAGTAGATTCATTTCTGTTGTATTACATGTTGTGGACGTGACAAAATATTTAAGTATTTGGGGGCTGTTTTTGTGTTCCTCATCTCAACCGGCCTACCCTTGGTACTTTGAATGACGCGACGAGCGAGCCGATCGGCTTCGCCTTTGGGTCGCCTCCTTTTTTCGCAGCTAGTAAACGCCCGATGTAGTTTGACCTTTAGCAAAGCGGCAATAGGGATTGGAGCATGATCCTACATGCGAGATTCGGCATTCCACCCGCCCCAGCCAGACTGGTTTGCAGCCTTCGGAGGATTACCGAGCCCACCTTGCAATGCGGCAACGGTCCAGCAAAAAGCAAAAAATCTTTCATGACTGTCCACCACGTTGCCTCAACAAGTAGGAGAGCCAAGAACAGAAACTTGAAACGTGGAATCTTGCCAGCTTCTGATCAATTCCGATCAGTTCGATGTGACAGTAAATAATGTGTCAATTATCGACCATGGTCCCACCCTGTTGCACAAGCTTTCTCAGGGTCTTATGATCAACTCCTTGGTGAACCCGCAACGTGCCTAGAAAACCTTTTCGTCCTTCGTGTGGCATCTCGTGTGCCATCTTCAATGTTTACTCCAACATTTGCGCCCGTTGCCTCCGCCTCCGCATTCCAAAACCATCATCATCTTGCAATGCTTTCTCTCCACGGGCACAATCCCGCAGCGTGGCAGAGCGCGGGGGATGGGTCCAGGTCTGTAACTTCCAAAGGTCAGCAAATCATCGGATGGCATGAAGTGCGGGATGGTTTTCTAGCGTAACTTACATTCCGTCTAGTTTTCGTGCTGCCCACTTTGCCAAAGGTCAGAAACGCGAACAGCATGGCGAGATAACGCAGGCCTCCCCGCGGGGTGATCGTCTTCCCAACGGGCAGAGCGGGCGAGAAATCACGAACGAAGTTGCGAACCGTGCCCCCCCGTAATGCTCTGAAACCTTAGAAGAAGAGCGGTTCCGTGCCTTTCTCGTCCCCCGGATTCGGGGTGAAGGCGCACATGAGCTTAATGCCGCCGAGATGCCAGCGCGCGGACCCGTATGCGCACCCCGTGGTTGTCTTGATGCTCTGCTTGAACGAGGCTGCCTTGAAACTGGCTGGACGGCCATATTCCCCTCCTCGACATAGCCAGACAGTCTGGCGCTAGCCGTTGAGCATACGAAAATTCAAATGACGTCAAGCAAAGTGGAAATCGGAGAGTCTCCGAAGTTGACGACAGGTAGCACCTGGATTGTCATAATTGTTCCCATACAGGGTAAGTGACAGCTGGATTAACGGCAGCTTCGGGTGTTTGGGTCAGATAAGCCCAGGCTTAGGAAAGGAGAGCGAGCCCGCCAAATCAAGTGAAGGATATTTCAAAAAGGAGGGCCACGCTCAGTGCAAGGCCATGTGTGCATCTCCCTGTGCAAGTTGGCCATGCACATAGTGGATCCAACGCCGATGGCCACAAGTTGTCAGCGGCGCATCTTTGTGCTTCAAATGAGCCAACGAAACGGGGAGTATACCGGAGAAACTTCATTCGTGATGTGCGGCCAAGTCTGTGAATGTATTTGGCGAACCAACAAGTGCAGAGTTTATTGAATAGCCGAAGCTTCAACTCGATTTAGATTTTGGAGCTGAAAATCGGCATATCGGTCTATGCTGGACACAAGCATGCTGAAAGCCCTGCGCCCGCTCTTGGTCTACACGACGTCGTGGCCCAGAGAAAGCAAGGGTGCTGACGTTCAATACGCAGCCTGCGTACTGGCAGCAGAGATTTTGGCTTTTCAATACAAAATTGAAACCTAAAAACACCCCTTATTGTTTACTCGGTTGCTGGCCATACAACGGTCTAATTTGACCAGAGACAAATAGACTGTCCCCAACTTGGGTACAATGCAGACCTTCAAATACGGGCATATGCGCGGTATTACAACAAGTTTGAACCACTGCAGCGGACAGTTTCTAAGCCTCTGCGGTTTGTTCATACCGGAATTTTCTTTATCACATGGTCTAAGTTACATCCTGGTTACTGCAATTCTGTCTCTTATCAAATGCTTGTCAATTGAATCTTGCTTTCGGACATTTTTGTCTGTAAAGCCCTGGTAAGGCAAAAAATAGCTGTCAATATCAATTTTTTACTACCCCAGTAGCTTGCATTCATACGGGAAAAAAAAAAAGGATGTATAACTGTGTGTCTGCCAGTAGTCATGCCGCAGTGATCTTTGCCAAGTCTCGCAACTTGCATACTATCACTTTAGTCAGGGGCAATACCGGCAATACCACGTTAGCTTGGAAATAGTTTCACGCGGAACAACACATACCTCAGAGAACAGTACAAATTTTCGGGTTATATTACCTAGTTGTGGTGAACCGAGCAACTGGTCTGAAAATAGATGAACGGAAGAACTCACGCTAAGTAGCCAAAGCGATTGCCTGCTGCAAGCACGTTGCGATCTGCAGATCCGATCAGCAAGGGGACTGGGGTAGAAACACCGTTAGCATGTCCGTCCCCTCGGATAGTTCCTTGTAGAAAACGCTTAGATGCGTAGTCATGCAGGTATATCGGCCACACCGGCAGGGGCAGGGATAGGTCTGCACCATGTTTCATTGCTGATGGCAAGGTAGTATCGAGAAGGACTTAGCGTCTATAACAGATGGCGACGGGACAACACAAGCTTTTGCAATATGGCACTGCATTATAGAACGACAGAAATTAAATAGTGCCGATCTTTTGGTACGAGTAAGGAAGTTCATATTTGCAGTTTTTGAACAACTCACAAAATTGAATGCAAGTGTGCCCCGATACTATGCCCAGTTACATTAGAAAAGAAAAGAACAGAAAAACAGAAAAATACCAGCTCTAATGCTAGACTTGTAACAATGCGCATTTGGATACTTGCAGCTAAAAACAGAAAAAGACCCAACAATGTTTACCTTTGGTGCCCCCTGAAACAAAGTACACACAATAAAGTTTACCGGACAACATCTCGTCTTCAAATCGTGAAAGACTTTAGGAGTGAATTGCCTACCTTTAACGAACAACTAAGGCGTCTCTCACTGAAGTCACTTGCTAGAACGGTATTATAAAAACGTAGCATTAATATAACGATGTAAGTGCCTAAGAGTCATCGCTTGCTCGCTTGCTGTACTGAAAGATAAGAGGAAGAGAAAAATAAAAAAATAGATGTATGCCGCCACACGCCAAGCCTTCCGTATGCGTTGCACCCCAACACATGGGTATTTCCATCCATGACCGTTTAACCCCAGACTCTAACGCCCCCTGTTAACCCCCTTACCAAGCCGTCTTCGCAAAGAAACTGTTGGGCCACGCGCGCACTGCATATTTTCTCGCCTCGTCAATGAGCAGGATACCGAGGCCGAAAGCCATGGGCAGGAACCAGTACTCGACGGGGACGATGGCCGTGCCGAGGGTTTCCTGGAACTCGGGCACGTACAACCAGAAGAAGACCATGACGAGGGAGAAGAGGACCGCAGGGAAGAGGTACCAGTTCTGGGTGCGCTTGTTGCCGACGGGCGGGTGCTGGAACAGCGACAGCCGACGGGTGCGCACGGCGAGGAGGTTGAACCACTGCATGACGACCAGGTTGACAAAGTAGATGGAGCTCGCGACGTTGAGTTTCTGCTGGTAAAAGTCCTGGTCGATGGAAGAAGGGAGGTCGCCAAAGGAGAACCAAATGTCGGTGAACTTTATGCCGTTGCGCTCGAGGTACCAGTACGACATTGCGAAACTCGCGAGGGTCTCGAGGACGCCTACGAGGCCATAAGCCTGGACGACGAGCTGCCAGTCGACGAGGCGGTCCTTGCCGGGGACACGGGGCTTGCGGAGGAGCACGTCGGCCTCGGGCGCTTCGTAGGCCATGGCGATGGCGGCGGCGGCGTCGGTAAAGAGACAAATGATGATCATGAGGAAACTGCTGAGGATCTGCGGGATGCCGAAGAGGACGTTGGTCATGACGGGCCAGAACTCGGAGAAAGATCCGGCGGGGAGCAGGTACGCGACGGTCTTCTTGAGGTTGTCGAACATCATGCGGCCGTACCTCAGAGCCTCGACGACGCTGGAGAAGGAGTCGAGCAGGACCATGTCGGCGGCTTCGATGGCGATGTCACTCCCGGATCCGAGAGCAATGCCGACGTCGGCGGCGCGCAGGGAGGGCGCGTCGTTGACGCCGTCACCGGTCATACCCACGATTTGGTGACGGGCTTGGAGCTCACGTACGATGCGGAGTTTCTGTTCGGGCGTCGTGCGTGCGAAAACAATCTCTTGGTACTGCGCCAGCTGGTCCCACTGGTCGTCGTTGAGGGTCATCAGGTCGGGCCCGGAGAGGACAATCGCCTGGCGAGGGGAAGATTCAACATCGTCCATGTGGGGCTTGAGGGAGGGATCAACTGTTGTATTGCGTCGAAGGGCCGAAATGTCGTCAATCTGCGAAGGAGGGACGCTGATGATGTTGCACTCGGCCGCGATGGCTTGTGCAGTAAGGGCGAAGTCACCAGTAACCTAGCCTGGGGTTAGCAGTTGATCATGGTATTTCAGTGCCAACATATCACTCACCATGAAGATACGAATGCCGGCGCCGCGGAGTGTGTTCATAACCTCTGGAATCTCGGGGCGAGGAGGGTCGACGATACCAACGATGCCAACCAAGGTGAGACCGGACTTGGCCTGGTTGTTGATCTCCATCTCGTAAGCGCTGTCAGAAGGATGGCTTTTCAGAGCGGATCTGGAAATGGCCTTGCGCGCAAGAAGCAAAACTCTGCGTCCCTGGGCAGACCACTCATCCTTGATCTTCTCGATGGAAGCACGCGTTGCTGGGTCCAAAGAAGTGGTGAATCCAGAAGGGCTGACATAGTTGCTCAGTCTGCTCATGAGAATCTCAGGGGCACCCTTGATGGTCAAAAGGCTACAAAAGCAAGTCAGCTTATCTCCTTTTTCTTTTTTGCAGCCTTCTGTCAGAGCACTCACACATCACCAGGCTGAAAGACTGAGGCAGTATCGGAAGGCAGGGCAAGCGACAACCCGTCAGGGTGGGCCAGGCCCAGAGCGCGGATCATGTACTTGTTCTTGCTGTTGAATGCAAGCTCGTACTTGGTAGACCAGCAACGGCGCAGCTCAGAAACTTGTCCCAAACCCTCAGAGAAGCGCAGAATGGCCTGATCCGTGGCGTCACCGTGGATAACACGCTCGTGCAGGGGCAGGTGCCTGGTTGCAGCGTCGAACTGTCCGGCGTTGCAGAGACCCGCAATGCTTCGAAGCTGGTCAAGGGCGTTGTTGTTGGGGGAATTGTGCTTGTTCACCGCGAGGGTATCTCTGGCAGTCTGAGCTGTCATCTTGTTCGTTCCTATGGCGCATTCGGTAACAATCATTTTGTTCTGACATTTTGTTAACTTGTTTTTGTCTCCTCTGCGTCAATCTGTTAACTTACCTGAGTCAGGGTACCGGTTTTATCGGAGCAAATGATAGACACGGATCCCAAGGTCTCGACAGTCTTGAGCGACTTGCAAAGGATCTTGTTCTTTCGCATCATGTTGGCGCTGATGGTCATGCTAGCCGTCAGGGCTACGGGCAGGCCTTCGGGGATGAAAGCCACAGCAACCGACACGCAAGAGATGATCAAGTTGGGCACATTAATCCAGTTGGGATGCTCTTTTCTTAACCAGGCAGCCCTGCGCGCACGCGATTTATCAGCAAACTGTCCACTTCAAAGCCATCATGTTTATGCACTTACCAGACAATCAAGACGAGAGTGATCATGAGGAACATGATGGAGCAGATGATGAGCACAAAGTGCAGAACCTCGCGCTCTAGTGTCGTCAAGCCCTTTTTCGGCTCGTTGGTCAGCTTCGCAATGCGGCCAAAGATGGTGTTGTCACCCGTAGCCACGACGACGCCAGTGCAAGTACCAGAGACACAGTGCGTGCCCTGGAGACCGATGCATCGCGTCTCGAGGTAGTTGTTATCACTGGAATCAACAGCAGCGGGCAAAGGGACCGATTCGCCTGTTTTTTGATCAACACATCAGCATACTATTTATCCTAATTCCCACACATCGCAACAGAACAAAGCAAGAACCTTGACTCACCAGTCAGGATGGACCTGTCAAACTTGGCATCCGATGACACCTTGAGGAAGCGCACGTCGGCAGGCAGTTTGTTGCCACTCTTGACGATCAGGATGTCTCCGGGTACGATCTGATCAGCTACGAGCTCGACCTGGTTGCTATCGCGGATGACCATGCAGTTGTCGGGAAGCAGAGTTTTGATAGAGTTCATGACACGCGAAGAGGACCAGTCCTGCCACATGTTGAAGCCGGCTTGGATGAAGAAGACGGCGAGCAACACGATGGCGAGGGCCAGGTTGGCGATGGCGGGCGGGCTACCGAGGGGCTTCCAGGCGATGAAGACAAGGATAGACGCCACAAGCAGGACCGTACCGAAACCCTTGAAGAAGTACCCGAGAAACTTTTTGGTATTGTGCGAGGGAGGGGGAGAAGGCGCGTTCTTGCCATAGTGTGCCATGCGGCGCTGGATCTGGTCCGGGGAGAGGCCATCGGTGAGGGAGGAGGAGAGGCGGCGGAGGATCTCATCGACGGACAGAGTGTGCCACTCAAGTTCCGAGAGCTCTAAGCAAAAAAAAAAAAGAGAACAAGAGTTAGCACGTTGCTGTCATCACATTGCACACTTGGGTTGTCTGCGTTTTCTTCACGAACCTGTAGCGACGTTTTTGGCCTTCTTGACCGCTTCGGTTTTAGTCTTGAACTCTTCTATCTCAATGGACCTTTTTTTGACATCAGCATCAAGCCGATGACATTTTTAATCTTTTTATTTTATTTTCCATTGATTCTCATTTGCTTTTCCTCTTGGGCTTGAGGGTTAGTAAAAGACTGTTGGACTGCGCTTACACCGTGCGGTATTGAATGGGAAGCTCGGTAGCGACATCAATGGAGTTGCGTCGAGAGCGAACCGAGTGAATCGACATGGAGGTGTTTGAACGAGCATGATGGAGAGCAGGAGTAGGGCCAGAGCGATGAGGCTTCCTACCGGCCTCCTCGTCGGCATCCCAACGAATTCGTTCACCTCCTTGAGCCGGCTGGCTCTCGGTTTTGGGCTCAGACTCGTCCATGGCCTGGTTGAGGGGAGTGGGGAGTTTCTTCAACACGGATGGGGGTTGTGGAAAGGGGCTTAACAGAGGGTGCAAGAAGACGATGGTTCTCTAGACGAGCAATGTAGTGTTTTGTCTGTAAGACGAGGAGAGAAGGGAGAGTCCGTGAGAAAGAGAGGGCGAGCTTGGGAACAGTTCTGGACTACAAACGCCCTTTACACCGCAAAGCCGGCAGGGTCTTATATACACTTTTGCGCGTGGACAACGTCAAGGCATGACATGGAAGGGACCGGACGCAGGAAGGGACGGTCGCAAGCAGATCTATCATGGGTCTTGGCATTTTCCATCTGCAAATATTTACGAGAGACCAACCCAAACTCAGTCATGAAAGGTGGCACATCCGCCGCAGCGGAAATTGCGGCATCCGCAGATATCACATGGCATGGGCTGTAACGCTTTGCTCGAGTTGGATCGACTTACTTGGGACGGTAAGTAAGAGGTAATGGAAACATAGCACAAAGATAGAATTTGGGGGGGTGGTTTTGCAACGGCGGTTTTTTTTTTTTTTTTTTTTTTTTTTTTTTTTTGGTAAGTCCCTCATATTCCTCTGACACCAGGGGGGAGAGGGAGTGAGGAGACTGACTAGAGATGGGAGAGGAATGGGGGATGGTATGGGGGTGTGCACATTACAACAAGTCAAACAGGAAAGTGTAGCCTAGAGGGAAAAGCCGCCTGAGCCTTGATCCATCAACGAACAAAAGGGCCATGTAAAGGAAGCCGATGACAGCGACGTGCGAAGATGGATGGAGGTTAGATGGGCGTTGTATCTGAGAGGCTAAGAGGCGGTGAAATGGCACAGCAACTCCAACGTGCCCGCCGTACTGTGAGCGACAGAGCGGGATGCCTCCCTTTAGCCTCACTGCAAAGGGCAACGGACGGGGGGGGTGATGATGACGATGATGCAGAGTCAGTCAGGTTCAAGCTCTTTTGTGGCCGTGGGCTAAGCCAGGCCGGGTCAAGAAAGCCGGATTGCTGTTTTGAAATGAGTGGAAAGGGGAGTGAGAGCGTGTCACAGAAAACAACGTTACGTGGTGGTGCGGCCGCAATGGCAAGGCTGGGCTGGCGCTTATTGCTGGAAGGGGGTAGAGGGAGAGGAGACGGAGAGTAAGAGGAGTAAAGGGCAAAGAAAAAAAAAAGGATGGCAATGCAAGAATAAATCGCTCATAGAAAAGCAGGATAGTGTTGATGCGAAATTACAACGAGTTGAAGTCGTTGGAGTTGGATATCCAAGTATCTCTTGGCACAAAGGCGGCTCTCTTGTGACTTGCCAGTGACAACCAATCAAGGTTTTGTCGCATCCTGCCCCGTGCTTTTTTATTTTTATTTATTTTCACCCTTTTCCACACTCCTCTCGTTGCACACGCCTCTCTCCTTTGCTTCTGCCCTAGACTAAAGCATGGGATGGGTATGTACCCCGGCCCGTGAACTTGCTTAAGAACGGGATGGGAGGGGGGAGGGGGATGAGATGTGGATGTGGATACTATTATGTAGAATCCACTTTTGGATTTGCGGCCTTGTATCTTGTCTTGTTGCCCCCCCGGCCGAGTGTCTAGTTGACGAGGGTGGGTGGATGACGGAGACCACGCGGGAGAGGCAAGTGAGAGAGATACATGACTGAGTGAGAGTGAGAGCGAGAGAGAGTGAGAGTCGGAGGGAGTAAGGTCCCCTAACCCTTCCACCATCTACGCCCTAAGATAGTTCACACCCTCCGTTGCCTCACCACCTCCTCCTCCTCACCTCTCCAGCCCTGTAGTGTCCTGACTCCATCCATTATGTGGTCAAGGCAACTTCCTAGCTGGGAATTAATAGATCAAGCTTCGGCAAAAGCAGAGAGATGGAGACCACTCTGGAGGGGGGGGTGCGGCCTCTCACCCACCTTTTGCTGGCCGTTGCATGCAGCGGCCGCTAAGCACCCACTCACTCACTCTCGCTCTCACACTTCACTTACAATAAATTACCGATAGTGAGTGCTGTACTATTATGCTCCGTACCCATGGGGCGGATGAGAAAAAAAATAAAGATAAAATAAAGAAGAAAAAATTCAAAGGGTCTGGTTGGCCAGCACTGCCACAATTCTGTTTCTCTTCCCCCCCAAATCCGTCCCCTTCTACCAATTTCCCTCACCTCACCTACTCCCTCCCCAAAAAAAAACCTCGCTTCACCCATTCCCTACCCAGCTCGCCCATTGTGTAATAGATACTGGGCCTGCCTCGGGTTGCTGCAAAGAGGCTAGCACCGATGACCCGGATTCCCACATTCGAGGGGGGGGGGGGGAGGCATAGCTCTTTCACAAGCTGCGCGTTTAATTGCTTTAGCTGCTGACCTTTCTCTCTCTCTCCCTCTGTGGGCTTGTTGGCAGTGCTGCAAGCTAAAATTCCCTTTCTACTCGGTCTGGAAAATCGAGGCGTCACCGCGTCATTGCTGGTCGGAGAGAACCTTCATCACTTTTGTTGCCAAGGCTCTTTGGAACCTTTATTTTTTTATTTGTTTGTTTGTTTTCCTGTCTAGGAACTTTCCCCAATATCCGCTACATGAAAAAGTGTCCGACGATTTCAACCCTCGGTAGCTCTCTGCTCTACTGTCCTTTGTTAGTTGCAGTTCACTGCCACCATTGTACAAATTCCCGGCACCGCCAGCATCGCCGATACCTCTTCTAAGTCGCCCAGCCATTCTAGACTCCCGCGGCCACCGCTCCTTGTTGTTGTTGCTGCTGTTGCTGGTGCTGCTTCTGCTGCCCTGTGGACCAGACCATGCCGTACCTTACCTTGCGTGGACGACGTATCGCTAGAACCTCCACAAGCCATTCCGCTTATTCGGTTGTTTAGCTCCTAGCTTGTAATCAGCTCCCGCTCCACGCCTCTTCCGTGCTTCTCCTTCGCTTGGCCGCTGATGCTGCTGCTGCTGCTGACGCTGCTCCCTTCCCGCCGCCAATAGTACTACTCGATCTGTACTTCATCAGCAGGTCATTTTGGCCGTAACCGTGAATATCCCTCCCCCAATTGGCCAAACCTGGTCTCTCCTCCCACCTCATCTTCAAAAAGCTCATCCAGCTTGTACGTACTAGTACTTTCCACACTGCCACAATTTTCCCCTCATCTTCAAAGGAACGCCGCCCTTTCTAACTAAACCCTCAAGCTAGTCATGCCAAAGACGAGGAGCAGCGTATGCAAGTGCTGCATCTGGTTCGGTCACCAATCAGTCTAAATCACCGCAGCGTAGCTAGCCAGCCAGTCACTTGCAGGTCTCCCAAATGTTTCAAGCCCACCTGCCGAGCATATACAACCCGGGGCCGGTCAACCAACCAGTTGTGGACGTTTACTGGGGTATGAGAAAGACCGGGGAATTAAAAAGAAAAAAAAAAAAAAAAAAGGTCACAGGCCCTGCCCCGACTGGATGGGTGCTTTGAGCCTTTTTTTTTTTTTTTTTTTTTTTTTTTTTTAACCCTTCATCACCCAAACGAGTAACCCTATGGGTAATGCTGCATCTTATTGTTGTTGTCTGATGTTGAAGAGACATCCACCTTTTTTTTCTGATTGTGTCTCTTCGAAACTAGTGCCGATCTCATCACGCGCCTGTAACTGCATTGTACTAGTAGGCGGCCTCCTGGCCTCGCACCCTGGTTCCTGTTCGTTCGTTAGGATTCTCCACGATTGCCCTGGTTCCTTACGGCAGACGAGATGCACCACACCCTTAAAGTCCCGCATGCCCAGACCGACATCTCTCTGCACCTCTTTTTGGGGTTGCTTGGAACGCAGTTAGGCGAGAGAACTGGTGGGTAGGGGTAGGTAGGTTTTCCCAGCCCCGACCCCAAGGGGCCCCCCCTCCGAGAAAATTGATTGACTGGTGAGAAAGACGAGGATCCTGCTCGCGTGAGAGAGGGGACAGACCCGACAGGACAGCATGTCGAGCCCCCTGGTAGACCCTCAGTACTAAGACGGACAAGACCTGCCCCGACACGCACACACACACCAGCGCATTACCGCCCATTCTTTTGGCACTGCACTGCAGTAACTGACTCTACTTACTGGCCATGTTCGTTGCTCTCATCCCCCTCCCCCCGTATCCGTACGTATTGAATAGCAAATGGATGTGCTGCCGCAATGTACGTACAGGCTGCGCATCCGTAACATTGCCAACAGACAAGAAAGGCGCAGCAGTCAGCCAACATGGCGGCACTGCAGCAGACCTGGAGCATCTAGACCGTGACCTCACGGGGGTCATGTACTATGTAAAACACGTAACGTGTATCGTATAGCCAGTCCGTGGGGTGCCGATTGCACCCGTAACAGGTTTAGAATACGTCGCTGTCGCTGAGGGGCGCAAAGAGGAGTAGCGCTCACAGTACCCCAATTCGTCACCGGCGTACGCCCGCACAAAGAAAGGTCGTGGGCCACGCACACCGTTCAATTTTACTCTCAGTCAGCCAGTACAGCGGCCCTGACTGCTCCCCAGCTTGCTTGATGACTGTTGCTGGACACTCAAGTCGGGGTCTGCCGACAATTTGAACCAAGGGCAACACGGACCACATCCCTAAATTTGGTGCCTGTTGTCAAGCGTTTTCGCATGTACAGTACTGCATAGGCATACGCATGGCATTCTTTGCCAATCCATGTCGACCATACTTACTGTTCCAGCCCAGCCGAAGTTAATGACCCAAGAAAGTAGTTTAGGTTAACCAAAAGGGACGGAAGGGAAAAAAAAAAAGGACAATAGGCGAGCCCGGCCAGACCAGACCGAAAGGCCTCGACTCAGTACAATACCCAGCCCGTTACCCCAAATTCATCCATCCATCCATTGTGCATTTTTCTTTCGGCACCGTGTCCACCTCATCTCATCCAGTCGAGTTCAATGAGCAAAGCACGTAAAAACTCAAAATTACCTCTTTTGCCCGTCAAGGGTGGCGCAACATGGCGCTGATTTATCCGACCCCCAGGCATAGATAGAAAGGAGGACCTTGTGGTGCACCGACTGGCTGGTTTCCCCTCATCCTTCTTCTGCTGCTCTTTGATCTGCTTCGAATTGTTTCGCTCCTTATCCTCTCTTCACTCCTCCAATATATTTCTCCCAGAACCTGTCCGTTTGTTGTTTATTTCTCTTACCCTGGCTTTTTCCCACTACCGCCACCGCCTCGACTTCCGGACGTGAAGGCCGGTCGCCCAACTGAATGACGTCGTTCCAAAGGGCCGACTCCGCTGCCACTGCTGCTGCGCCTCAATCGACCAGACCCCTACTGCACAAGTCAGTCTACTGCGTCCTTTCTGTGGTGCTTCCCACGTCGGTCCAGCCAGGTCGGTCCAGTCGCTGCACGGCTTCGCACTCGGAGTAAATTTTTGCCCTCCGCATGCACGCAGCTTGCCCAGCTTTTCTGGCTTCTTGGGGGGTTGTAATAGTGTCCGTCGGTCGCCCATCGTTTGGTCGTCGCCCGCCCCCCTCTCTGTGCAACACAATCCTCTCACCTCCGACGGTGCCTCGAGTTTGCGTGCATTCTCACCAACTCCAACCGCAACCGCAACTGCAAAACGCAACCTAGCACAGCATCCCGTCCAAACAATGGCCATCGGTTTGCTGAGCATTCCAAGGGAAATTCGCGACTTGATCCTCGACCAAGTCATATTTCTGCCCGACCGCGACCCGCCACAGAACCCTTCCACCAGTCAGAACCGCAAAAGGCGCGAGTACAAGGGCAAAGGTTTTTCGGATGGCCACGACATTTGGGTCGAGCGACCGCAAAACCCAGCCCCGCCCGCCGGCTCACCCAACACCGCCATTCTGCTCGTCAATCAACAATTGCACGATGAAGCCAAGGCCCTGATTGCATCAAAAGGAACCCATTGCCGTCTGGATGTTATGTACGTCAAGGAATGTGGCTTGTGGCCGACTTGGCTTGCCGTGCCAAGAACGACCCGCCACGCAGACAGCGTCCACGTTCAATTCCGCATTTTCGATCCCCCCGCCGATGTCCATCCGGACTGGAAAAACGAGGAACAGTTTCGCGGTGGTGATGGCGGTCCACCATTCATCGTCTGGAATTTTTATGCCATGTTATCCGGTTACTTGCGGTACGGCCCGACCGCCTTTAGCAGTGTCGTAGCCGACTCGTCAGACTTCACCATTAGGAAGCTGATAATAGACGTCATCGCGCCGCCCATGAACGAAAAGCACGATCGACTTGTGCCTGGAAGCACTCGCCGCGCTCTTGACCTGTTTGAGGGCTTCACCCACATGGTGATGGACGCGGAAAGCCGCGAAAAGCGTGGGATCACTTGGCCCCGTCCGCCGGAAGGCAAGGAATACCTGATACCAGCTGAGAAGCTTGCTTTCTTCATGTGCAGCCAGATTGGCGGTCTCCTTTCCATGTATCGTGACTGGGCCGACTACGGCGCCGCCCTCTACGAAGGCATCGGCAGCATTCAAATCCGCGTCAACGGTGAGCTGCGCCGCGACTTCGACATGGATGAGATGCTCGCCAGGTTACCCATCCAGCCCATCACGGCCTGGGACGAGAAAGAGCGGAAAAGAAGACAAAAAAGCTTCGACGAGTGGAAAGCCCAAGCGACAACAGTAAGACAAAGATGGAAAAAAACGTGACAATGAGGAAAATATTTTGGCAACGACGACATGAATGTAAAATTTTGGCTTTGGCCGTACTGGCCATGAGGGGATATGATTCCCTCTCTGCATTGGGCGGCGATACCACCGGATAGAGGGTCCTTTCTTGCATGGGTTTTCCTTTTGGTGCAAGGTGCATGTGGTACAACCAGTTCGGAGGCGAGGACGGTCTCGGAACGGAAGGAGTTCGGTAATGGATACGATACCGGGGGATTGGGGCCGGAAACTGGGGCCGAGTTTGAGACACTCTTCCTATATTACCGAGATAGGCCTTCTACCGTGGCCCGGAGCCTGGCGATATCAGCATGGCTTGCTTTACAGCATCCACCAACAACAATCTGTTTCCAATTTCCACGAGATTCGGCGTTAGCAACCACTTGTGCGAGTTGAGCTTCCCATGATGTGGCAGGGTGACTTGATCCCTCAGGCAGTTCCCATTTCTGCGTAGTGGTGTTGTAAACTTCACCGTTGGTGCCGTCAGGATAGAGGATCAGGGCCGGTGTATCGGCGATAACGCCTTCCTTGATTAGCGCCTGAACAGCCGACTCATAGCTTTTGACCAGAGACTCCAGCTTCCAGACCTTGGTGCAATTAATACCGATACCCCATGGACGACTGGCAGCGACGTCGGGGCTGAGCATGGCTCTCACGGCTTCCTCGATCGAGGATCCATCAGGAAGACGCTCATCTTCGCCAGGGAAAAGCGAGGCGATCCAGAAGGGGATGGCAGGTTCAGTAGCCAGTACGCCACTCTTGTCCAGGGCTTGCCTCACGGCCATGATCTCATCGGCGCGGGGAATAGTCTCGACTGCGACAAAGCCGACTGGAGAGGTAAATGCGCCGGCATCTCTAAAGAGCTGCAGGCGGTCCAGATGCCAGCCGCGCAGCTTCTCAAGAGAGTCGTGCTCCGAGTCATAGGCGCCGCTATACTCCTGGCCAGGAATCATACAAGCTCCATAGGGACCAATGCTGAGGGCGGTGGTGGTGGCGTGGGCGCGTCCAGCTTCATCAGCGATGCGGATGGCATCTTGAATAAAGTTGCCAATGGTGGCTCTGTCAATGCCGTTGGGGAACTTGGCAGTACGGGTGTTGGCGAAGCCATGAACAGACAACTGGTAGGTGGCTGTGAGAATAATGTCAACGGGTACGTCGCCAAAGTCCTTCTGACAGGAAAGCAGCGTATCCTGGCCCTCGACAAGGAGATGAGTCGACCAAAGAGGCGTGGTGGATGAGTTAAACTTGATGCCATACTTGTCTTCCAGCGACGTGCCCAGCCCGCCGTCGAGGATAAGGACCCTAGATTTCTCAGTATTGCCAGTCATTTTTCTGCAATCCGAAAACGAGAAGAAGAGAGCAAGGTCTAGACCGGTAAAGAAATGAGACTGGCTCGACTTCCCGATTCAGGCGCAGTATTGGATTGGGCTCGTTGAATAAATGAGTCTGGGGAGAAGGGCCAATTTGAGTATGGAAGATTGACCACGACGGGCGTAAAGTAAAGGTCTTGGGGGCTTGGGGATTTCTTGGGTCTTGGGGTCTTGGAGGGGGAGGAGCGGGTGGGAAGCTTGGGCTTGGGAGGGTTCCACCCTGGAGAAAAATTTGGGAAAGCATTACGACGACTTCCTGCTGACTAACACCTGTTTTCGCCAGTTGCCAAGAATCACCCGGCAGCGACTTCCGTTAATTTGCATCACTGCCTCCTTCGTTCTTTTCAGCCTTTCAAGGAAAGGGCATCCAATGAATTAATCCCAACTAGAAGGAACGATACGTCACAGAACGAGGGAAGGCTCGATACATTATATAGGGAAGGTGCCATCGGCTGAGATATGAGACGGGTCGCAGCATCGCGAGGTTGTTTTTCTTTTTTTTTTTTTTTGGGCCTGGATTTCGTGTTGGCGGCCTCAACCATGCCAAGACTTACGGGCAATTCGCAGTGCCGAAGGGGGCCTCAATTTCATCACCAATGAAAGAAAGGGAAAAATACACACACATATACACACACAAACACACACAATCTCACATGACTGACTTCCTAAGAGGTAAATGTATGTAAAAAGCCATTTTCCGTATGAAATACCTAGCTCACGCTTTGATGTAATGTTGCAAAAATTAACTTCTGTCATCTCATGCTTAAAAGGTGAGGATCTTCTGCGCCAGGTACTAATGAAAGACTAGCACGGGAGGATCCAGCGCTAATGCGTAACCTCACGCGTGTGTGTAATGTGAAATAAGCTATTATGTCTTATCAATATCTACCTACACAGCTTCATGTACTTCTACCTGTTTCGCCACATACGTTTGATCGCAATGATGAGCAAGAGTATAATGGCGGGAGTGGAACTTGAATGTATTCTGGACTTCCTCGCAGTGATATCCATTTTCACGGCTGAACCCTAGACGGTTGCGATGTGTCATCGCTTCATGCTTGAGATCGCGGGGTAATGAATTTCAACGAATTCCTTCTGCTGGCGGGCCAATGACGGCTTCTGATGCCACACATGACAGACTTGCCTGTGGATATTCACAAACGAGGCTCACAACCTCAATGGCAAAGAAGCACTTGGACCTGTTAATTCATTAGAATGACTATAGCAGTTATTACAATGCAGACATCTAAATGAGATATAAGGAGCACACCCACTTACGTTCACAAGGCCAATGTGACAGGGGACGATCCGAGGAACCCGCTGAATTCCGTGCGTAACGTGGATCCGCATACTCCGTGCCCACCGATGTAACGCCGTCTAACTTTAACCCACGGTGAAGGCTGAAAAACCCCACCAAGAATCATTCTCTGATGCCTCTGAAGACAATGTAGTAAACTTTCAAGACTATGCCGTCGAATCACCTAAGCTGTCTTTCGACAATTTGCGATTTAAAGACCCTTACTAGATAGCATAAGCAGCGATTAGTTGCCTTTCGGCCACAGTTTCCTATCGGTCCAACAAACGGCCTACGCATACCCCTAAAACTTTTATTCATTGGTCAGTTAGGCACCTCACCTTAAATATCTACGGTCACTCTGAATCCGAAAGCCCGGGGATAATGGATCATGCCGGGTTTAAGTGGGGCAGGACTAAGGGTCCGGGGGTCCTCCGCCGAGCCGGGAGCTAGCGTAATATTCTAGCATGTTGATGAAAGGGCGCGCTGGACGGCAGTGGGCCTTGAAGATAATTTTCTTCACCAGCTTCGGGGTCGAGTCATTCGCCGAGAATCTTACCTTTGTACTAAAATTCCCTTTTTTTCCGGAATATCAATCGCTCAATTCAATCAGAAACCTCACAATTGAGCGTTAACGAAAAGCCTAACATGGCGACGATCACAACAACAGCGACAACCTCGGCCTCCGCCTCCGGCATCGAACTAGCCCCTCTCCCCGCTCAGCTAAATCACAAATCCCCGCCTTTGACTAACCAGGCAGATGATGACGGTAGCACCGATCCAATTCTCCAAGCCTCCCGCCTTGCCGACTCCTCCGTCCCGGAAGGAGGGTACGGCTGGGTGGTGGTTACGGGCTGCTTCATCATGGCATGGTGGATAATCGGCACCTCATACTCGTGGGGTGTGATCCAAAGCGCTCTTGTAGACGAGGGCCTCTCAACACCTGCCGTGCTCTCCTTCGTTGGCTCCCTTGCCGCTGCTCTCATTTCCGCCTTGGCTATCGTAAATTCGCGTGTCATGCGCCGCTTCGGGCCCCAGAGAACGGGACTCTTGGGAATAACGCTCATGGGTCTGAGTGAGGTTCTCAGTAGCTTTGCCGTGAAGAATATCGGGGCTTTGTTTGCCACTAGCGGTGTCATGCTTGGCTTGGGTGTCAGGTAAATACTGTCTCGATCCATACCACAATGACAATGCTGACCACCTTTTTAGCTTGTGTTTCTCCGTGAGTCGACCGAAGCAAGCACGGTGCTTTGTTCGTAGTGCATGAATGGTTAACAGCAGTAGATTGTATCCGTAATTCCAGCGCAGTACTTCAGCCGTAAGCGCGGCTTGGCTAACGGCATTGTCTTTGCCGGCGGCGGCCTCGGTGGTGCCGTCAACAGTTTTGCCCTTGATGCTCTCCTCAACCGTCTCGGTCCGGCCTGGGCCTATCGCGTCCTTGCTCTGATGACACTAGCTACCGGCCTCCCGGCAGCATGGCTTGTCAAAGAGCGTACCCCTGTCCGCGGCTCTGGTTTCGTTGAGTGGTAAGTCTTATCAATCTCTGGATTGGGTCAGGTCGCCCAGGCTGACGAGGTATTGACAGGCGCCTGTTCAAATCGTACACATTTGTCGTCATCTTCCTGGCCGGTGCCGTTGGCACATTCCCTCTCTTTGTCCCTCCTTTCTTCCTGCCCCTCTATTCCAAATCCATTGGCCTGTCCTCTTCAACTGGTGCTGGCCTAGTTGCAGGTTTCAACTTCTCATCCGCGGTGGGTCGTGTCTGCTGCGGCGTCTTGTGCGACGCTTTTGGCGCACTCAATGTCCTCTTCGTCTCACTGGCCTTGTCCGCTGTGAGTATCCTTGCGATCTGGCCCGCGTCGACTACCCTAGCTCCCATGATTATCTTTGTAATCGTGAACGGCATCTCTAATGGTGGCTTCTTTTCAACAATGCCCACGGTAGTGGGGAACGTCTTTGGATCTGCGCGTGTGTCTGTGGCCATGAGCATGATCGTTACGGGTTGGGCTGGAGGTTATCTCATGGTAAGTTTGCTGTCATGCTTATTGGAAGGCTAAAAGCAGAGGCTAACGAAGTCGCACAGGGTGCTCCGATCGCTGGATATCTCTTGGAGGCATACGGAGGCGCCGATAATGGCCTTCAGGCGTATCGACCTGCCATGTTCTACGCGGGATCGTTGTCACTGGCTTCTGCAGGTCTTGTTGCCATGGTTAGATTCCGCATGAACAGGAGTATTTTGGTCAAACTTTAAATATTTTGGATAGCATGATTCAGCGCAGCAGCGGGGTTAATGTGGTGTTCAACGAGAGAGAGAAACTATCTGTAGAGAGTGGACTCTACCCCGTTTCCTTAGAGCAAGATAGATGAATAGAATAGAATGTTTCTACTGTAACTCAAGATCCCGAAGACCGACTGACAGACGAGATTAGTGTGCCGAGATGCTCATACCACACTGCAATCCCAGAATTCCCTAACCGACCTTATTCACACTCGACCGCCTATAATACTTGGGAGGTTGTGAAACGCCAAAACTCTCAATCCCTGCTGTTCAGCTGCCATCAGCTCTGTCTCACTTCCTCCTTAACCCCGCAGGTCCATCGCACGAACAAGCTTCCGTGCCGCTGCTGCCTGCGCGGCCCCGCTTGGCGCTGCAAGCCCCCGAGTTACCCCGCCGATAACCCCGGGCGATGGCCGGGGAAGTATGCGTGCTGGCTGCACAGCTTATGTACTTACCGCGTTTCACTGAGCTAGGATACCAGCAAATGATAAGAAACTTGAGTCACACCGGTCTTTAAGGCGGTGATCCTTTTGATACAGGTCTCACTCCACGTGCTCACGCGCTCCCTTCGCGCCGCCCTACTGCCCGTCCAACACGGGAACTGTCTTATCCAATGCGCGAGATCTTGGCTTTGGGAGACGAACGTCATCTGTCTACAAAATACCCCGCTGGCCTCCCGTGATCTCGTTCCTTCATCATCAGGTTTCCAAGCATTTCCCTCAGATATCAGCAATCTCAGCAACAGGCAACAAAATCCGTCATCTATCTAGCCATTTACTATCACCGCCGTCAACATGTCTCTCGATCACATTGGCATTTATGTCCCTGCCAGCATGCACAAGGAAGTCGTCGAATGGTACCTCGCCGCCCTTGCGCCTATTGGGCTCAAGAAGTTCGCCGAACCCAACGAGTACGCTTGCGGCCTAGGCATCCACGCTGGAGACTTCTGGATCGCCTCTCACAAGGCCGAGAAGGTCGATGTTCCCACTCACATTGGATTCAAGGCGGAAAGTAAGTAGTACCAAAATCCTACCCAACACAAATTCGATAAAGCTGACTTTCGACTGCAGATCGCAAGGTTATCGATGAATTTCATAAGGCTGCTCTCGCCGCCGGCGGAAAGGACAACGGCGCCCCTGGTCCAAGACCTCAGTATCATCCCAATTACTATGCAGCTTTCGTCTTCGATCCCGCAGGAAACAATGTTGAAGTCGTCTGCCACAAGCCCGAGGTTGCTGAGTAAAGCATCATTCAAAGAAGGCATGGAAATGTAGCCTTAACAATTATTCGATGACTATCAAAGAGATTCGTGGTTTTACGGGCATTTAAGTCTGTGTGGGGGGGATTGCGGTAGGACGGCGTTGTAAGGAAAAGTTGAAGTCGAAGAAATAATTTGGTAGTAACCGAATGCAAATTTGTCGTGTTAGATGTCATCACAATTTAGACAGGATACTAATATGCTTTACTGAAACGAAGCGTGATTGACATGGAATTAATGATTAGTGATCATTATGCAGTACGAAAGCTTAGGGTGGCTATATCTACAGAGGCAAAGTATCGGGAGGATTTATTTTCGCCCAGAACGCTTCAACATCTGTCGTTGTGTTCCGTTGTACTTTTTCGGCATCCCACACATCCGGCATCCCACCCAAAATATCCACCCAGTCGTCTATGCTCTTATCTTTCGCTGGTACCCCCGCAAAGTGAACCAAAAAGTCTCCTCGTCTAGCTTGGTAGTCGGCCAGGCCTTCTTCGTCGTTTCTTTCTAGGAATCGAGTTGCGTTGCCGCCAGGATAGGTGTTGAACCAGTGTTGAGGAACAAATTGCACGGCGTCTTTGAATTTCGGCTCTTTGATTAGGATCTCCATGGCACTCTGCTCGGTAAACGGTAGTTTAACGTCAGGCCTGTAGTGCCGGAAGGCGACTATTGCGCTGAAAAGCTCGACGGCCCACCGACCAACGCGAAGCAGAAAAACCCCATTGTTCAATCCGTTCCAGTCATCCGTGACAAGAAGCTGTACATCATTGTCCTTTATTTGCTTCGAAGCCTCGCCATCAGCGTCGACAGTATATGGTGGCAGAAAGCTAGACGCAGGTCGGCATTCGTCGAGAATCAGAGTATCGCGGTCGACCCAGAAGATCCAGTCCGTTCGGTCCTCTGGTCTCTTGAGCATTTCGTCGAGAAGAAGGGACAGTATGAAAGCAGGCTTGTTCCAGAGGTCGTCAATTACGGGCGCGCACATAACTTCGAGTTTCGTGCGGTGGAGCATAGTATGCAGGACGTGTGTCTGCAGGGCGTTTTGGTAGTGCTTCTCAAGTTTACCAAAGTGAGCTGTTACGGTGGTTACCCGCCATTGAGAAGTTTGGGCTGGTGGTGGTTGGCATGAAGACTTCAGAGACTCCAGTTTCTTCAAAAGACTTGGTGAATACTGTGGGAGACATCGTCCGCCTCTGGGAGCCCGCAAAGCGGGTGATGAGATGTGGTTGATTCGCGTTGCCGTTCTTAACTCGGAATAGACATATAAAGAGTGAAACGCAATCAAAATAAAAACGATGGCTAGAACAACCTTGACGAGGAATAAAGACGTCAGAGACGAAGGAAACTTTGATTGAAGCATAATGAGAGGAAAGGAGAGGGGGTAAGGACAGGATGGCTCTCATCGCAGAAGCTGAAAGATTGGTATTCGACATCCTTTATCAACATCGCTTCACATTACCCCTTTCGCCACTAGCAGCACACAGGATCCATTCAAGAATGCTGAATGATGCCCTCATACCTAAACCCTTGCTTGTATGCGCCCAGTTCGTATTCTTTAACGGGTCTAGTCCTAGAGATTCAAGTACAGATGTTGGTGGTGCCTCAAGAGCCTAGGGCTATCGTCTCCACACCATCGCAGTTCTTTCTCTCCACTGTACAGCACATGTGACGTCTGCTTGCGAATCTATTGCATAATTACTTTTGTATGTTCCTGAAGGTGGAAGAAGCTCAAAGGGAGCCCTATACACAGGATTAAAATGAAATAAGATCAAGAGCTTCCTGCATGCCATGTTCAACCCATGATTTCTCTTCGTTCTATCCCATGGAAACTAAAGCATTCGATCAAAAGTCTTTTGCAAGCATCCGCAGTTAATAAGGATGAAAAACACAGCCGAGACCTAAGCAGACAAATTTGTTCCGAGCGTTAAGGAGCCCTTATGTTTCATCTGTCAATTCTATTGGGGGCTTAATTTAACCGTGGGCCCCTTCAAGATGTCGTGCTGTAATACGAGTCACCGCAAGGATATGGGCCTCAGTACGAAAATCCGAGAAGCTCGGGGACCAGCCACAATGGCTGTTCCCCACGACCACCCATGTGTTGATCGAATTTAGACGTGGTCACGGTAACGGTAAAGACATGCTCAGCCTCGATAACAGTCCATCCACCTCAGCCACCACCCCGAAATATCTTTCTTCCCAAATATAGTGACTTACAGACGCCATTCACATTTGTAAATCATGAAATACAGGATGGATTCGCACGTCCCTCAGGAACCAGCTTACAACTCGTTTGGCTTCGGGCAGCACTTCCGTGAACCACCATCGAGGCGTCCTCTGGTGTAATTAGTTGGAAATAGGTTGCTTCTTTGTTCGTAACCATGGAATTTGGTGTATTTCTCGTTTCCTTCTATTATCTTGACTAAAAAATTGTTAGCAGAGAAAATATTTCACTCATACTGTGAAATTCTCAAAAGATTGAGATTGTAGTTATAAAGCCTCGCATCGAGGTCCCGTGGATCGCAGGGGCAACGTGGCTAATAAACTGAGGTTTCGGGAGTTGGTTTCCGATAGCATGAACCAGCGTAAGGTAAATAGCAATTAAGTTGCATTGGCGAGTCTGATGACAAGACAAGGATCCCTTTATCTCAGGCAAAGTTTTGCAACTAAACAGTATATTTTTCCGCCCATTGATGCTAAAGGGATGCTGTACCGCCGAGAACAGCTCATCTCGAGAGAGTGTTCTTTGGGGAGCCGACAAATGTTCATCCTGTCAATTTAACTCTTATGTAACATGGATGACACGTCAAGCTCGTGTTCGGGCACTCGTTGTTTGGTGGCTGGATGTTGGATGATCATCTCCCTTTCTGTGCGGTGGGTTGTCGTCGAGATGAAGAGTTCTGATTCCAAGAGAGTGGGCATAGCGCACACTGTGTTTCGTTTTGCAGATTTGGTTTCGGCCGTCGGCGAGCTCCCCGAAATCCTATGGCTCCGTGCTCTATCGGGCTTGGTCCCTTAACTGGGATTCGAATCGATGGACCTCATTGGCATCTTTCACAGCATCAGGGGCTCGAAAGTAGTCTACAACTCAATCCCACGCCAACTGGTTTTAGTATCAGCACCCGCCTGGCGCTATCCCACGTATGTCTCCCGTTTCTTAGTTATCTGTGAGTGTAAGAATTAGCTTGAAGCCCTGCACAAGTACCCTGCCGGTCATTGGCTTGCCGATGTTCAAAGCATTCTCGCCGTGCACAAGCACTCTGAAGCCTAGGAGAAAACTTTTGCCGCGTTTTTAACATTTGCAAAACCGAAATCTTGAGGCCAAGATATCCTCCACATCAGCTCATGTGCTACCTATTCTCAGGACTGTGACTGCCGTGGGCATCTACTAACGTCAAGACATGGACTAGCGCAGGTTCTCGTAGTGACAATCCTGCCTCTACTGGCATGGTTGCATGACTCTGACTCTACGTATGCCTGTGTCAGGTTGACAGACTGCTGGTTTGGTATTTCAGGCCTGGTAGTCTTCGATATAAGGGCGGCAGCTACCGGCCCAATCAAGCGATCAACGGAGGCAGGAGAAATTCGCTCCGCCCCTTGATGCCTCGTTGATACCCACAAGTGACTTTTCAAGATGTATTAAGGCATCTCCGCCTCTATGCGTACGTGCTCGTAACTTACAAGTAAGCCAAGCATTCACTGCCGATACCCGCTTGATGACCCTTTTCCGAGAAGATGCCGCTTGGCTGCTTGTTCAAATAAATACCACATTTTCTCCCCAGGGAGCCTTTATCGGCAGATTTCAGCCAGGAGCTTGTAATTCAAATTATTAAAAGACCTGCCCCGTTGCTTGACGAATGCTCTGGTAACAGCACTCTCGAAAACAGTGGCATTGAGGAGCCACCTTTATGATACATGAGGTCGTTGCCTTATTTAACTATCATATAGCTACCTGATGAAACTTTAGGCGAGGTTAGATAACTTTCCAAGAGCTATGAGTCCTTCCTTGCTGCTATGTTTATGTGCTCATGGCTTGCTTGCAAGCCAAGCTCAACGCTGGTTGAACTTATTGCCGGTGTCCGTTTGACGCCCTACCACAAAACGAGCCACTCTTCAATCCCTGTCAACGTGCCGCGCGGCTGCCTACATTATTCAAAGAATCGATCTCACCTCCACAGCCCCATGAGCAGACCTCGGCTGGCGACATGTATGTTAAGCCACACCACGTGGCGGTCTTTAATGTTATTACTGTTTTTGATTGCATTCTTAACCTCCCCTAAAGCTTTTTAGGCATGACTATTGTTAAAAATACCAAAGCGTACTGGACAAAATTTCTCTGAGCTGAAGCCAATGAAAATTATCCTGCAATTTCAACGTCCCATGAGGCACTCATCGCGTTATCTTTTAGTCTCCACGGAGCCTTCATCGCCGATGTTGGTGCGGCTGGCAATGCTGCCGCGCAATCACCCATCTAAAACAGAGCAGATTCCGCTCTACAGACCTATGGGCAACAATCGGTCAGCCACATACGTAGGAAAAAGAATGCAGAAGTCCGTCTGAGGGGTAGCGCACCAATCGTTCTTTGTCTTTTTTTCCCTTTTGCTCGACATTTTGGAGCAGCTATCGAAAGCTAATGATGCAAAAGTCACATCGACTTACCTTCACTGCATTTAACTTATTTCAGGTACCGCCAAAGCCCGGGTACTTTATTACGATGCTATCTAAGCCTACCATAACATCACCCAAATAGTAACACTACTTAATTACTCGAGTTTCAAGCGCATAAAAGTAAGTCATTATCTTATGTTACTTAAATTTATAGATCCTAAATTATATGCACTAAGGAATTTAAACAACTCGGAAACTATTAATTTATGTATTTATTTTGCTGGAATCAGAGGGTTGCTTGTATGGGTGCAGTAGCCGAATTCCTTCCAATTGTGTGTTAAAGTTAAAAAATCGTCCAGTCTATGTAAGAAAATGCTGTAGAAGGGGGGGTTGAAATGGGAAGAAGATATATATTCTTCCGTTTGCTCGCCATGTGTGTTGTTGAGATCGCCTACCCACTTGACGCCTGGTGGCCGGCAGCCCACCGCGGCTGGGAGGCCACGGGGTCACTTCCACCCGAAATTCCGACACTTGCAACGCCTTTTCTAACATAAGCCTTACTCATAGCTAGTAAACAGAGATCCCGCATGCCGCGTTCAATATTTCAGTATGCTAGATGAATCAACGTCCTTACGCGATGCTAAGTTAAGTACTCTGACCAACTCCAGATTGCCGACGATGTATAGTACGTCACGAAAATTACGTGTTCGTGTCAAGTTGTAGACAAGGTGTGGGGAGATCTGATGAAATGTCTAAGAGAACCTATCAATACGGGTAGATATAGTTTACTAACATGAATCTCGACATTATCCTGTTAAGGTCCTTACGAAGGAGCAGACGAAATATGATTTTTATGATTTCTATGGAACTAAGACACTGGAACTCTTCATTCATTCTGACGCTTAGCCTCGACCTCTAGTTCGATTAGCATGCCAGGGAAGGCCAATTGTGGAACGGCGACTGCTGTCCAAACTGGTCGGTGGCCCGGAATGCGCTTCTTTAACGCCTCTGCAGCTGGTTCCCACGAAGTTCTAACATCACAGTGATACGACCGTAATAAGTACACATCTTCCCACCCGCGTAAGCCTGCCGCTTTAAGAACAAGATCGACGTTTTCCATTGCCAGACGAATCTGTTTGTCGCTGTCGGTCGCGTCAAGTGCACCAGACTGGGGATCCCAACCTCCTTGCCCTGAGCACTTGACTATGCCATTTCCGAGGTCAACCGATTGTGAGTAGTGTCCGAGTTCGCTGTGCTTCTCTGCAGCACCAGGAGGATTATTGTACTGGAGGGAAGACATTGTGTTGGGATATGTCGAAACAGTGGATGCGTGGACTTTACAGTTCTAGGCGCTTGAAGCGTTAACAACTACTTTGAAATAATTGAAGAATATCATAGAGGTATTACTGGGAAGCGGAGTTATGCGCGTGGAGAATTGAATGCTGATATGCTGTCCAGAGACCTTACCATACAGCAAATACGTTTTCGCCAGCACATGGGGGGCCTTTGTCGGCAGCGGATCGCGGCTTTTTGATGTTCGTCGTTTGGACGTGCAACTACAGCACCTATGAAGAGAGCAGACTAAGAAGAATAAAAAGAAATGAATATTTGAATCAAAGAGAAAAGTCAATAGCCCAGTTTTAAATACGTTAAGTTCGGCATTTGTTTCTTGCTTCTACATCTCGGGGTCTCTGTCACTGGAGCCCCACAAACATTTTTTTAGACCTAGGTAAGTTGGAGATGTTGGAGAGTCGCCGTATTAGGAGCACCGACAGCACACCCGCCGGCCACGAAACAGAACAGACACATCATTTCTAATTTACCTAGAAAACATGTATTTTTTGAGCATAGTTCTTCAGAGTTTCTCCCAATGACTGTGCAAAGTCGTTGTTTTCAAGTGCCTGAAAAACACGAGCCCAGAAGTGAAAAATTGCATAAGCGAGAACTCCAGGCTCAGCTGATGAGATGAAACCGTCGTCCAGAGAGGACCATGCCATTGGGACCAGCACCCTAACTCGTTCAAGAAAGGCCTTCTCGGCTTTATTTCGTTAGCAAAATCACAAAGACTGCGTTCTGGTCCACAAACCTTGGCTTGGCAATTCTTTAGTTGCGGTTTGCAGGGTCCATTCACCCAGAACAACAGCAGCATAAAATACGGACAGTACCGACTCAAACCCCCATGTACTGGCGAAAGTGCGTACAAAATATTCGAACCCTGTGTCTGCGGGCTTTTCCAGGAGCTTGATAGAGTCTTCCACAGCCAACAGGAGAAGATCTAGAGAGACCTGAAAGATCCCGGAGCAGGTCTTTAGTGCGGTTGCGAGCAGTGTTGAATTGTCGGTACTCGATGTTTCGGTATCAAAAACACAACAGCCCAGAACCCCCTGGTGGTAAATAAGACGTGTAAGGCTTTCTATATCCCGAAGTAACACTTGGTTGTTCAATTCTTGTGTAGGCACGCTTTGTTTGGTCGCCCAAAACTTCAAAAGAAGAGCCACAGTTTTCCTGAACATGATCAGAATGATTATTTGTTTCGAATCGTAAAGATATCGTGTGGACTTACATAAGACTCTGATACTCTAAATAGGCCGATCGTTCCAAGAGAGGAAGTTGAGCTGCCTCTTGTGTCAACTTCATACGCTGCGCGATACATCCAATCAGAATCCACATGGCTTCAGGCAAGATGTCCTGGTAGCTTCCACGATCGTTGATTATTATAGACGCATCATGTTCTGTATTTGCTTGCTGAATCAACTTCTCGCAAGCATTAGCGGCCTCGTTTACCTGCCAGTAATCACTGTCAAGAGTTTCTAAGCAAGTATCCTCAGCAAGCTGTTTCCAAAGAGACGGTGAGCATGGGAGTTCTGTATAAAGGCTTGTGGACAGGGAGATCCCGCATGATCCAAGGATAAGGCTCTGGGTCATCAAGGTACACATGCCAAAGGCTCGACTGCGCCGGGACATCTCAGTCATGATGAGAGAGCGGTGATCAGCGTTGGGTAAGTCATCGGCCGAGCTCCTAACGACGCGCAACCAGAAGTTTAAACCAGTATCAAGTAAACGGATCTCAGTAACTAGATCTTGCGGCTGCTCCAGTTTAATGTATTCGCAAAGCAAAATGAATGTATCCGTTAGCTGATAGCAAAGCCTGGAAGCAGCTTAGTGAATGACTTATGTGCGAGCAGGGAGTTGACTTACTGAAGATTGCCGTTGGTCATAGGTTCAAAAGGGCTGTTTAAACATCGGAAAGCAAAGAATTTACTTGCCATATAGAGCATGATCGCGTTCCGATTCTCAAACAGACGCAGTGCCCCCAAGGCGTATATGGCTGATTGCAACGCGACGTGTAAAGTCCCTAGGTCAATACTGGAGTGAAGCAATGGTAACCTGTTGTTGTTTAAAAAGGATTTGTGATATCTAAGGCATGATTGAGTAGACGGAGAAACGAATTCTGGGTTCTCGTCTTTATAGTCTTGCCAGGCAAACTCGATGTCACAGGTGTCTTGCAAGTGGTCAGTCAAAACAAGGCGACCAAAATAGTTGTGAATCGAGAGCAGCGAGGGGTCCCTACTTCTTTCGGACCTTGTCATATCAGACGGACTGGCACCTGTTATTTGCGGCGCCATGACTTCGGGACTGACGAAAGAATATGTCCTGCCTACTGTGTCTGAAACTCCTAGCGCATCGGGTTCTTCCAGAACCTCACTAGTTCGTTGAAGGCTGCGAGCTATATCTTGAAGTCCACTGCAACGAAAGAATCTCTCAAATTCAAATAGCACATGCTCATAAGATCGAGAATCCTGAAAAGAGGGTTCTAGACTACACTTCAGCCCACCATTTCATTACTGCTTTGCTCAAATTGGGTGCTCACTTAGACTATGATATTCGGGGGGCAGCGGCACTGCCTCTCCTAAAGATATTATGGATTCTTGGGCGTCATTTGGCGTTTCTAAAGGCGCTTCATATTCTTCAGGTCTTGTGTGACTTCTAATCGAGACAGTCTGCGATCGCGTTTGAGACGCTGTATCGCTTAGTGGATCCATGGGTTGAATACCAGCACGACTTGATCTTTGGACATTGTTATTCGTCGAGACGCTATCTGGGTTGTGATAAATACGTCTATGCCTTTGTAGCATGTCTTTCCTGGCAAAGGATGAACCACATTCGCACGAGTATGGCTTCTCTTTTGTATCTGAAATACAGCCGAGTTGGAATCAGTGATATTATTCACCAGCAACATGGACCCAACTATACTTGGGCACGGAAACGGTTACGTACGTATTCTTCTATGCCGCTGGAGATGCTCGGGCTTGCGGAAACCCCGATTGCAAAATGAACAAATGTGTGTCCTATCTCTGTGATCATCCATGACAGTGATTGTTGGAGACGTTGGAGAATCTACTACACCCTCAACAAAGAAAATGGTGGTGAGGTGGGCGAAGACACTAAATATGGCACTGACTTACGGCAGTCCGCAGGGCGCACTGGGTCAAAATTCAAACATTGCCTAATTAGGATGCATAAACGAGATAAGCATACACCACCCGTATAGATAGTTAAGCTTCTTATCTTTACTATGTAATTATCATAAATTTAAGCAAATTCTATGTTTCGTATACGTATATATATAGAGTTTTACGAGACCGTATAGGAGTATATTCTTAATTCTTAATAATAATATTTACTATATTTTATACGAATATGTTTTTAAGGTGCCTTAAGCAGGCTAACCTAGACTACTTCTTAGTAAAACTACTATAGAAGTAGAAGACGTATGTATTTTGTTTAATCGATTTATCCTAAGTATAAGAACTAGACAAAATCGACCTTATAAATACTAACGACTTCGAAACTCTAACGGCTACGATTTCATTACGTATACGACTTTCTAATACTATAACTAACCCGATCGAATAAGTACTTTATATACTAGATATATAGCTAGATAATAGTCTCCTTACTACTCTTATTAAAGGCTTAGAAGAGCGTATAGCTAGTATCTAGCAAACCTAGAAGAAACTAGTTCCGAACCTAACTATAGATATTATTATTTACCTATAACGTACATGATAAGCGAGTGAGACAGACAAGCGAGTGAGACAGTAAACCAGACCTTCGCGACAATAATATCGAAATCTATAACAAGAAATCTTAGATTGATTAATACTACTCGGATTCCTGTTCTTCGGATGTTTCCTTAATAAATTGACATGTTCTCGCGTTGTGGCCTGTATTCCCGCATACGCCACACCGACGATGAGTCGTCTCAGACCTCACTTTGCGACCACTACTCCGTCGCGTTTCCTCTTGTAGTTGCGTGTCTGCCTCTCTTTGCGACTGTATATCCTCTCCAGTAGATATAGTAAGACTTCCTCCTTTCTGTAGACGTGTTTTCTTAGCCCTTCGACGCCGACTTAATATTGCATTCTCCTCTCGAAGGATTTGAACCTCTGACTCTAGTAATGCTACCCGATGCCCTAGTCCTTCTGTCCCTCTGGCTAGCTTACTCACAGCACTATAAATTGATGCTGGAGAGCTGCTTCGGTGGCGTGAGATTCGACTCTTAATAAAAGTAGACTGTGATCTTGCTTCGCTTGGGTTGCTCGGCGTCCTAGAGATCCAAGGGTCTGGTGTCTGAGGGACCCCCTCCTCAGGCGTTGGCGTTCGGAACTTTACATCCAGCTTTGAGAGAACACTTTCTGCATTCAAAGGGACAAGTCCAGCTCCTCGGAAACCTCCCTGGATATTTTTCCTCGTAAAAGACTGCTTAAAAGCTTCGTGAAATGCTGCAAAGAAATCTTCCTTCGAGATATGGGTTGTGCCTCGCCGCATCTTATTCTCAATTTGCCGACCGTAGGCATTCTTTAACGGCTGAAAACAACCAACATCTAAGGGTTGAAGTAGATGAGACGAGTGAGCCGGCATGCACAGTGTAATAATGTTGTTTTCTTGACAAAAGAGCTCGAAGGCTGCGGAGTGGTGACTTTCATGACCATCAACAACGAGGAGGCGATATTTCCCAGACGTACGTGGTTTTGTATAAATGTCGAAGTGTCTGATCCAGTCAATACCTCTCTCGTTTGTTGTCCATCCATTTTCAGACGTTGCAATAGCCCAATCGCCCGGAAGAGAGGTTTCTGTATACCAGCTTGAGAGGTGATACTGGCCTGCAACGATGATGTATGGCGGGATGCTCTCCCCTTGGGAATTAATAGCCTGGATAACTGTAACCCATTCCCTATTGCCAGGCTGTGTCATCTTCGTATTTGAACGCCTTTCAGCACTTGTAACAACCATTCCAGAAGCAATAACGCCCATCATAAAGCCGGTCTCATCAAAGTTGTAGATATCAGCATCAGCAATACCATACTTCGCAATTGTATTCTTTACAAGCGAAAACCAGCCACGAATCACCTCTGGATCTTCGCATTGAGCTCTCTTATAGTCATACTTGCGAAAGAAACGCGTCCTAAGCTGTGGTTGTCGCTTGACGAAATTAGAAGCCCAGCGCTTCCCAACTGGAGGCGCGTCGCGCTCTGCGAGAAGTCGATTGGCCATTTCTTCCACACCACTCAGCCGGGGAGGAAATGATCGCGCATCTAGGTCGAGAATATACTCAACTATTGTCTTCTCTTCTAAATCTGATAAATTCCGTGAATTAGGCATGCTGTCGCGTCGTGAGACTATTCCCTTTAGTCGCCGGCTTAATGTTGCGTGACTGACTGTATAGAGTGCACCTGCGGCCCGAGCACTAAGTTTTGGGTCATTTCTCATTGCTTGAAGGGCAATTTGTAACCTTCTTTCAATACTAGCTGATTCCATGATTTATTGTAGAGGAAAAGGTGCCGGTCGCGTCAAGGTGCGACGGTCGCGGTTTACTGTCTCACTCGCTTGTCTGTCTCACTCGCTTATCATGTACGTTATAACTTCTTAATAAACTTTTTAATAAACTAAACCCGAGTATATATTCGAATAGAGATTCTATCTATATTTATAACATAGAAAGATATAAGCTAACGTACATGATAAGCGAGTGAGACAGACAAGCGAGTGAGACAGTAAACCGCGACCGTCGCACCTTGACGCGACCGGCACCTTTTCCTCTACAATAAATCATGGAATCAGCTAGTATTGAAAGAAGGTTACAAATTGCCCTTCAAGCAATGAGAAATGACCCAAAACTTAGTGCTCGGGCCGCAGGTGCACTCTATACAGTCAGTCACGCAACATTAAGCCGGCGACTAAAGGGAATAGTCTCACGACGCGACAGCATGCCTAATTCACGGAATTTATCAGATTTAGAAGAGAAGACAATAGTTGAGTATATTCTCGACCTAGATGCGCGATCATTTCCTCCCCGGCTGAGTGGTGTGGAAGAAATGGCCAATCGACTTCTCGCAGAGCGCGACGCGCCTCCAGTTGGGAAGCGCTGGGCTTCTAATTTCGTCAAGCGACAACCACAGCTTAGGACGCGTTTCTTTCGCAAGTATGACTATAAGAGAGCTCAATGCGAAGATCCAGAGGTGATTCGTGGCTGGTTTTCGCTTGTGAAGAATACAATTGCGAAGTATGGTATTGCTGATGCTGATATCTACAACTTTGATGAGACCGGCTTTATGATGGGCGTTATTGCTTCTGGAATGGTTGTTACAAGTGCTGAAAGGCGTTCAAATACGAAGATGACACAGCCTGGCAATAGGGAATGGGTTACAGTTATCCAGGCTATTAATTCCCAAGGGGAGAGCATCCCGCCATACATCATCGTTGCAGGCCAGTATCACCTCTCAAGCTGGTATACAGAAACCTCTCTTCCGGGCGATTGGGCTATTGCAACGTCTGAAAATGGATGGACAACAAACGAGAGAGGTATTGACTGGATCAGACACTTCGACATTTATACAAAACCACGTACGTCTGGGAAATATCGCCTCCTCGTTGTTGATGGTCATGAAAGTCACCACTCCGCAGCCTTCGAGCTCTTTTGTCAAGAAAACAACATTATTACACTGTGCATGCCGGCTCACTCGTCTCATCTACTTCAACCCTTAGATGTTGGTTGTTTTCAGCCGTTAAAGAATGCCTACGGTCGGCAAATTGAGAATAAGATGCGGCGAGGCACAACCCATATCTCGAAGGAAGATTTCTTTGCAGCATTTCACGAAGCTTTTAAGCAGTCTTTTACGAGGAAAAATATCCAGGGAGGTTTCCGAGGAGCTGGACTTGTCCCTTTGAATGCAGAAAGTGTTCTCTCAAAGCTGGATGTAAAGTTCCGAACGCCAACGCCTGAGGAGGGGGTCCCTCAGACACCAGACCCTTGGATCTCTAGGACGCCGAGCAACCCAAGCGAAGCAAGATCACAGTCTACTTTTATTAAGAGTCGAATCTCACGCCACCGAAGCAGCTCTCCAGCATCAATTTATAGTGCTGTGAGTAAGCTAGCCAGAGGGACAGAAGGACTAGGGCATCGGGTAGCATTACTAGAGTCAGAGGTTCAAATCCTTCGAGAGGAGAATGCAATATTAAGTCGGCGTCGAAGGGCTAAGAAAACACGTCTACAGAAAGGAGGAAGTCTTACTATATCTACTGGAGAGGATATACAGTCGCAAAGAGAGGCAGACACGCAACTACAAGAGGAAACGCGACGGAGTAGTGGTCGCAAAGTGAGGTCTGAGACGACTCATCGTCGGTGTGGCGTATGCGGGAATACAGGCCACAACGCGAGAACATGTCAATTTATTGAGGAAACATCCGAAGAACAGGAATCCGAGTAGTATTAATCAATCTAAGATTTCTTGTTATAGATTTCGATATTATTGTCGCGAAGGTCTGGTTTACTGTCTCACTCGCTTGTCTGTCTCACTCGCTTATCATGTACGTTAGTTTTTATTAACTTCTAAGTTTACTTTATATATAGATATAATAAGTAAGGTCTTAGTAAAGTTTACGTCTAAGAAGCAATTCCTTAACCGAAACTAGAAGGTAATGCCTATTACTTTAAAAAATCTTATAGATATATATAAGTTTCGTAGGGTAGCGTACGAAGCTAAAGACCTTTTTACCTTTCTTTATAAAGCCTTAATTACCTTTAATAAAGACGTTTATACTATTATACTTATTTCCGAAAGTTAAGTAGATCTATTTATTACTAAACTATAAGTATTAAAAAAGTTATAACTAAAATAATATATGCTTAATATAGTAATAACTAGTATAATACCTTTACTTATTATTAATATGTTTACGAAAGCGCTTACGCCTAAACCTCTAACTCGAATTTAAACTTAAACTAAACGAAAGCCTTCTTTTAAAGTATAAGAAGTAATAAAGTAGGAAAGAGAAGGAATAAAGTTATATAAGCATATATACTTA